CTCTTTCTATTATAAAAACAAACCCCACAAATGACTGGTAATAGATGTGCAAAAAACAAAGAGAAAGAAATCCAAGTATATCAATAAAGAAAACCAACAAATTGAGAGAAGAGAGCAAGAGAAGAAAGGAACAGAGAAGAATTACAGAAACAACCATAAAATGAGTAACAAAATGGCAATAAGTACATAACTATCAGTAATTACTATGAATGTAAATGGACTAAATGCTCCAATGAAAAGACTCAGGGTGGGACACCTGGGTGGCTCAGGGATTGAGTGTCTGCCTTTGGCTCAGGGCATGATCCTGGAGTCGCAAGATCCAGTCGCACATCAGGCTCCCTGCATGGAGCTTGCTTCTCCTCCCTCTGCCTATGTCTCTGCCTCTCTCTCTGTGTCTCTCATGAATATATCAATAAAATATTAAAAAAAGAAAAGACTTAGGGTTATGGAATGGATAAAAAAGCAAGACCCATCTATATGCTGCCTATAAGAGACTCTTTCACACCTAAAGACACCTGCAGATTGAAAATGAAGGGACACGAAAACATTTATCATACAAATGGAATGGAAAAGAAAGCCAGGGTAACAATTCTTATATCTAATGACACAGACCCTAAGACAAAGACTGTAATGAGACAAAGAAGGACACTATATATTCATAAAGAGGACAATCCTATAAGAAGATATAATAACTAAATATCTATGCACTCGACATGGGAACATCCACATGCATAAAGCAGCTAATAACAAACATGAAGCAAGAAATAGATAATACAATAGTATTAGGGGACTTACACCCACTTACGTCGGTGGACAGATCATCCAAACAGAAAATGAATAAAGAAACAGTGGCTTTGAAGGACACACTGGACCAGATGATCTAACAGACATATTCACAACATTCCATTCTCAAACAGCAGAATAAACATTGTTTTCAAGTGCACATGGAACATTCTTCAGAGTAGATCACATATTAGGCCACAAAACAGGTCTCAACAAATTCAAAGACTGAATCTGTATTCAGTCTGACTGTATCTTTTCTGACCACAGTGCTATGAAACTACATATTAACCATAAGAAAAAAATCTGGGAAGAACACAAATATATGAAGATTAAATACATGCTACTAAAATATGAATGAGTCAACTGATAAGTCAAAGAAGAAATAAAAAAATACATGGAGACAAATCAAAATGAAAATGTGACAGTCCCAAGTTTTTGGGACACAGCAAAAGCTGTTCTAAGGGGGAAGTTTATAGCAACACAGGCTACCTCAGGAAGTAAAAAAAAATCTCAAACAACCTTAACCTTATACCTAAAAGGTGCAGGAAAAAGAAGAACAAATAAAACTCAAAACCAGTAGAAGGAAGGAAATAATAAAGATTAGAGCAGAAATAAATGAACGAGAGATTACAAAAACAATAGAACAGATCGATGAAACCAGGAGATGGATTTTTGTAAAGATCAACAATATTGATTAAACTAGCCCAGACTCTTTAAAAACAAAAAAAAAAAAGGAGAGACAGAGAGAGTACTCAAGTAATCAAATCAACTAAAGAGGAGAAATAATAACTGGTACCACAAAATTACAAAGGATTATGAGAGAATATTATGTAAAATTATATGCCAATACATTGGACAACCTAGAAGAGATGGATAAATTCCTAGAAACATAGAACCTCCCAAGACTGAATCAAGAAGAATAGAAAATTTCAACTGATTTCTGATTCAATTTAGTTGCTGGTAATTAAATTAAAAAATTCCCAACAAACAAAAGTCCAGGACCCAACAGCTTCTCAGGGGAAATCTACCAAACATTTAATGAAGAGTTAATACCTATTCTTCTCAAACTATTCCAAAAAATACAAGAAGAAAAAGCTTCCAAAGTCATTCTGGGGGCAGCATTACCTTGATACCAAGACAAGATAAAAACCCCTCTCCCCAACCAAAAAAACAACCACAGGCCAATATCCATGATTAACATAGATGGAAAAATCCTTAACAAAATACTAGCAAACTGAATCCAACAATACATTAAAAAATTATTCACCATGATTGAGTGGGATTTATTCCCAGGCTGCAAGGGTGGTTCAATATTCACAAATCAATCAACGTGATATGCCACATCAATAAAAGAAAGGATAAAAGCCATATAATCCTTTCAATAGATGCAGAAAAAACATTTGACAAAGTACAACATCCATTCGTGATTAAAAAAAAAATCCTTGAACAAAGTAGGTTAAGAGTGAACATACCTCAACATAATAAAGGCCATATATGAAAAACCCATAGCTAGCCTCATGCTCAATGGGGAAGACCTGAAAGCTTTCCCCCTAAGATCAGGAACAAGACAAGGGTGTCCACTCTCATCATTTTTATTTAACATAGTACTGGAAGCCCTGGCCACAGAAACCAGACAAGAAATAAACAGTATTCAAATTGGCAAGGAAGAAGCAAAACTTTAATATTTGCAGATGACATGGTGCTATATATAGAACACTCTGAAGATTCCACCAAAAGAATTGCTTGAACTGATAATTTCAGTAAAGTTACAGGATACAAAATCAACAAAGAAATCCATTGCATTTCTATACACCAATAATGAAGCAGAAGCCCCATTTACAATTGCAGCAAAAATAGTAAAATATCTAGGAATAAACCTAACGAAAGATGTGAAAGACTTGTAGTCTGAAAACTACAAAACACTGATGAAGAAATTCGAAGATGACACGAACAAATGGAACGATATTCCATGCTCATGAATTGGGAGAACAAATATTGTTAAAATGTCTATACTACCCCAAAGAATCTACAGATTTAATGCAATTCCTATTAAAATACCAACAGTATTTTTCATAGGACTACAAAAAACAATCCTAAAATTTGTATGGAATCCAAATAGCCAAGCAATCTTGAGAAAGAAGAACAAAAGCATAGGTATCACAATCCCAGATTTCAAGATATACAACAAAGCTGTAGGAATCAAAATTGTATGATACTGGCACAAAAACAGAGACATAGATCAATGGATCAGAATGGAGAACCCACAAATAAAGTCATAGCTAATGGTCAATTAGGTTTCAACAAAGGAGGAAAGAATATACAATGTGAGACAGTCTCCTAAACAGATGGTGTTGGGAAAACTTGAGAGCAACATGCAGAAAAGTGAGTCTGGACCATTTTCTTACACCATACACAAACTCAAAGTGGATTAAAGACCTACATGTGAGACTTGAAACCATAACACTACTAGAAGAGAGCACAGACAGTAATATCTCTGACATTAGCTATAGCAGTGTTTTTCTAGATATGTCTGCTGAGGAGAGGGAGACGAAAGCAAAAATAAAGTGTTGGAATTTCATCAAAATAAAAAGCTTCTGTATAGTGAAGGAAACAATCAACAACACTAAATGGCAACCTATGGAATGGGAGAAGACATTTTCAAATGACATACTTGATAAAGGGTTAGCATCCAAAACATTTTAAGAACTGGTACAACTCAATACCAAAATTAATTCAATTAAAAAATGGGCAGAAGACACAAACAGACATTTCTACAAAGACATACAGGGGGCATCTAGGTGGCTCTGTTGGTTGAGCATCTGACTCTTGATTTCAGGTCAGATAGTAGGATCAAGCCCCGTGTTGGGCTCTGTACTTAGCAGGGAGCCTGCTTGAGATTCTCTCTTCCTCTCTCTCTCACTTTCTCTCTCCCTTTTCCCCCTCTCCCTGTTTGTGTGCTCTCTCTCTCTTAAATAAATCTGTTGGAAAAAAGAAGACATGCAGATGGCCAAAAAACACAAGAAAAGATGCTCAACATCACTTATCATCAGGGAGATGCAAATCAAAGCCACAGTGAGATAGCACATCACACCTGTCACAATGGTTAAAATTAAAAACACAAGAAATAACACGTGTTGGAGAGAATGTGGAGAAAAAGGAACCCTTTTACACTGTTGGTGGGAATGCAAACTGGCGCAGCCACTGTGGAAAACAGTATGGAGTTTCCTCAAAACATTAAAAGTGGAATTACTGCATTTCCATTAATTCACTCATGGATATTTACCCCCAAAATACAAAAACACTAATTCAAAAAGATATATGCACCTATGTTTATTGTAGCACTATTTATAATAACCAAGACCAATAAAACTAATAACTCAAGAGTCCTTTGATAGATAAATGGATAAAGAAGATGTAGTATATATATACAATGGAATATTACTCCGCCATAAAAGAGGCTGAAATCTTGCCATTTGCAACAACACGGAGGGAACTAGAGAGTATTATGCTAAGTGAAATAGGTCACAGAAGGACAAGTACCATATGGTTTTGCTCATATGTGGAATTTAAGAAACAAAACAAAACAAAAAGAGACAAATCAAGAAATAGACTCTTAACTCTGATGAGCATGCTGCTGGTCAGCAGAGGGGAGGTGGGTGGGGGGATGGGGGAAACAGGTGATGCGGATGAAGGAGTGCACCTGTCATGATGAGCACTGAGTGATGTATAAAATTGTTGAATCACTATCGCGTACACCCGAAGCTAATCTAACACTGTATGTCAATTATACGGGAATAAAAATAAAAAGACATGAATATGGTAAAAAAAAATCAAGACAATACATTAAGATATAGTGATACATAAAATGTGAAGTTTGAGCTTCCTGCCCTACCCACAGGACACGCAAGTCTCCCTTGTGCACAAACAACTCCTAACAGCGGTTGTCTTACATTTTCTTCTGAAACATTTGCTTGTGTGCCTTGAATCTGAAGCATGTATATGTTCTATAACCACATACCTGCACACATAAGTATACAGGTTTTGTTATCTTTAAAAAGACATAATTTTCTGAGACGTACAATTTAACAATACATCTTAAATTTGTCTAAGCAGAGTTGCCAAGCTACCCTCCCAGAGCAAGTAGGTCAGCATGCTCCAGCGGCGACAGGATGTTCCACTACAGCCGGGGGCCGGGGAGCCCGAAGGCAGTGGCTTACCTGCCACAGCATAGGTACTTGAGTATTAAGGAAAGAACTGTAGATTTCCTCAAGTTCCTGGGTGAGAATGATCTCCCCTTTGATTGCAAGTTGAAGGCCTTTCAGAGATGTATGCACAATAAATAACAAATTATCAAATCGTTCAATTTCTTGGCTCAGAAAGGTTAGCAAGACGCAGTGGATAAGGGGATCATAGCCTAGATTTAGACAGAGAAAATTATGTATAGTTTTCAGATAAGAGGAGGCTTTACATGAAGGAATATAGGCTCTGGAAATTAAAGGAACCTCCAGACCAGGGACTGAAATGCATTTCCCGCAAAAAAGTCAGTAACTTTTGCAGCCTCTGTGGCTATCCCACCCGCGTTGCTTCTGGAGCGTGAACACAGGTGCTGACATACAAATATGAATGAGCCTGGCTGCGTGCCAATCAAGTTTTATTTGTGGGCACTCAAATACGGATTTCATATAATACTTATGTGCCTAAAATATTTTACCATTTTTTATCAACCATTAAAAAAACGTAAAAACCATTTTAGCCTTCAGGCTGTACAGAAACGAATGGCAGCCGGATGTGGCTGCAGTCCCAGCTTGCCGACCTAGTCCAGACTCAACAATAGCACTGACTGCATAGACTAGTGCTCAACATTCGGTTCTCAGATGAACCTTCTTTAGAGGGTTACAATATGGATATTGAAAATTTAATTGGCCGGTTACCACCGCCCCACCCTTTGGCCTGCAGAGCCGGGCTGCTCTGTCTCCTGTGGGCCCATCCCCTGCTCTGAGTTCTCAGGATCTGAGCCCCACTGCCTGCAGAGCTGCTCCTGGCTGCTCTGTGATAAGGATGATTTCCTCCCTTTTAGTCTTGGGGCCACGACCTTCCTCACCCTCCTCACCCCAGCCTCAACAGAAGTAGAGCCACAGCATTGTTTTCTTTTCTGCTTGGAGAGACAAGACAAGTGGGTGGTGCTCCCTCAGGCTTTTTACTTCTGTGGCACCTTTGGGGGGAAATCCACTCTCCCATTCCCTTGGTGGCCGAGTCCTTCCCCAAGGATGCAGCTCACGTCTGTGCTTACCTTGGATACTCTTATAAAGAGATTCCCAAATGGGGCTGGACATGATGCATTTCAAGGTGCTGGGAGTTCCAGCATATTCTTCTTTCTCCACAGACACTGGCAGCCGCTTTAGCATGTCAGATAAAATTTCCATTACTAGTTCATCGTTACTCTGCTCATGACTGCAGAAGAAATTAAGAGGAGAATGAGATACAGGTCTGTTCAATCTGGGAGAGCCCTCTGATCAGTCGCATCTGTAGGCAAACACAGCCTCACGGAACCATGGAACTATGAGATGAAGATACAGAGGAGAAAACTGTCCAATGCATGGCAGATACTGACAAGAAAGTATATATTTTTGAAGTTTTAAGATTTCCTTTTAACTATTTATCCTCTGAATGCGTCTGCACAAAGTGCCAACACTGGACTGAAGAGTAGGCAGGCCACTGGCATGTGATTGTGGAGGGTCACAGGACTTCAGGTGTGTACTGGCTCATCTGGTGGCATCCTGAGTGGCCATGTGGGTACAGGTGTGGATGGGGCTGTGATGCTAAAGCTGGAGGAACTCTTTGAAACCAGGGCCCAGGGTGGTGACTGAAGCTCCCTACCATTAGTGGAGGAGAAGGAAATGGGACCCAGCACTTTGGTATTCCCACTCTGCTACTCAAAGTACGGGCAGGGACTGGCTTTCAACCAATGCCCTGGGACACACACTCAGATGACTGTTGTCCTATAAATTCAGCGGTAGTCTGGAGGCTGCAACCACACGTAACGCGCTGCTTCTGAGCCAGCTTACCACTCCCATGAAATAGCTGGGGAAACTTAGCTTTTGATGTGTAAGTCGGATTTACTCAGGAGGAGTTCATCCAGGGTGGCTTCTGATGTTTTGCAAGATCAAAACATTTCAATAATCAAACATCTCCAAAGGGAAAATGTTTGCTACCACCAAGGTCATTAAATAGGATGGGACAGATCTGTTAAGTCCTGTCACACAGAAAAGTTTCTAATGTTTTAAGTAAAGGCAGCCTAAGTGCAATAATCTTAGCTTCCTGAAATGACTGGAGGGACATACATATGCTTATGAAAAGCAACCCCTTAACAATCATCTCATCTCTTACTGATGTATTTGTTGGAGACTAAAAGTACAGAATTAATATTTAGAAGTGTAGGATGTGCAGGGAATTTAACCTGCTATTCTGGGGATATACTAGAAGATTTCTAATTACCATTTCCTTCTGTGTGTAGCTTCCCTACTAATTTGCAAATAGGATATATTCACTCATTCAGGGAAATGGAAACTCAACTGTGTTTATTTCATGTCAGTGGAATGATCTTGGAAGATATGACCAAAGAGTCAGCCAAAGCCACAGTGAGAATCCAATTGGATATTTTAATATGAATTTTGTGGTCCAAAAAGACAGGAAGACCATAAGAGTACAGGATTCCCATGGGTTCAGAGGTTTTAGAGGCAAGTGGAACAAATAAATAACACGAGTATATTAAGAGCCTGTCAGACGGTGGAGGAGGGCCAGTCAAGTATCCTTCAGACTGAGAAGCCCAGTGACAGAGTTTTATTTGGGGTAACTTACTGACAGGTAGGAACCTGTGGATGGAAGATCCTGACAGTACGCAAATATTCTCCACAAAATCCGAGCCTCACCCCACAGCTTTTATAGAAGGAGGGGTCTTGTGGTGAGGTCACAGGGTTGTGGTCTAGAGGGGGGTCTGCCTGAGCCTGAGGGAGAACATTGGGGGCCATAGGTGGGGCTAGTGATGCCAGTACCCTGCAGAGCAAAGAAAATGTCAATCCTGGTCTATGAGTACACAGGCGGTTAGGGCACGTGCCATTGGAACCTGGGATGGGGCAATGTGACCGTCACCTCACAGGGTTTTGGAGTTGTTACCATCTTAGTGACAACTATAATCAGGGTTCAAGGTATCCTCTGAGGGTTGCCAACAAGCATCAATTCATATTGAGGTTTCTATCTCTGTTTTAGCTGATTTGCCTATTGTTTTTTTAGCATCTCTCAACAGGGGAAGATGTAGAAGTTGGTGTAGATAACGCTAACAGAATCAAAGTCACAATGACAATAGTTTTGTGTTCAGGAATGTGTACATGTTGGTATTGTAATATTTGTGATATTTAAGATATTTGGGGCTCTTAAAACCTGAAGGTCAGCTTTGGGACTCCAATTTAAAACAAATAATTGAGAAATGGGTTTAAATTTATGATTTTAGGTTGAAACCAGCTAAGTTGATATATTTAAAACATAAGAGAGTTTAAGATCCAGCATATTTGTTTAATGAACCCAAGACGAAAGACTTAACTGACATCCCCAAGTTTGCAAAGTCAAGTGGCAGAGCTGGGATTTGAACCCAGAGTCCACGAGGAAGGAAGAGAAGTGAAGCCTGTGTCCTGAGCAGCTCTGAATGAGCACCCTGGAGGGTGTTTCCAAATAGCAGGAACATGCTTTGCTAGGAAGGCCATCATGCCACTGAGGGCTCACACCAGCTAGTGGCCTTGACAAACACAATCTTATCTTATAGAATTTGGGTCACATCTGTGAGACCATTTGAACCTCATAATGGCCTTGATGGGTAGAGACAGGCATTGTTTCTATGGACAGATAAACAGTGTGACCTTGGATACAGAGCATTCAAATAAGAGCTCTGAGCAACACAGGCCTCTAAATGCAGAGTTAGCTCCTCTTGACCATGCTGTCCTCTTACTGTGATGGGGATCTTTCCCTGTCCTATAGAAGTAAATATGACATTTCACATCGAAACAAATTCTGTTTAAAAATGCCACACACCACACAAAGATTTATGGAGTACCCACTACATACTTCGTAATTATATTTATGTGTGTATGTGCACATGTGCTCCTGTGTGTCTGCTTGTCTGTGTCCTTTGGAGAATTTGTCTGTATTTTTAGACTGTATTTTATATTTTGCACCGTATTTTAGATTTATTTGTCCATACGTTCTGCATCAAATCTCTTCAAATTATTAACTTATTCCTTTAATATTTAATTCTTTCATATGAATGTTTAATAATTTCCAACTAAAACTTCTCCTGCTGAGTTCTTACCTGATCATGAGTTTGGCAGTGGTACTTCTTGGTTGCATGGCAATGAGACTGTCGATGAATTTCTGGCCCTGGATCTCCCTGCAGCCTCTTATGGCCTCAGGGTGCAGTCCTAGGAGCTCAGGAGAGTCGTCGTCAGGCAAGGACTGGATAGTGTGTATGCAGTCCATTATGCTCCCAAATTTGGGCACTGGCTGATGTATCTGAAAATTTAAGCACTTTGTAAGTTTTTTTTTCCCAGAGTGATACCTATTTTCAGGAATGTATGAAGATACTACTTCCCATAAAAGTTATACAGAAGGCTCTTTTTTTTTTTTTAAAGATTTCACTTATTTATTCATGAGATACACAGGGAGAAAGAGAAGCAGAGACACAGGCAGAGAGAAAAGCAGGCCCCATGCAGGGAGCCTGACGTGGGACTCAATCCCAGGTTTCCAGGATCAGGCTCTGGGCTGAGGGCAGTGCTAAACCGCTGATCCACCTGGGGTGCCTGGCTCTTCTTATTTCTTATGTCAAAAGCTACCTCTGGGATGACTGTATTTGTAAAGTGAAGTTGTATGATATGCACAATAACTTCCTTGTTGGGAAAAGAGACTTTAAAAGCTAGGCTGATTCTGACTACCTATTGCCTCTGTGAGCTGTACCCACAGAGAGTGGATGCAATCAAGCCTTTAGCCATTTTACTGGGGTAAAAACTAAAGAAGGAATGTGACAGTGATCTTAAGAATCATTCTGACCCCTTGGGAGGTGGGGGATGGGCAAAATAGGTGAAGATGGGTAAAAGGCACAAAATTCCAGTAATAAAATAATAAAATTTTAAGAAATTGACAAGCTACTTAATGGGCACGGGAGAGCTTCCTGTCTACCAGCTGCATCTTCCTGTGATTAGCTCTGAGTACTGCTTTCTAAGGCTGACTTAGATAGTGTGACTATCAGACTTTCGTCTGATTGGGAGACAATGTGCCTTCAAAACCCTATTCAGTGCTAACAATGAACATGACTCTGCTGGTTTAAAATACGTCCAACCACTTCTTTGACACCATCCCTTTGAAACATGGAGCTGCCTTCTCTCCTTGAATGGAGGCTGCCTGCCGTTGGCTTCTATTGACAGAACATGGAGCAGAGGGGACAATGTGTGACCCTGGGGATGAGGCCATAAATGGTACTATAGCTTCTTTTCTCTCTGGTGGTTCGGTTGCTCTGGGGATCACCAGTTGCACAGCCCCAATTCTCTGACATCCCCCGCATCTAGCTGGTGGTCAAAGAGCCACCCCCAGCGCTGCCACCAGGGCACAGGACATTCCAGCAGCCCTAAGGTCCCAGGTGTTGAGGCTTTGGGCCAACAGTCCTGTGAGCAGGCTGGGGAGTGGCTTTTCATGCCTCAGTTAAGCCCTTATGCCCTGCAGCCCCATCACTCTCTGGGGGGCCCTGAACCACCACCACACAACTGAGCTGCCCCTGGGATACATGCTGGTGCGGTTTATTGGAGAACATTACAAATCAATTCACAAGAAACTCAGTTTAAAAATGAAATGTATCTGCTTGGGTTGAAAGGGATAGAGACAGTAAAACTTGAAGAGGATGTCAGACAGCTGTAAAACTGCAAAAAGGAAGCTGCTGAAGAAATGGTTTAGCTATAGACATGGGCCCCTTTTTACAGAGTTGGAAGGATGGTGCAGAGGGCGGAACCAAGAGCCCGGTGCTCAGACACAAGGACCTCTGAGTGCTCCTGGGAAGTAAGACTGGGTCTCAGGCCTGGAGCTGGTAATCCCATAGGATCACATTTCTGGGGACTCATGGCCATTGTGGGCCTTCCGTTTGGGTCTCTTCGTAGGGACATGTAAATCAGAATAATCCAAGGGACAAAAGTCATGTCCAGGTCTTCTGGCCTTGAGAGTGCAGATGGATAGATGAAATGTCAACTGCTAGATTAATGGTAAGTTATTTCTGTAATGCTAGAAGTTAATAAAAGCATTGGAAGTGAGCATTATGGTTTCTTTAAGGGCAGATTCTAAATAATGCAACAACATTTAGATAACCAAGTAGTGTAAGGAAATACATGTTCTTACCTCATCACTGGAGAAACTGAAGTCATCCCTCAGCACGTCAGGATTACAATATTTGTAGAGAAGGGTGTTCAAACATCGCCGGTCCCAGGTGTCAGTCACCCGGCCCCCGTAAATCACCTCCCCAAACAGGTAGCGCAGGGTTGGCCACGAAATACTGGACCGGGTGCTCAGGGCATTCTCCAACATCTTTATGGCAACCTTTAAAAAATCCACTTGTTTTTATTATTTCAGAATGTGTCTGCAGCTCACTTTGATGTTTTAACATAAAATCAACAATTCTCAATCAGCCACGTATATTTTCTCTTTTAAAATACAGTTGACCCGTGAATAACAATGCATTTGAGTTATGTGGGTCCCCTGTATATGTGGGGTTTTTCACAGTCCTGTAAATGTATTTTCTCAATGTCATTTTCTTTTGTGGAGCTGACTTCATTATAAGGAAACAGTGTATTATACACACAACATTCGGAACAGGTGTTCATTGAGTGTCCATCGCTCAGTCAGGCTTCCAGTCAGCAGTCAGCTGTCAGGAAAGCTTTGGGGAGTCAGAAGCTGTATATATAGATTTTAACCACACAGGGGGTCAATGCCCCTATTCCCTGCATTTCCAGGGTCACTGTATCTGGAAATAGCAAGACAGCTTGCAGAGGTGTAATGGCCGCTTGTGAAAGCTGAGCGGCCTCTTGAGGATGTGGAAGAGGTGGAAGGTGCCCGTCCAGAGCGGGTGTAGGGCGGGTGCAAGGCGGGTCTCAGGGGCAATGCCCAGCGGCAGAATCAAGATTATGCTCAGAGCTTGTTGGTATTTGCTCTGACCTGGGGGAAATGTAAGCAGCTGTTACCACGTTTCCTTCAGCAGTAAGAAAATACCCTGCAAAGTCCACAGAAGGCTCTAGACCGAGACCAGTGAGTTGTGTGTTTCCCCCACCCGTGGGTCAATGCAAGCTCTTACTGCTGACACATTTGCAGAGAGGTTCCTGACAGCCTCACCTCAGGTCAACTAGTCGGCCTCAAAGAAAGCCCCCTGGAACAGTTCCCCGTGCCTGCTCTCCCCTGGCTGCACCCTGCCCTGGCCCCACTGTCCCCGACACTCCCCCCCACTTCCTCTCCCTTTCTTGATCCTGCTTTTTTCTTTTTTGGCCCAGGGAACAAAGAGCCCGAGAGGTCGCCAGCTTGCCCACCAGAGTAAATGCTGTACATCTGTAGGTGGGGGCTGTGATCTGTTTCCAGAAAAGTTGCCTTCAAGGCCCCTTCTCAACACTGGCCCTTGTCATGTGGTCACAGAGTTCACTCTCTTACCATGAAAATACTCAGTGTCTGTGTAGACAGACACTAGGCAATTTGAATCATACTGTGATTCATTTGTTACTGTTTATTTTGAAGACATCACACTTACCTCCAAGTCTGAAGAACTAAATTTATAAGCAATATTCCAGCCCAATATTCCATAATTTTTTCTTTCATTGATCAGAGCATTGAAAAAACACAGGCTGAAGAGAAGTTTTTTCCACCACGGTCCACAGTCAGGTTTTTCAAATATCTCTTCTGTTACCTCTCCACTCCCACTATATCCAAATGTCTGAAGTAAATTACTTTTCAGTCCTGGGGGATTTTCCACTGTGATCTTTAAAAGAGGTAATGATAGCATGTGAGCAACAGATGCAGGCACAAGGTCCAGGGAGATGCTTGCCTACATTGCTCTGGTACAAGAACTGGGAGGAGTGCCACTGTTTGCAACAGTCAGTGGCAAGTAAAAAATCCTGAGTTATTCTTTTTTTAATTTGAAAGTTTCTGTTAAAAGATTGTACCAGATTTCCTGTCCCAATTCAGATCTTAAAATGAAAAGTTTAACACTGTCATAAAAGCACTTCTATTGGCTCTAAGTACAGTATCCTGGAAAGTTTGACAGTGAAGAGCTACTGTAGTGGCCACATGGCTGTGACAAATGTGGTGCTGCATGGCCTTGGAGAGCAGCAGACTCGGGGTGCCCAGGACAGGAGACAGAGGAACAAGGGGGCTGACACATCTGTCTCATCAGCACTGATACTAACTTGGTGTATTACTCAATTGTTCTGCTGGCATTAAAAATCCCTTTGGTTGACTTCTTAACTAGGGTGATCGCAGTGATGAGGGGCAGAGGTTAGGTGGGGAGATCCAGCTTCAGGGGCTTTTTAGAGTGTGGCTGTTAACTCTGAAACTGCAAAAGATTTGAAATGTTCCCCTACTTGCACATTTACACATATATATATACACAGACATACATGCACACACACAAATTCACATATAAGAGTCATGTGGGTCTGTATGCAGAACATATGGATGTGTTATGCACATGAACATGATGTTTCTGGATCAAGGATCAGGCTGATGTGTATGCACAGAGAGGCTCACAGTGCTCCCCCATGCTCCAGTTCCCCATGGGGTGACACAGGCAGAGCCAGATATACCCTGAGCATGTGTAGAGTGCATCTGTGCCCCAGAACAGGTACTCGAGGGATGAAACTCGGTGCTCATATAGAATGGCTGGCAGAGCAGTCCCTACTTCTTCCAGAGATAGACAAGCAGGAAGACGTTTGCTCTGGAATGTTTTGGAATGCAAACAAATTCTCTCTGGGGAGACAGGAGCAGGTGCCTGGGTTTTCATGATTCCTGGAGTGTGAGCGAACAGCTCTGAGCCTTTCCATCCTCTGCATGCAGACACATGACCATGGAAAGAGCCTAGGAGAGCAGATATTCTCTCCTTCCAAGGCCCCATTATCTTTCAACATCTTTCAATGCAGATTGCCTGCAATTTTTGTGGAGAAAGCCCTGACTGCAGAAATGAGGAAGTGTTCAGAGAGTTTTTTTTTTGATGTGTGTTTATTTTATTTTATTTTTTTTATAAATTAATTTTTATTGGTGTTCAATTTACCAACATACAGAATAACACCCAGTGCTCATCCCGTCAAGTGTCCCCCTCAGTGCCCGTCACCCATTCACCCCCACCCTGTTCAGAGAGTTTTGTTCCCCGGGTATCATGGTTGATTCTCTGGAGACTCTTGCTCATGTCTGCTCCCTGTGAGGAGCAATGTATGAAGGGAAAGGCAGGAGGGAGAGGGGAGAGAGAGACAGGGAAAGAGAAGCTGTTATCTTGTGGAAGAAAGCTGCTAACATCTGAACTGAGGGAGTATTTTGCTAATTAGAGCAACGGATCTACGGGAGGTGAAAGTTCCTCCAAGCTCTTTCTCTGTCTTGCCTGCCACCCTTTGGTCTCCATCCCTAACACCTGCTTTCAACTTGCTTCTGCTAGAGCCTTTCCAGAAAACATGCTGTGGGGTGCTTTGGGGAGCAGAAACAGGAAAGGCTGGAGAAGAAGACTGAGAGGATAACTCAGATCCCACATTCTGGTTTATGGCTGTTGGAAGTCTCAACATCCTCATTGGAGGAAATGTCCATCAAACTCTCAATTACTTGGAAGCAAGGATCTCATCTACTACCTGAGCATCTTTTCTGGCCCACAGGTCAGGGCTGAGCTAGAGTAGAAAGTCAAGCACTCTTCAGAATTCAGAATCATGAATGCAAGTTAGTTTACACTCAAACAGTACTCCTCAGTCAGTATCAAGCTCTGTTCTATTTTGTCCTTACCTTCAAACTCTTTTGAAGAATAGGAATTGGGAAAGAACTGTCTGATTTTGAGCTCAACCACAGCCGGAACTCAGGGTCTATTGTCACATCTGGGCTATTAAATCTGCAAAATACAAAATTTATAAATATTTTAGTGTAAAAATTTTTGTTAAAGATTTTATTTATTTGAGAGAGAGAAAGAGAGAGCAAGCGAGTACACTAGGGGGAGGAGGAGCAGAGGAGAAGCAGACTCCCCTCTGAGCAGGGAGCCTGATGGGGCTTGATCCCCGGACCCTGAGGTCATGACCTGAGCCAAAATCAAGAGTTGGATACTCAATCAATGGAGCCACCCAGTTGCACCTCTTTTTCTTAAAATAAAAGTATTATGCTGTACCTGTCTGTAGCCTGCTGTTTTTCCTCTTAACAATATTTGAACATATTTTCTTAACTCTTACATGTGAGAAATTTGCTTCACATTTCTCTCTCCCACAGTAGGCTGCTGGGTGGCAGTCTTAAATACTTACAGGCTTGATTTGACAAAGAAGTATGAATTTCTCTTAATTACACTCTGATTATATAGAATTTTTTTTACACATTGTTAATTACTCTTATTAAGTTTCTGAAATTCTGTTCTGGAGAATGTTCCTCCAATTTCTGTTTTTAGAATGATACATGGCTATCTGCCATTCTATTGTTACTCTATCTTAATACACTTTGGAAGGTTAATAGGATGTCTATCTGGTCCAGACTGTGTCCTTGGTCTCTGGAATGATTCTTGGGAAATAGGTAGGTGCCCTATAAATAGTTTTTGAATGAACAATGACTGAAGGACTTGGTAGAAATTATTGTGTCATCTTCCAAAGTTTACAACTATTGAAATCATACAACTAGGCAAATGTCATCTTCTGGCTCTCTTAAGTGGTAAAGTAAAGGTGAAACAGAGATTACTGAATACTTTTGAAACTACTAAAAGCATAGGAGCCTGAGAACAGAACAAATGATACTAACAAAGTTTTTAGAAATTTAAGTCAGATCAGTTGCATTTTGGTTTATAGTTTCTTTGTGGATGCTCATGACATAAAAACAGCTGCATGAAGAAAACGAGGCCCTTACATGATCACACATCCCAAATACAGCATCAGTTGTGGCCAGTGAAGCAGACAGAAATGCAAAGCTGGAGACAGAACTATAGAAGACAACTGCTTAAAACTTTCCTAATTTGAAACATTGCTGGGGCACTTGGGTGGCTTAGTTGGTTGAGCATCTGTCTCTTGGATTCATCTCAGGTCATGATCTCAGGGTTGTGAGACTGAGCCCTCCATCAGGATCCTCACTCAGCAGGGAGTTGGCTTGAGATTCTCTCTCCCTCCTCCTCTGCTCTTCCTGCTTGCTTGTGCACATGTGCTCTCTCCCAAATAAATAAATAAATAAATAAATAAATAAATAAAATCTTAAAAAAAACCCAAACATTGATAATTCTTCACTCAAGCTTAGCAGTCGACTCCCAACTACTTCCACTGCCAACAAGGGCTGAGCCTCTGGAAGTTTCTGTCTGAGTGAACAGTCTTTGAGAGATGCAGCCTAGAAAAGTGGACTTAGTCCAAGAAAGTCAAAGTAAGTACTAAACATAGGCCATAAAGTAAATCACCCCTGGAAGGAGGGATGTGAGCTATTGCATTTTGCTGTGCAGAATCATGTAGAATAATAAAGACTATGTCTGTAGGTTTATCTACTGAGAGGGAGGGCTTAAGAAGGAGAGGAAGGAAGTGATGAAGGCAATGGAGAGTAGAAACCAGAGAGGCTTTTTTTCTTATAAAATTGAGGTATTCTTAGTGTAGTTTAAAGATCCTGGAGAAAGGAGAGTCCATGTAAAGCAAGCTGAATTTTCTCTGAGTGGCACAACACTATCACTATTATTTTATCGTTGCTTCACGTGGCTGTTCCCAGTTTTACGTCACTGTTCTTATAATTAATCTGATCCCTTACAAATAAATGTAAAGCTCTTACGACTCAATGATAGTACAAAGCCTTGGCATAAACGATGCTGCGAGGTGACAGTTCAGGAGGAAGACCCATTGAGCGGCTCTGGGGAGGGCCTTCATGATGAGCTCCTCTGCCTTAGCGGCTTGGCCGGGGCCCAGGGAAATCATGGTCACATGACTTGTTCCTCCTTTTAACTCTTGTGCAAACTTCAGGACAGTGTTGGTGGGGTCGATCCCTGTACAGCAATGTGGAAATGTACACATAATTGTAAATTCATCTCATCCCCTTTTGAAAACTTACATCTGTCTTTGTTTCTTTATTTATAATGGGCTTCACAGCCAGCGTGGGCCCCCGTGTGGGGCTTGAACCCACAACCCTGAGATTAAGACCTGAGCTGAGATCAAGAGTCAGATGCCTAACTGAGTCACCCAGGCACCCCTGAAATACTTCATTTTAGCAGCTCCTGCAGCCAGGTATGGGCATATAGGTGTTGTGAACAAGCTTTGGTAGCAAAGTTTGTTAACTTTTATAATACTTCCTTTCTTCTACTCTATTGTTTAGAGTGTGGACATGAGGGCTAGAGCCTGGCAGCCATTCTGGGCTATGTCTGCAGGAAATGGACAGCAGCTACTCTGTGTCAGGTATAGAGCAGCTGATTTACATAAAAGGTTACAGAGGAGGAAGGCTCTGCATGGACACATTTTCAGAAAAATTTTCAAAATACTTTATTTATTTATTTGACAAAGAGAGCATGCACAGGTAGGCAGAGCAGCAGGCAGAGGGAGAAGGAGAAGCAGACTCCCCGCTGAGCAGGAAGCCTGATGTGGGACTCCAGCCCAGGAACCTGAGATCATGCCTTGAGCCGAGATCATGCCCTGAGCCAAAGGCAGCCACTTAACTGACTCAGGCTCCCCTCAGAAAGTTTTTATTGCCCAATTGAATCAAAGTTTGAAAATGGTGAATTGTGAAGACATACTTGATTTAGAGATGACAAAGAACAGAAGATAAGTTAAAATATTTTGCTTAGGGTCTGTGGGGCAAAGGCAAGGGAAAAAGCATTTGGAGTTTTGAGGGATACAAGGGTAGTGTTGGCAGGGCCACTTTCTGATGGTTTGTCATACATGTATGTTTTCATGACCCAACATATTAAAACAGTTAATAAATACAAGGTCCATCCCAACTTCCAGATTGATAATACGTGTTTAGGAGATATTTTCTGCACAGAGAATTAGCACTGAGAAGTGTCTTATGGTTATGAATCTGGGAAATTCTATTATTCTTTGTCCTTTTACATTTTTAGAAATATTCAGTTTTAATTTGGTTTAAAGTTTTAATCAGTCCCTTTCCCAAAATAGTTAAATAAGAATAGGGAAATATCTTAAACATAATACCCAGCACTGAGCATACCTGTCTACACCTTCTGGTTAGTATTGTGATGGTGTCTTACCTGTGCTCATATAGCTTACCATGGGTGTGAGTAAGTATCAGTGGAGTTATGGCTGTGGACTCCTTGTAGGGCTCTTTCAGATTCAATCCCATTCTCAAGACATAGTCATTTCCCATTTTTTCAGTTATAAACCTTTTCACTGAATTCTTTAAATGCTCTGGTCGAAGGATTTTTATCTAAACAAGAAAGCAGGGAAGATAGGGTAACTTTAATAAAGCACCCAAGGGAATGGCCCCTATGGTAAAATGGAATAAAATGAGGAAGTATTCATCATTTGTGTCGTCAGAGTTTTATGGGAACGTTTAATGGCAGAGGGTCTGTGTGTGCTGGAGAAACCGCCACCATGGCTCATGATCCCTCCTTGGTGTCAGGGCCACCTGGTGCCTCCCCTCCCTCTCACACTGACAGAGATCTTGCATTGGTTGTAAAAATCTAAGTTATGGTTCCTGATTCTGCAAAGAGAAATTTGGCTGTGGGTCTCTTCCTGCTCTGCTGAGTGGGGGATGGAACTCAGGACGGCACAACCGGAAGACCACTAACTCCTCCACGAGTAACATAAAGGGAAGTAGCACAGCAAACCGAGTTTGTATCCAAACAGAGCTCGAGAGGGGCTGGAAGACTTTGGAAGCAGTGTGCATGTGGTAAGTAGAGGTTTGGGGCCCACTGGAAGAAACCATTGCAAATCTTGGAGGAAGGATCTTTTCCATGAAAATTGTTTCATACAAACTAAACTTATGTGTTATTTATAAAATGATCCTGAATTCTGTCCTTGGCATCAGAGACCTCATCATTTAAGGCAAAGCTGAAACTATGTGTGGATCTGTGTGGATGCCCTAGGTTGAACCATGGGAAATTGCTATTTTTACATTGTCACATATTGATTATTATGTCAAATTCTGCTCTTTTCTGTTACTCCCTGGAAAAATTAATCAATTTTATCTAACTAAATGTGGTACATATATATTTTTAGATGAAAATTGGAAGCATGCAAAGCATCTGGGGTCTAAGAGCAGGGCTTGCCCAGCACATCCACTTAACAAAAGCACAGGAATCATCTGAAAGCAACAGATGTTCAGGTGTAGTCCCGACACGTCACCCTGAGAGTCTGTGCTCCCAGTTGCAAGTGTGACCCGCTGTTACCATCATGCTGCTCCTTCCTTATTGTATTGACCAATAAAATGATGCCTTTGTAAGTTTTAACACGGAGCGTGGGGGTGAGAGAGAAAGCAAGACCAGCAGAAATGGGGTTGTGCTGAACTCAGTTCTGCAGCTCCTTTCTAAACAACTACAGACAGTTCTGGAAATTCTCATGTCCACTTTCCCTGTCCCTGCCTTGTCTTCTTTCCCTGTCCAGCAGACCATTGGAATAGGGAGCGGTGCATCAACTGCATCCTTGCCCTCACAGAGCTCTGAGATAGTGTCCTTCCCCAGGTGGAGCCTTCTTTCTAATGTATTCTAAATCTCTCATGTGGCAATCTCAATTTCTGACTCTCACGGTCAGACCCAGTTTCAAATATTCTAACTCAATTTCTTTATATGAGCACTTGAACTTCATCAGACCATGTCTTTTGACTGTGGGTTTGGAAAATAGGATTGCTACACTCATGAAGTTTCTAGCTCACAAACTAACATCATCTGGAGTTTACTGGGGAAAGTCAATGTATCACAGGCTTTAAAAATGTGCTTAATTTTGCTGTTAGGGTAATACATACTGGCTACTTAAAATTCAAATAATACAAAAAGCCAGAAATTGAAAAATGGAGGTCCTGGGATGCCTGGGGGACTCGGTCGGCTGAGCGTCTGCCTTCAGCTAGGGTCATGATCCCAGGGTCCTGGGACTGAGCCCCATGTCAGGTTCCCGGGAGGGAGATTGCTTCTCCTTCTTCCACTGCCTGCTGTTCTCTCTGCTTATGCTCTCTCTTTCTCATGAATAAACTTTAAAAAATCTTTAGAAAAAGAAAAATGGAGGTCTTATTTCCTGGAGAACCATGACTGGTTCTTGTGGCTCCTTGCAGATGTGTTCTGTGCACATACAAGCATCACTCCATCTACCATCCTTTGCTCCACAGGTGGACCTATACTACAGACTGTTAGATGTTTAGCATTTGTCAGTTACTGCAGCTTAAATGTCTGTTCATGTCATGATGAGGTCAACAATCCACAGGGGGGGTGGGGGTGGGGGTGGGGCGGGGGTCAGTCATCTATAGTCGCCAGGTGGGTAACAGGAATTAGAGAAGTCGGCTGGACAGAATGAAAACAATTCTTCCTGTAAGAAAAACAAAGATGTAAGTATGGTATGGTGCCTACTGGTGGCCGACAGTCACTGCCCATGTGAGGCAGTGATCACCAGTAGTGATGACCATGGCATACCCATTCTTGGGGCAGATGCTGCTCAGCTCTTACTGTTGCTCCTGAGACTGCAGATCCAGTAGTGCCTGATCTCTTACTTTTTCAGTAAAAGCTGGAAATATGGACTTTTTTGTGAAATCTCTCAATTTGCAAATTTTGGCTCAAAAGAAAAAAAAAAACAAAAACTACTTGTACACCCATATTCATAGCAGCCCAAAGGTGGAAGCAGCCCATGTGTGCACAGGCAGATGAATGGATAAAGAATGTAGTACATCCAGCCAATGGAATATTCCTTAGCTCTGAACAGGAAAGAGATTCTGACACCTGCTACTACATGGTGAGCTTGAACACATTATACTGAGTGAAAGAAGCCAGACATGGACAGATAAATGTTGTGCAATTCCACTTCCATGAGGTTCCTGGAATAGACAACTGCAGACAGAAAGTAGGGTGGTATTTGTCAGCCTAGTGGGAAAAAGGAATGGGGAGTTACTGGTTAGTGGGTGCAGAGTTTCTGTTTAGGATGATAAAGTTCTAGAAATAAGATTGTGTTTGCACAGCACTGTGAATGCACTTTAATGCTGCTGAATTTATCATGTAAGAATTAAAATTTCTCACTTAATTTAAAAGAGATTAGAATTAAATGAAATGATGCATATTTTCCCTTCCCATCTCTTCCTATCTCTTCCCTTCCTTTTCCCTCCTTTTTTCTTTCCTTCTCTCTCCCTCCTCTTCCCTTTCTTTTCTTTCTTCCTCCTTTTCCTTTCCTCTTATTTCCTTTCTTCCTTTCTTTTTTAATATTTATTTATTTATTTATTTATTTATTTATTTATTTATTTATTTGGGGGGGGAGGAGAGTAAGCAAGGGGAGGATGGGGCAGAGGGAGCGAATCTTCAAGCAGATTCCCTACTGAATCACTCAGGCAAGGCAGCCATTAGGCAGTTTCTAAGCCCTGCCCCCCACCCCCAATTCCGTGAAGTGAGGGAAATAATCACATCTCTCCCCAAGATTACAATGAGGATTAAATGAAACAATGACTGTAACATGATTAGCATAGGCTAAGCTTTAGATGTTTTAAGGGGCTCATGAATGACAACCATTTATACCCCCAACCTGCCTTCTCCCAGGGATTCTGAAGCAACAGGGGTCAGGTAAAATATCACCTTTACTAACAATAGGAGGATGGCTGTGCTTTAGGCATGTGTGCTTCCTAATAGGGAACCCTAACAGGCTGGGTCTGTTCCTGGACCATCTGTGGTGCTGAGAGCAGAACACAGGTACACTGTTTGCAGGAAGGCAGATCCCAAAGGCACCAGGGAGAAGCTGCTGAGCCACGTGCTCTTGTTCACCCCACACATGGGGTCCCCTACTTCTGTGGGGGGGAGTCATGGGGGCAAGAGGGGCCAAGGATGCTACCCGATTGGACCCCCTCCACACAAATGAACCAGTAAGAATGTGCTTCCTTCTAACATGAACATTACTTGTAAAATCCATATATTTTGCTAATAAAATTTTAAATTTGAATGGTTTAAGTTACTGATAAAGTGCTCAAGACACTCAGAATTTCACTATTTTCTCATAGCACATCTTACCAAAATAAGTCTCTGAAATGGAGTGAGTTTCTCCCAGGGGAAATTCACAGGACTACACATGTCTTCATTTTCATCCAGAAGTTCAGCTAGATAGAATTTAGAGAAAGAAACTGAAATGAACAATCAAGTGTCTGGGATCACTAGAAGACACCAAAATGAAAATTTTGTTGTGAACTGTAAAGTTTTTTTTTTTAAACATGTCTAATTTCTTTTCTTTTTATTATTTTTTAAAAGATTTATTTACTTTAGAGAGAGAATGTGCATGAGTGTGTGGATGGGAGGGGCAGAGGAGAGGGAGAGAGAATCCCAAGCAGATTCCTGCTGAGCACCAGACATGGGGGTTTGGAGTGGGAGTGGGGAGTAGTGGAGGGGGGAAAATCTATCCCATGACCCTGAGATCTCAGCCTGAGCCAAAGTCAAGAGTTGGACGCTTAACTGATAGTACCACCCAGGCACCCTGTCTGACTTCCTTAAGACTTGAGGTATCCTTATGATCACAAGTGAGGTGAGCACTGAGCCAGGTCTAAGTGTGCCCATCCTGGTGGAGAGGCTGGCAAGGAGTGCTCTAACAAGCTTGTGAACTGCTGAAGCAGACACACGAGAAGCAGAGGTATGGCCAACACTTTATAATCTGTTCCTGCGAGTGTGAGGGTTTTCTGGTGAATATAAAGTAATAACTCCAGAGATTAGAAAGTTCTAGTTATAATCTACCTATAACAGATATGGGAAATGAGAATCAAGTGGAAATGCAACCAGATTCTCAAGTTTCTGCCTACTTATTATTTCAACGTATTTGCCCCATGTCTAACTTTAAACACAACTTGGAATACAGAAATAGCTTTTTTGGGATCTCTGGGTAGCGCAGCGGTTTGGCGCCTGCCTTTGGCCCAGGGCGCGATCCTGGAGACCCGGGATCGAATCCCACGTCGGGCTCCCGGTGCATGGAGCCTGCTTCTTCCTCTGCTTGTGTCTCTGCCTCTCTCTCTCTATCTCTCTCTGTGACTATCATAAATAAATAAAAATTAAAAAAAAAAAGAAATAGCTTTTTTGAATAGAGCTGTAATAGGTTTGTTGATTTTAAACAAGAAGTTTTCTCCCCCCAAATAAAAAGATCTTCACTTTTCAAAATAGTGACCTAGAGAGAAAACTCTAAGGAAGGAGAGCTTCTTAGTCAGAAATGGAAATCAGGAAGCTATAAAAGAAAGAAAAAGGTGTAACTGGCCACAGATTTCACCACTGTGTGGTAGAGACAGCATAAACAAATCCAAAAGACAATGACCGATTTTTTTTTTATTTTTTTTTATTTTTTATTTTTTTATTTTTTTTAATTTTATTTTTTATTTTTTTATAAATTAATTTTTATTGGTGTTCAATTTACCAACATACAGAATAACACCCAGTGCTCATCCCGTCAAGTGTACCCCTCAGTGCCCGTCACCCATTCACCCCCACCCCCCACTCTCCTCCCCCTCCACCACCCCTAGTTCATTTCCCAGAGTTAGAAGTCTTTATGTTCTGTCTCCCTTTCTGATATTTCTCACACATTTCTTCTCCCTTCCCTTATATTCCCTTTCGCTATTATTCATATTCCCCAAATGAATGAGAACATACACTGTTTGTCCTTCTCCGGTTACTGTGGCCAAGTTCAAAAAGGGTGTTGCCTGAGTTCTTCTCTGGGATTTTGATGGAATCTTGTCTCACATTTAGATCTTTCATCCATTTTGAGTTTATCTTTGTGTATGGTGCATGAGAGTGGTCCAGTTTCATTCTTCTGCATGTGGATGTCCAATTTTCCCAGCACCATTTATTGAAGAGACTGTCTTTCTTCTAGTGGATCGTCTTTCCTCCTTTATCGTATATTAGTTGAGCATAAAGTTCAGGGTCCACTTCTGGGTTCTCTGTTCTGTTCCATTGATCTATATGTCTGTTTTTGTGCCAGTACCACACTGTCTTGATGAACACAGCTTTGTAGTACAACCTGAGATCTGGCATTGTGATGCCCCCAGATATGGTTTTCTTTTTTAAAATTCCCCTGGCTGTTTGGGGTCTTTTCTGATTCCACACAAATCTTAAAATAATTTGTTCTAAGTCTCTGAAGAAAGTCCATGGTATTTTGATAGGGATTGCATTATACGTGTAAATTGCCCTGGGTAACATTGACATTTTCACAATATTAATTCTGCCAATCCATGAGCATGGAATATTTTTCCATCTCTTTGTGTCTTCCTCAATTTCCTTCAGAAGTGTTCTGTAGTTTTTAGGGTATATTTTGAGAACCATTTGAATGGTGAATGGTTCTCCAACCTTTTATTTTCAGGTTGTAGGTGTCCTTCTGTCTAAAATGAGTCTCTTGTAGACAGCAAATAGATGGGTCCTGTTTTTTTATCCAGTCTGAAACTCTGCGCCTTTTGATGGGGTCATTAAGCCCATTCACGTTCAGAGTTACTTGAACTTCTTCTTAAAGGGGAGTTTTAAGAGTCCCCCTTAAAATTTCTTGCAGAGCTGGTTTGGAGGTCACATATTCTCAGTTCCTGCCTGTCTTGGAAGCTCTTTATCTCTCCTTCCATTTTGAATGAGAGCCTTGCTGGATAAAGTATTCTTGGTTGCATGTTCTTCTCATTTAGGACCCTGAATATATCCTGCCAGCCCTTTCTGGCCTGCCAGGTCTCTGTGGAGAGGTCTGCTGTTACCCTAATATTCCTCCCCATGAAAGTCAGGGACTTCTTGTCTCTTGCTGCTTTAAGGATCTTCTCTTTATCTTTGGAATTTGCAAGCTTCACTATTAGATGTCGAGGTGTTGAACGGTTTTTATTGATTTTAGGGGGTGATCTCTCTATTTCCTGGATCTGAATGCCTGTTTCCCTTCCCAGATTGGGAAAGTTTTCAGCTAGGATTTGTTCAAATACATATTCTGGCCCTCTGTCCCTTTCGGCGCCCTCAGGAACCCCAATTAAACGTAGGTTTTTCTTCCTTAGAGTGTCATTTATTTGCCTTAATCTGTCTTCATGGTCCCTTAATTGATTGTCTCTTTTTTCCTCAGTTTCCCTCTTTGCCATTAACTTGTCTTCTATGTCACTCACTCGTTCTTCCACCTCGTTAACCCTCGTCGTTAGGACTTCTAGTTTGGATTGCATCTCATTCAGTTGATTTTTAATTTCTGCCTGATTGGATCTAAATTCTGCAGTCATGAAGTCTCGTGAGGCCTTAATGCTTTTTTCTAGAGCCACCAGTAGCTGTATAATGGTGCTTCTGAATTGGCTTTCTGACATTGAATTGTAATCCAGATTTTGTAACTCTGTGGGAGAGAGGGCTGTTTCTGATTCTTTCTTTTGAGTTGAGGTTTTCCTTCTAGTCATTTTGCTCAGTGCAGAGTGGCCAAAAACAAGTTGTATTGGAACACGGGGGAGTATCACTGGTCCGTCCAGCTGGTCTTCTGGGGGAGGGGCCTGCTGTGCTGATTTTCAGGTGTTAGCACTTGGGGGAGCTGCTCTGCCCCTGCCTGCTGCCGGGCTCAGCGGGGGTTGTTTACCCCGTGGGGCCCCAGGAGGAACAGCCGCAGTTGCTATGGCAACTCTGGAAGCCTGGATTCAGCCTCCGCAGGAACTACGGGGCTCGGGGCTCTCGGCTTTCCATCTGCAGGGCCTGGAGGCTCCGGGGCGGGGCCGCTGATCTGCTCAGCTCGGGGCAGGAGCGTCCTCGCTGTCCTGGGCCCTCCCGGCCTCTGCCTGTCCCGGGGGAGGCGGGATCCTGGGCTGTGTCCCGGCGCCCTGTGCTCCGGGGCCTGTGCTGGTGGATTCGCGCTCCCGCCCCGCAGCCCCCTCCGCGGAGCCGCCGCCCGAGCCCCTCCGAGCTGCTCCGGCCCCGCCGTGCGCGCTGCAGCCCTTAGGGAGCTCGGCGCACTCTCCCGGGCGCAGGTGTCTGTTAGTGTCCCCGGGAGCCCGAGGCCATCCCCGCCCTCCTGGGTCCTGCTCCAACTCCCTGCGAGCCCCTTTCCGCCCGCCCGGGAAGGTTGGTGCAGCTCCTGCTCCTCCGGGACGGGGCTCACCTGTCCTGGGGACACTCGCCACGGCCTCAGCCCGGCTCCTCGCGGGGCCCCTCCCCCTCGGAGGCCTTTTGTTCCTTTATTTCTTTTTCCCCGTCTTCCTACCTTGATAGAAGCGCGGACTTTTCTCACTGTAGCATTCCAGCTGGTCTCTCTTTACATCTCAGGCCGAATTCGTAAATTTTCAGGATGGTTTGAAGGTGATCTAGGTAATTTGGTGGGGACAGGTGATTTGGGGACCCTGCTCTTCCGCCATCTTGCCCCTCCCTCACAATGACCGATTTTTAAAAATAATTGAATGAATAGGTTGGTATCTTAACAAAACAAAAAGTTAATTATCTGTTACACCAATAGGGTTCTTACAGATGGTTAAAAAAGAATTAACACTCCCTAGAGTACATTTTATTTTTTTTAAGAAATACATTAAGTCCCAACTGCTGAGCACACATCTTGAATCTCAGTAGCTGTAGGATTTTCAACAGCCTTGCTGATGGGGATGCACTGGCCCTTGCGATGGTCTTCTTGTTGTTCAGATATGCCAAAGTCTTCAGCAAGGAGAGGGAAGCAAAAAAGGAAAAGGAAAGAAGAAGTGACTGCGTAAGGGGGCCAAGTCTGGTACTACTGAGAGAGACCATGAATGAAGGCTTCTAGCTTATATTTAAGAGAAACAGAAGCTTTTTATTTGTATCATTTAACCGAACTATGGACATCTCTGCCTCCCAGCTTCAGCATCAGAGTTGACAGTGAAGTAAATTTGCATCAGAACTTTGCATCTAGCTCTTACGCAGTATAAAAGAAAATTTTGTTTGCTTTTCAACGCAGTTTTTGTGGAAGAAAGAAGCATACTTTTAAATGGACAGTGAACTCTATCATAAGTTACTTGAAATCCTGTATCTGTCCTGTCTGTAAACATGTTTTAGATAAATGGGTTTAATTAAAGATTCAAAATACACATTTTCTTCAACGTTTAAGTTAATGAAATAAAATTTGAAATGGAAAGAAAAGAATTAACAATTCAGTAGAAAAATGGGCCAAGTACATAAATAGGTCAGTCCAAATGGTCTACAAACATCTGAAGAAAAGGTACTTAAATGTGGTGCTAGTCAGGAAATCCAAATTAAAGTACCTTAAAATTTTCAGATTGGCACGAGTTAAGAAAAAAATCAATACCCCTTTTGGAAAAGGAAGTCATGTACTGCTTGTGGAAATGTAAGTTATCCTGGACTTTTAAGACAAGTAACCTGGCAGCAGCTGTTAACATTAAATAATATGCTTCTGACCCAATGGTTCCACTCTGGCTGCTCATCCCACAGAGACAAGCGCAGAGGAAGTGTGTCTAAGGATGTGTCTGTCCTGCAAAATGTAATTGTATGTTATGGCAAAAATGTGGAAGCAAAGTGGAGAAAGCTGCGGAGGGAAACAAAGCAGGATGGGCATGGAGGTGGCAGGGAGTAGTGAGCAGGGACTCACATCTAAAGTAAGGTGTATTTCCTATGCAATTCTTAAAAGGCATCTGTTGTATAAAATAACCCATGAAATCTGCATCGGTTGCACAGGTGGCAGTGATGCTTACCCGTGGTGGTCACCTTGCAAGGCCTAAGGTGCATAAGTAACACGAGCCTTGCTCACCGCAAAGCTATGTTCCCTGTCAGACACTGAGCTACGTCTATAAGCTGACGATCCACAGACACATACATGCAACTCAGGTTAAGTAAAACACCGAATGTTCTCTTACTTCTCATTGGTGATTACTTACGTTTCTCCAATGAAGCATCTTCTGAACAGAAAGGTACACTCATCAGGCAATATGCAGCCTTACTGTTTATGAAAGCATCCCACTGGGGCACATTAGACAGAAGGGATTTGCACAGGAGAGAGAAGGGCTCCAGCTCACTGCTGACATACTGGCACTGCTTCCACCTGGATTCCGACAACCACTGAAGATGTCGATTTCTGCAGGTCTCATAGATACCTAACAGAAAAGGGGAAAGGACACGTTGAAAGGTACGATATCTATCAGCCTTGAGTTACTTATAAAAGGTAGATGTTAAATAAATATGTTGTTAAGGAAAAGCCATTTTATATAAAAAATTAATCACATAAACGGCAACTTTTTTCATTGTGGTAAAAACACAGAACATTTACCTTCTGAACAATTGGTATGTGTCATCAGTGTTAAGTACCTTCGTGTTTTTGTAAAACAGATCTCCAGAACTTTCCCTGCAAATCCAAAACTCAGTCCCCATTAAACAGGCCTCCCCAGCCCCTGGGCACCACCATTGCTGTCTCTATGCCTCCAACTACTTTAGATCCCTCAGGGGGATGGAATCACACAGTCTCTGTGACTGGCCTCAGTATAATGTCCTCAAGCTTCATCCATGTTGTAGCAGGTGTCAGGGATTCCTTCTTTTAAAGGCTGAATGATATCCCCCTGAAACGGCAAATCACATTGTGTCAATCCATTCATCCACTGATGGACACTGGGGCTGCTTCCACTTATTGGCTACATGAACAGTTCTGCTGTGGACACAGGTGTGCAGATAGTAATCTGAGACCCTGCTTTCAATTCTTTTGGATATATAACCAGTGTGGCATTGTTAGATCATATGCTGGCTTTATCTTTAATTTCTTTGAGGAGCTTCCATACAGTTTTCCATAAGAGCTGCACCAATAGTGTACGAGGGTTCTGATGCCCACACGCCCCTGCCAGCACTTTTCAAATTTTCGTTTTTTTACAGTGGCTGTCCTAATGGGTGTGAGATGATATCTCATTGTGGTCTTTTGGTTTGCATTTCCTGATGATTAAGGATGTTGATCATCTTTTCATGTGCTTGTTGGCCATCTGTATATCATCTTTAGAGAAATGTCTATTCAGATCCTTAGCCCATTTTAAAATTGGGTTATTTGATTCTTGTTGAGGGGTTGAAGTTCTTTATATATTCTGTACATTATCTCCTTATCAGGTATATGATTTGAAATTATTTCTCATTCCATAGGTTGCCTTTTTACTCTGTTGTGTCATTTGATGTACAGAAGTTTTTAAGTTTGATGTCATTGCATTTGTCTCTTTTTGCTCTTGTTGCCTGTGCATTGGTGTCATATCCAAGAGATTATTGCCAAGTCCCGTGTGATAAAACTTTCCCCTTCTGCTTTCTTCTAAGTTTTATAGTTTTAGGTCTTATGTTTAGATCTTGAATCCATTTTGAGTTTATTTTTATATTTGGTGTAAGAGTCCAGTTTTGTTCTTTTTAAAAAATATTTTATTTATTTATTCATGAGAGACACAGAGAGAGAGAGAGAGACAGAGACACTGGCAGAGGGAGAAGCAGGCTCCACGCAGGGAGCCTGATAAGGAACTCAATCCCGGGTCTCCAGGATCACGCCCTGGACTGAAGGTGGCGCCAAACTGCTGAGCCACCAAGGTTGCCCCAGTTTTGTTCTTTTGCACGTAGATATCCAGTTTTCACAGCACCATTTGTTACAGAGACTGTCCCTTCCCCACTGAGGGTGCTCTTTCCACCCTCACTGGAGATTTTTTGACCGTTTATGTGTTAATTTCTAGGCTCTCTGTTCTGTTCCATTGGTCTATTTACCTGTCTTTATGCCACTACCAGACTGTTTTTATTGTAGCTTTATTATATAGCTTGAAACCAAGAAGTTTGAGGCCTTTAACTGTGTTCTTTTTCAAAATTGTTCTGGCTATTTGGAGTCCCTTGAGATTCCATATGAATTTTAGGAAGAATTTTCCTATTCTTGCAAAAAGTCCTGTTGGGATTTTGTGAGGAATTACACTGAATCTGTAGATTGTTTTGGGTTAGCATGGACATCTCAACAACATTGTTTGCCAACCCATGAACATTGGATGTCTTTCATTTATTTGTGTTATCTTCAATTTCTTTCAGCAATGTTTTGTAATTTTCAGTATATGCGTCTTTCACCTCCTTGGTTAGGCTTATTCCTAAGTGTTTTATTCCTTCTGATTCTATTACAAATGGGATTGTTTTCTTAATTTCCTTTTCATTTTATTTGTTGTTTATGTATAGAAACACATCTAATAATGTATAATATGTATACATTATTATATATGTATAATAATGTTTTGTATCTTGCAACTTCGCTGTATTGGTTTACTAGCTCTAACAGTGTTTTCATGAGAAAGAGAAAACTCTAAAGAGTTGTCATGTCATGTCACCTGTGAACAAAGATAGTTTGCTTCTTTCTTTCCAATTTGGATGGCTTTTATTTTCTTGTCTGGTGCATTAGCTAGAACTTCCATGTTAAAAACAAGTGATGAGAGCAGGGGTATCCTTGATTTGCTTGTGATCTTAGAGAAAAACTGAAGTTTCACCACTGAGTAGGATGTTAGCTGTGGGTTTTTCACAAATGACTTTTATTGTGTGGAGATAGCTTCCTTCTATTCCCAGCTTGTTGAGTGTTCTTAGTCATGAAAAAAGTTGAATCTTATCAAATGCTTTTTCTGTATGAATTACGATGGTCATGTGGTTTTTTCCTTCATTTTGTTAATGTGCTTAATTATATTGATTGATTTTCTTATATTGCGACATCTTTGCATTCCAGGAACAAATTTCACATGGTCATGGTGTATAATCCTTTTACTATGGTATTGAATTTGGTTTGCTGTATTTTGTGAGAATTTTGACATCTATAGTCATCAGAAATATCAGCCTGTAGTTTTCTTCTCTTGTAGAATCTTTGGCTTTGCTATCAGGGAAATGCTGGTCTTAACAGAACGAGCTTAGAAGTGTTCCCTCCTCCTCCTTATTATTATTATTTTGAAGCATTTCAGTAAGGTTTGTGTTTATTCTCTTAAAAATGTTTGGTAGAATTTTCCAGTGCAGCCATCTGGGGTAGCTAGGCCTTTTCTTTGTTGGGAGATTTTTGCTTATTGAATCAATCTCCTTACTTGGTTATAAGTCTGTTCAAATTCCTACTTCTCCATGATTCAGTCTTGGTAGATTATACATTTCCATTTCTTCTAGGTTGTACAATTTGTTGGCATATAATTGTTCATAGTGTCTCCTATGATACTTTTTATTTCTGTAGCATCAGTTTTAACATCCCCACTTTCATCTCTGATTTTAGTTATGAGTCTTATTTTCTTGTTAATCTAAGAGTTTATCAGTTTTGTCAGTATTTTCAAAAAGGCAGCTATTAGTTTAGCTGATTTTTCTATTTTTTAATGCTCTATTTTTATTTGTGCTCCATTCTTTATTGTTTCCTTCCTTATGCCAGCTTTATGTTTGGCTCTTTCTTTTTTTGCTAGTTTTTTGAGGTGTAGTGTCAGGTTGTTTATTTGAGACCTGCTCTTTTAATGAATGCATTTATAGTTATAAACTTCTCTTTTAGTACTGTTTCTGTTGTATCCTCTAAGATTTGTTATATTGTGTTTTAATTTTTATCTCAGGACATTTTCTATTTTCCCTTTTAACTTCTTTGACCCACTGGTTATCTTAAGAGTATGTTATTTAATACCCACATAGTTTTGGATTTTTCATGTAATATTTGACATAGTTTTGGAACTAGGTGAAGTTTGGTGGGGTGAAGTCCAGAGCTGACAACCAAGAAAGAATTCTTGAGATGTCTCTGGTGCAAAATGATGGTTTTATTAAAGCCCAGGGACAGGACCCGTGGGCTGAGAGAGCTGCTGCCTTGGGCTTGTGAGGGGTGGCTGATTACATACCTGGGAGTTGGGGGGAGGTAAGGAAAAGAGAGGTTTTTAAGGATTCTCATATGCTAAAGAGGACCTACTGAGATACTGGAGGTCTTGCCATTGTCAAATTAAGGTTGTCTTTCCCTCTAGTAAAGCATTAAGATAGTTTGGAGTTTCCTGAAGGAATGTCACACATATCCCACCTGGTTTGCAAGGTGTCAGCTCGTGCTTCTGTTCCCCATTAATATTGATTTCTAGTTTCATTCTATTGTGGTCAGAAAAGATGCTTTGTATATCAGTCATTGTGCTTACTGCTTAGCATAACAGAAAATTGGAAACCCAAGTCTGAGAGTGTGGTTGAGAGAGTGATTATGTAAGTTTTGGTCCATTCAAAAATTGGAATGTTGTGCAGACATTAAAAAGTCTTAAGTGTGTATATATATAATTTTTCTTAAGTATATTTGACATGAGCAGCTACTTTTGACATATTATTAATTTGAAAAAAAGTTGGGAAAGTTAGGAAAACCAGTAGAAGGAAAACCCACAAAAATATTAATATTTTTCTAGATTGTGGAATTACAGAAGATTTATTTACTTCTTTTTGCTTATCTGTAGGTTGGAATGGTTTGTTTAATAAATGTGTACTATTTATATAATAAAAAAATAGAAGCTATTACATTTTTGTTGTTGTTTCTTAAAATACACTGGGGATCTTTTTAGGTTTCCAAGTGCAATGGATGCCTTGTGGGCTGGCTGTTTTGCTGCGTGACCTTGTCTCCTGGTTGTAGGCAGATGGTTGAGGAGTAGAGTCCTGACTGAGGCTGTGGCACTCAGACCCTCCCTTTTGGAGGGTCTCCAAGACCCAGAGTCTTAGAACTGCTAGACATTGGGTTAATAGTGGTCCCTGGTTCTTCTCACGTTGGTGCTTGGTTATTCACATTTTCCTTGCTGTTTTCTTAGATACCCCAGAATCCTTCTGAACATTTTTATTTTGGGTTAAAATATTGAGTCATTGTTGTCTGTTTTTTTGCAAGCAAAAGAATCTTAGTAAACTCACAAGAGCATTTATTGACTCAACAATCGTTCACAATCACCTACTGTATACCAGGCTTTGGGATAAGTAAAAACAAACAAAAAACAAAACAAAATGATTCAAATGTCTGGTATACCTCTAGAGTAATTCTTTGATATTTCAATTGTGATTTCTAGTCTTTGCTAATAGTCTTGAAACACCTGACAAAGGCTACTCTAAACAACCACCTTTTCTCCCTCAGTGAGAATGTCAGACTACCTAGAACTTTGTATTTTTTGGTGACTTAAAATTACAAACAGCACAACAATGTGAATGTAGTTTCATGCCACTGAACTGGATGCTTAAAAAGGGTTAAGAAGGTACATTTTATGTTACGTGTATTTTACCACAGTTTAAAAAATAAATATACTTAAAAATGTACAACACAGGAGGATTTGGAAAGATCCCACACTTAGTGATTTTTTCTAAAAGATTTTATTTATTTATTCATGAGAATATACAGAGAGGAGAGAGAGAGCAGAGACACAGGCAGAGGGAGAAGCAGGCTCCATGTAGGGAGCCTGATGTGGGACTCGACACTGGGTCTCCAGGATCACGCCCTGAGCTGAAGGCAGGTGCTGAACTGCTGAGCCACCCGGGCTGCCCACACTTAGTGATTTTTGCCCAATTGTTTTGCATAAGCATAGTTTTTGTGGTTCAAAATCTCCAGGAATTTTCAGAAGACATTGAGGGTGATTATAGTGAGGAGGGGTAAAGTTTCCTCCAGGTGGTATTTAATCAATGTGTGCATGCATGTGTGCGCTCACCTCTCTAATAAGGAGCACTAGGGGTTCAGCTTTATAGATTAACATTACAATTACCATAGCAAATGTCATTCGCTTATTCAAAAATCACTGAGTACCAATCATGTGCTCAACATATAAGGACACAACAATGAATTAAACATCACACCTGACTTCAAGCTGCTTTTAGTTTAACCAGACAGAAGCACTGACTTGGAGCATCTTAAAAAATCTCTCAGTGTTTTTCAGGGAAACATGTTTTTAATGGCTTTTTTTTTTTTTTTTTTTTTACTGAACCCAGAGCAGTATCCTTTACTTACTATTAAGTCTAGCCTGGGGCATCACAGCTTTAATATTTATCAACATGGCAGAATGTAGGAAGATGTCCCATTCTTCATCTGGTAGGGACCCAATGTCATCCTGCAGTAAACTTCCATGAGCATTATTTTGCATGATTGTGGTGCAAAGCCGGAAGGAGAAGCACAGTTTATGTTGGTTAAATAGAGCTGAAGAGACCACCTAAGGAGGGAAATAGAGCATTTGACTGGCCCAGCTAGATTAAATATGTATAATCCACATTAAAGGATGTCTCACCTTAAAAATATTTCTTGTTAACCCATCTATTGAATTTTTAAGATGTCTCTCTAAGAGATTTTTCTCACTTTCTAACTTTGGTTCTTTTGAGAGGTTTGTAATATTATGAATTTTTTTCAGAGACATTTTATCCCATTTCGAGCTGGGTTTCTCTTGTTCTTTGCTTCCGGAGACTACTGACAGAACGAAGGCCTGTCGAAACCAGTCTAGGGAGAACTGGTACATGCAGTTGACCTGGGCAAGCCCTGCCACGAGAAAGTAGAGCAGGGAGCCTCGAGTTGCAATGGGGAGATAGTTTGTACGAGTCTCTTGGATTTCACTTTCCATTTTTTCTGTGGCTTTGATGCGCTGTGAAATTTCATTTGAAGTCATTTTGGATTTTCTTAGGATGTCTACGATTTCCTCATCATCTAAGACACATTCTAAAGGCAAACAAAAATTGAATTTAAATAAAAACTACTAGAATATTAAATGCAGTTCCTTCATTCTGAAATCTTTCTTTAATAAGAGTTTTTAGTTTAGTTTTTTTTTTGTGTGTGTGGTTTTATTTGGGAGCTGGGCCATTAAATGAAGACAGGGCATATTTCTGAATAATTTGATTAATAGCATCCCCCATCTCTTCTTTAGATGACGTTCATAGAGTGGATTCTATTCCCATTATAAACACATAGTAAATAGCTAATCTGTCCTAATGACCCATGATACGCATAGACAAGGAAACAAAATTTCCAGAAAATAGCATGTGCACAGTAATAGTTTCTATCCTGTTTCACTTAACAATCAAGTTGGTAATGACCACGAACAGATTGCAACTTACCTTTTGAAAAGCACTGCTCTACAAACAGAATTATTCTCTCCATTTCAAGTGTTTAAGATGGTTCTCATATTTTGATTACAAACTCTATTTTATGAACATTTCCATTTTCCTGAGGTGCTTTTGTTAATGATATGATTTATAGACTCCTCAGTATCCTTATGCTTACCCCGGACACAGGTTAGTTTGAAAAGAGCCCTTTTAAAATGTGGTACTGATTGGGAATCAAAGGCAGAGGGAGATGTAGATACAATTAAATGTCCATATAACCTGCAGCCCACTGACATGCTGGAGGGGGCAGAGAATGAGGTTCCTCCAGGAAGCTCCTGATTGTCTTTATGCTAATGCTTCTCTAGAGGGAAAAAACCTGGTTTGGTTTGACCATAGCCAGGCCTTCAGTGTCCTGTGAGTCTTCTTCGGCATTTGAAAGTCCTTTTGGAACTTTTTTCTCTTTACTTCTCCCAACCCTGAAGTATATAATCATTTGTCCTCACAATCCTGGGGCAGTGGGGCAGCAGGGGTGGGGGGGGCAGTGGGAGTAGCAGCAGCAGCTCTCTCTGTCCCACAGGTCCTGTCCTTGGGCTTTAATAAAACCATCATTTTGCACCAAAGACGTCTCAAGAATTTTCTTGGCCATCGGCTCTGGACCCCACCAAACCTCACCAAAAATATTTTAAAACTACATCAGTATCAAGAAATAAACAGCATCACATGATCATTGTAAGGAGTTATGGGATTATTACGTTCCATGATCTGGATAGCATATTCTCACTGATTTTAGGGAAGCTTTCTAAACAATGTCAGGACCTGAGCTGTGGGCTACTGCTGTGTCTCCCCCTACCAACCACTGCCCACAGAGAGCGGGTGGTCACACTAAAGACAAAATATTTACAAAGAGATAGTAGGATGATCTATTTTACTAAAACTTGGAAAAAGGGAGGAAAAAATATGTACCAAATTGAGTCTTTTTCGTTTAGTTTTTTTTCAAGGACAATTTTTATTATAACTACTATCAGTAAAAAATTACTCTTTAAAAACAATCCAACTCTACCATGAGGAACGTCTGGTAGAGAATAAGCAGCAAAGGCATAATAACAGCTCACAGTGTGCTGATGGATATTATCATAAACAACTATCCTTTTGTCTCATTAAACTTATCTTTTGTCCAATTTAGGCAAAACTTGCAGCAACAACATGACATTTGTCACACAGTGGCTCATAAACCAGCAGAGGCTATCCTTGTGAGTCTTGTTACACCAACAGTGTAACAACAGTGTCACCTCTGGTGTGTCATATATTACCCACATGTCCTGGTTTTGCTCCCTAAGGATTTAGCTGCTAATTCACTCCAACCTTCCCAGAGACACGGATGTGACAATGTTGTCCACACAATCTCGTCCTAGTCCTGTCATTAACAGAAGCGTGGTTTATCCATGTGTTACACAGAAATTGTGTATTAGGTGTCAGTAAAATAGGAAGGATTACAGTCAGATCTTATTATAACATGGAACGAAAGTATCTGAGAGACTTTTCAAGCCCCACTGAGTCAGCAGTTAAGAGAGAACAGCAATCCACTGCTAGATAAAGAGTATTAGATGACAGATGAGTCAGGAGCTTGATACTGTGATTTATGACAGGAAATACACCTAAAGTCTCCATCCCCAGCTCTGGTTTAGGGCTCTGAATACCCTGGGGATGAGAGGAATAAATGTGTCTTTTGTTATGTTAATGAGTTTGTTTGAGTCTCTGAAAAGGATGGGGTGGTTGCCCTGGCAGCGCCCCTGAAGCCCACACCCATCCCTGACACTCGGCCTCCACCCCCTACCCCCCCCCCCCAATCCCTTCGACTTGGCTGTTCCTAGTTCCATTCTTCCATAGGAGACCAGTAATCTAGTGAGTCCTGATTCTAGTCTACTAGCAAACTAATTAGACCTCAGAAAGGGCTTGCTGGAACTTTTTGTCTGAAGCCCGGCTGTGGGGAGGGGGCGTCTGTAGCACTGAACCCCTAAGGGGAGGGGAATCTGATGCTGTCTCTGGGCAGATAGTGTCAGAATGGACTTGAACTGTGAGACACCCACCTAGTGTCTGAACACTGCTTACCAGCATGGGGGACCCCATCCTGCATGTTGAAATCGGGTATCCAGAACCCCTTTTAGGAGCAGGAATGTCAGTGTGCCCCAGGAATTTCTAATGCTTTATATTTAGTTGTTTAGAAATTATATTGTTAAAATTTAAAGACTATGGTTTCTTATTTTTTATGTTGAAGAGGAAAATAATTTCTACTGCTATTTTAATAAATACCACATTTTCATGGGACATGTATGATTAAGTCATTGGGTTCCATCCTGGTATATTTTAGTATTAATACTTGGGGTAAACCTAATCTTTTGGTCTCTGTAATCTAACTTGATACATATAACAGATGTCAGATACCTGACGTAATGGCCTCGTGGCAAATGTCCTGTGGTTTGATGAGCTAAGACAGAGATAGGAATATAGGAACATCAACAGCCACAATGTTTTAAGAATGGGGTGTTTCACCCACATTGATCAGTTATCTGGTGGAAATGTAGATCTGATGTTTTGGGTACCAGTTCAGAGTATGGTTCTTGGAGCTTCTATTCTGTCCTTCCCCAAGTTACGCCCAGGTCTTCTTTTTTTTTTTTTTTTTTTTTTTTTTTTTAAATTTATTTATTTATTTATGATATTCACACAGAGAGAGAGAGAGAGAAAGACAGAGACACAGGCAGAGGGAGAAGCAGGCTCCATGCACCGGGAGCCCGATATGGGATTCGATCCCGGGTCTCCAGGATCGCGCCCTGAGCCAAAGGCAGGCGCCAAACCGCTGCGCCACCCAGGGATCCCACGCCCAGGTCTTCTAACGTCACTAAAGACCTGAACTCACCTTGTGCATTCTGCAGAACATTTAACATTTTTTCCTCTAGTTCTTCAAGGGTCACAGCATCAAGGGAAATGCTCTCCAATAACTGGAAACGTTGATTTTCTAAGTAAGGGGCTTCATGGGTTAACACGGTAGATAAGAGTTGATCCTGCAAACCCTGGAATGTTACCGTGAAGTTGATCATAGTAACGAAATTGTAAACTGAGGGAGGAAAATGAGGGTTGTCTATTTCTGTAGCAACGTATAACCTAAAGGATGAGAAAGGCACCAGTTAGTCAAAGGATCTGCAGAGGGAAAAAAAACCCAATTTATTAAATAATGGAAAAAATATTTCTCCTGGAGGTAAACAAGGTTAACTTTTAGTGTTGTTCAGCCTTGTACACAAAATAGGCTCTCCATTTATATTGTGTGGAGACATTTCCTGTTTATAATTTGAAGAAATAGAACCATAGATGATGTCCCTGCTGTATTTGGTTGAAGCACCCAGATGGAGGAAAGCAAAGTGCTAGCTAGTAGGAACTTTGACCTGCCCTTAGATGGTTGTCAATACCCGGTGGAGGGTGTGAGTACAGGGAGATCCACCTTCTCTAAAGGGATGACCCCAGCTGCTGCCAGGAGAGTGACTTGGGCTGGGGGCTGGAGGGAAGGAATCTAGCAGACTGGTTTGTGTGTAAGAGGTGGTGGTGGTGGCCTGGAGTGGGGTGGTACAGGGAGGTGTGTGACCTGGAGTGGGGTGGCACAGGGGTGGGGTGGCCAGGAGTGAGGTGGTATGGGGGGGTTGTAACCTGGAGCGAGGTGGTATGGGGGTGGTAGAGGGGGAGTCTTCCCAGCAACTCGATACAGCAGGGACAGCTTCTCCTTCCATTTTATAAAGAGTAGAACGGAGGCTTAGAGAGGTTAACTAAGTTGCTCACAGCCTGTGGCCACAGAGTGGCCAAGTGGGGACCTGTGGCCAGCCCACCTTTCCAGAGGTCCCTCTAGCACCTCCTCACAAACAATCCAATATGGGCACCAGGTTGGCACTGCAGCAACACATGACTTCATTAGCTTTCTGAGAGCAGGAGGGAAAGAATGGGTGTCCTGCCAAATGCTGCATTCTGGAGAGGGCTTGTTACACAAAGGGGTTTTAAGTCCTTGAAGGAAAGAACTTGGTTTAACCTAGTGCTTTTCAGAAGTTTGGGACCCCTTTTTTGAGTGACACCTGTTAAACTCCTGGAATGTCATTTTGAGGAACATACTTTGCAAAATATTTTCTTAACTGAAGGAAGGAGGCCCAGAGAGAGGATTACAGGCTCTAAGAGTGGGGTGAGGATCAAGACTTCAGAGCTTTGCCTGGGACAAGGACATATGGACCAGCGTGTCAGAGCCCCTGCAAGGCGGTTATGCCCACTTGGCTGAGGGCCTATAAATCCAACTTCCAACTCCTCTTGTGACTACCCACTCATACAGTGAGCTGCTGATTATGAATTCAAGGGGACAGTGCACCTGCCTGGCAACTCAAATGCCTTATTACCTTGGGAATTATATTTTTGTGGTAATCAAATGTGACTATATAAAAGTGCTTTGTGAAGTTGACTGGGGGGAGGTGGGGGTTGCAATCCCGAAGGTCCCTTACTGTTGGGAACATGGATGCAACATTTTTATCTGGCTAGGCAAAGTCTCTCTTTTTGCTCTGGATATCCAGTATGGATTTTGTTTTTTAAAGAAGCAGAAGCTTTTCCTGCTGAAATAAAATGTTAGGCAAACAGATCAATGGGGGAGTTCTTGTGATTCAAGTGGGGTCAGGCTTCCCCTTCCAGCACACTTTCTGAGGATTCCCCCTGGACCCACAGGTCTTAGCTGGAACAGTATGGAAACTGTTTTGGAATGGCTTGATAAATAAAAGTCAGTTCACTATTCTGTGTACTGATGAGTGCAACCAGAAACAGAAATAAACAAAATATTCAAAATGTAATCTCACTTTTTGCTCCAGGAGAAGCTTACCACTATGGCAATAGAGGCCTCTATAATATTTGTCTTAAAAAATATAAACACTTGACTCAATTCTCAATTTTGCTGTGATTTTTACCTAAATCTGGGATTGTATTCAATCTCAGAATCATCAACCCTTATGAAATATTGTCCTCTTTTCTGATGGATATCCTTCTTCAAAATTGCCTTCAAACTTGGAGCTAATGTTTCAGGGAGATTCTGAAAAACACAAGAGAAATATATAAAAAGTTCATTTGAAAGCAAATCAGTTAAAAAGCATTTCAAAGAGCATTTAGAAAATGTAAACGGGGATCCCTGGGTGGCTCAGCGGTTTAGCGCCTGCCTTTGGCCCAGGGTGTGATCCTGGAGTCCTGGATGAGTTCCACATCGGGCTCCCTGCATGGAGCCTGCTTCTCCCTCTGCCTGTGTCTCTGCCTCTCTCTCTCTCTCTGTGTCCCTGATGAATAAATAAGTAAAATCTTAAAAAGAAAGAAAGAAAGAAGAAAGAAAGAAAGAAAGAAAGAAAGAAAGAAAGGAAGAAAGAAGAAAGAAAGAAAATGTAAATGAGGGATACCTGGGTGGCTCAGTTGGTTGGGTGTCCGACTCTTGATTTAGGCTCAGGTCATGATCTCAGAGTCATGAGACTGAGCCCTGTATTTGGGGTCCCTGCTCAGTGGGAAGTCTATTTGAGATTCTCTCTCCCTTTGCTGCCCATCCCCAACTTTTTCTTTTAAGAAAAATAAAAAGTAAATGTTAGTATTTGGACACCAAAGAAAGCCTGATCTGAGAGAACTGAACACTGAAAAGTCACTGTAGTTATTATTTTTTAAAAGATTTTATGTATTTTGACAGAGAAAGTGCCCATGCACACACATGTACGAGGGAGTGGTGGCAGACAGAGAGGGAAAGAGGGAATCTACAGCAAACTCCAATGCTGAGCAGGGAGCCTAATGTGGGGCTTGATCCCAGGGCCCTGAGATCATGACCTGAGCTGAAATCAAGAGTCAGATGCTCAACAGACTATGCCACCTAGGCACTTCTGTTTATTTATTATTTTTCCCATGACAAAGTTACTTGTAACTCAAAGCTTTCAGTTTCTATGCTTGGTGCACACAGTATATATGTCAGCTGCATGGAATTGGGTGGTTGGGACATCTGTCCAAATACCTGCAAGAGGACACTCCCTCCTATTTTCATAGCATTTTCAATTTTTTGGATGTAACTGCTGTCTTTGATGGAGAGCTCCTGCAGCCTGGCCCCTTCCATCTGCCGGATCCAGTTGTGTGCCTGCTTGTGGGGGTCAATCAGCAGTGGCCACTGCAGGCCATTCTTGATCAGGATGGCGTTCTCTGTCGAATACTGCCCAAGGGGGAGTCCCTGAGAGTGCCATCGGCCAATCTGGAATGAGATCGTTAGTACTTTACTGTTTCATACACTTCTTCACATCTTTAGTATCCTATAGGATACCAAAGGATCTTACAGGCTCACTGCCTTTAGAAAAATCAAATACTCTTTAAGAGGACTAAGGAAATAACAATTTAAATGCTGGGATATGAAATTTTGGGTCAGATGAGTAATTATTCACTAAAACACACTTTTCTGTTCATCAGGAAGGATGAACGCCCATCACAACAAAAATGCTCTGGGAAACAGATAAATATAGGACAGGGTACCTGTTCCCAAGGATCCTGGACTCTAATGCATACATGAAACATGCAATAACACAGAATTATACAGATGTAATCACAGCTACTCTGCTGCACACTCACCACCTGCCAAGCACATACATACATTATATGGTTAAATTGCGACAACAACCCTAATTGTTTGGAAGGAGGAACTGGGGTCTGCCTGTGGTCAGACTGTCAGAGGAAGAGGCAGACCGAGGGTTTGCCTCAGATGCTGACTCCAGGACTGATAAACTTCTTATCCTCACATAGTCTCTGCCTGTGGCTCTGACTTCATGGCAGTATCAGCAGGTTGGGAGGAAAAAGCCAAGAAGGCCTATGGAGGTTTGAGAAGGAACAGGACACAGGGGACGTCCTAGGCAGCAGGGCATCCTTAGGAGAAGCCAAGGATACTTCTCAGTTTTTAAAGGAAAGAAAAAGTTTTTCACTTAAGCCTGTGAAGAACTGCATGCTCTAGAAGTCTACACAAAAGGAAACAGGAAAAGGGATAAAGAATCCTGAAACCCAGGAGTAGCCCTGTTTGTACCCAAATATAGGTGCCTAGAGTGAAGGTCAGCATGGTGAGAGAAACACATTACCCACCCAAGAGTTTCTGTTCTCCTGACTTCCATGCTTCTCTTTAGTGTTTAACCAAAGTATGTATTCCTAAATGCTATAATTTCACTTCGCTAATTTTGGAACTTTAGATAAAGGAAATCTTAAAGTATATTCCCTTTTCTGTCCAACATCATCTGTGTTGTTTTATAGCTGTCTTTATTCATTCCCATTGCTGTAGAGTATTTATGAACACACCTAGATTTATTTATACATTCTACTGCTGAGGGCACTTAGAGTGTTGTGATCTCTCATTTTAGATTTAACTTTTATTTTCCTAATGAATGATGAGGTTAAGCAGTTTTCAAATGTTTATTGGTGATTTTGTGAGCTGCCTGCTTAAAGTTCTTACCCATTTATTTACTGGCTTTTATGTCTTTTGCTTACTGATTGGTAGTAGACCTTTTTACTGCAAATATCCTCTTCTATTCATTGACTTCTCTTCATAGCCTCTGAGTGGTGATTTTTGATGAACAGAATGTCTAAATTTCAATGTAATTCAATTAATGTTTTCCTTTATGGTTAGTTCTGCTTAAAGTAATCTTTTCTTAGGGTCATGAACATTTTCTCTTAAATTATGCCTTACTAATTTGCCTTCCATGGTTAGGGCCACCATTCAATTGCAATCGAATTTTTATGTGTGGTGTGTGGTAATGATCAAATTTCTTTCTTTCTTTCTTTCTTTCTTTCTTTCTTTCTTTCTTTCTTTCTTTCTTTCTTTCTTTCTTTCTTTTTCTTCTTCTTCTTCTTCTTCTTCTTCTTCTTCTTCTTCTTCCTTCCTTCCTTCCTTCCTTCCTTCCTTCTCTCTCTCTCTCTCTCTCTCTCTCTTTTGCTGGTAGACATTCAATCACCCAGCACTATTTATTGAAAAGACTACTAATTCCACACTGCACTGCAGTACCAGCTTTGTCGTAAGTCAGACATCCACATGTGTGTGAGTCTGTGTCTGGGATCTCTGTTCTCCATTGGTGGTATTGTTTGTTCTGCACTGGTTACACTTGGATAAATAAATCCACCATCCTAACTAGTGTAGCTTTAAAGTAAATGTTGATATTTGATGCTGCAAGTCCTTCTACCTGTTCATCAACAACATCTTAGACATGTTGGCTCTTTGCCTCCTATTACTTTTGGAATCAGATTGTCATGTGAGAGACACATACATGCTCCTCCCACCTGTTGGAATTATGACTAGGATTACAACTTCAGGATACTGAGTCTTTCAGTTCATGAACATGCCATAACTCTTCACTTATTTAGGTTTTTAAAAATTTATCTCAATAATGTTTTATAGTTTTGTTTCTGTAAGTTTTACACAACTTCTTGATGGATTCATTTTGATGCTATGATAAAAACACTGAGCCTGTTTGTTGCTGGCATAGAGAAATATAATCAGTTTCTTTGAGAAACTTTACTAAACTGGTATGAAGTCACATGATCTATCTACAGACTCTCTTGGGTTTTTCTAGGTACATATCATCAGCAAAAACTTCTATTTTTTTCTTCTTTTCCAATTCTAATATCTTTCACTTCTTTTTCTTCCCTTACTGCACTATCTAGGATCTCTGCTAGGATGTTAGATACAACTGGAGATGGTAGATGTCCCCTTGTCATGTTTCTAGTCTCACAGGAAAATTTTTGACCAATGCTTAATTTTTTCAATTCTGATTTCTTCTTTGACCTATGGTTAGTTTGGGAGTGTATATCCTAATTTCCAGAAATATGGGGATTTTCAAAGAAACTTTTAATTATTGACTTCTGGCTCTATTGCCTTTTGGACAGATAATAAACTCTGTGATTTAAATCCTTTGATATTGGTTGGAACTTTTTGGTGGTTTATTATATGGTGGGTAGTGTTCTACATGTGTTTTCATAGAATGTGTAAGCCTCAGGTGTAGGCCACAGGGTCCTGCAAATGCCCACTAAGTCTGTTGATTACATTGCTCAAATGTCCTCTATTCCTACTGATTTTTGTGTTCTTTTTTTATGAGTTACAGGAAGCAGTATGTTAAAATCTTTCTCTATGATTGTAGATTTGTCGATTTTTATCTGTAGTTCTTTTAATGTGGGCTTTGTATTGTTTCAAGTCTTATTATTAGGCACAAACAAATTCAGAATTGATAAAACGTTCTTGGAGACTTAAACTAATTCTTACCACAACATAAACTTATTTAATTCTAGTAGTCTTTTTTTGCCTTAAAGTCTACTCTGTCCTTTTTTGGTAATCTGTGGTAAATTTCCTCCCCCTACCTTTTATTTTAACTGTCAACCTTTATGATTTAGAAATGTCCTTCTAAGTAACTTACGGTCTCTATTTTGGGCTTTAGTTTATATTTTTATATAGTCTTACAATCTCAGTCTTTTAAGTGGACTTCTTTGGATCACTTGCAACTAATGTAATTGTTGATATATTTGGGTTTAAGTTGGTTATTGGCATTATGAAAATGAGAAGCCAGTATTTGCTTCTGAGATTTTGTAAATTGGGTGGTTAGTTAAAGTTATCAATCTAAAATTACTCTTTGGGGATAAATTAAAAAAAGGTGCATTTCTTTTTCATCCTCTCCACATAGATAGATAGACAATAAATATTTATTGATAAATGTAAGGTCTGTATTTTTGGTTTTTCATTTCTTTTCTTTTTGATTTTATTTATTTATTCATGAGAGACACAGAGAGAGAGGCAGAGACATAGGCAGAGGGAGAAGCAGGTGCCTTGTGGGGAGCCTGATGTGGGACTCGATCCCAGGACCCCAGGATCACGACCTGAGCCAAAAGCAGACGCTCAACCACTGAGCTACCCAGGTGTCCCTTTCTGGCTCCTTCTAAGAATACTACCTATGGTTCAGTAAGTTCACCAATTTTATTTTTTAAAAGATTTTATTTATTCATTTTTAGAGAGAAAGAGTAAGTGAGAGCAAGAAAGGGCAGAGGCAGAGGGAGAGAGGGGCTGATCCCATGACCCTGAGATCATGATCTGAGCCAAAATCAGTAACCAGATACTTAACCAACTAGCCACCCATGTGCCCCAAGCTCACCAATTTTATTAATGAAAGGGACTTCTGGGAGAGAAATTGGCTATGTTTATTAGGGCGAGGCAGTAAAATTACAATGAGTAAGAGGATTTTCTGTGACTTTTGCCCCGAGAATGAGATGTAACTAACTGAGGCATTAGAACTGTAACTTAAAATTTTTTTAAAATTTCAGTATTTTCCTCTGTCAAACGATTTGAGGGCACTTGGGTGGTTCAATCAGTTAAGCATCTGCCTTTGTCTCAGGTCAGGATCTCAGAATCCTGGGATTGAGCCCCAAATTGGGTGGGCTCCCTGCTCAGGTGGGAGTCTGCTTCTCCCTTTTCCTCTGCCTGCTGCTCCCCCTGCTTGTGCTCTCTCTGATAAATAAATAAATAAATAAATAAATAAATAAATAAATAAAATCTTAAAACAACAACAACAACAACAATAACAACAAACAATTTGGGGAAAAGATCCCAGTTTAAAAAAATGCACTTATGCCCAAAATTCAAATCAACAACAGCCACTTAACTGGATAACAGAAATATGTTACTACCTCATGTTTTTGTGCCATGACTTCAATTAAGGAAAAGTTAGGGGACAAAGAAATGTTGTTTTTAGTGCAAAGGCTCTCCCATTTGTTCACAATTAGCTGGCGAAATTCTGCTGTTAACACTCCACTGTAGACAATGCATGCTGCTGAAATAAGTGTGTCGCCCAAAATTCCTTCCAACTTCTTGTCTATTTGATTGATTGTTTCTTGCCATCGAGTCTAAATGTTAAAATAAAAATGAGTTCTTGCTATTTGACATAAAATATACTATTATGAGACAGTTCAGATATTTGTGGTCTCCAACTTGGATATAGCATTGCTATCACTATTACTGTTCTCATGCTGTGTTTGCATTTAAATTAATAATGGATAATATCATAAAACAAACTATTTTCTACGGGGAACATGAGTCCTATTCTTGGATTTGTCAACAGTGTCATATTTGTTAGGACCCATACTCAAGTCCTTTGTCTTATAAAGCAAGATAATTTTTAAATTAACAATTCGTTATATTATTAATGATGTTCAATATAATATTTTCTTATATTTATTGAATCCTTAGATGTCTAACAGGCATTTTACTTTGAAAGTCTCATTTGACACTTTCAATATCCTATTAAGTAAAAGCCATTGACTTCATTTTAAGACCAGGAGACTGAAGTTTAGAGATTAGCAGAAATTTTTTTAAAAAGGGATGAAAGAGGTCTGAGGATTGACAGAACAGAATAAAATGTTCTCCATTATGACATCTCATCCCTTTTAGCCACCCCTGTTTTATGCATTTGGCTCAGGGTGTCCCTGTGCTGGACAAAGGAAAGCCCCATGACATGTTCATTGACAGGTTTCCTGTAGACCTTATCAGACAAGAGAACTGATGTCTGGGGAACAAGAGAAAGTCCTGTCTGATCCTTGTAGTCTGTTGCCTCTGTTTTAAGACTTCTTGACCAGGACTCCTTTATTTTTATCAGGAGTGTCTACTGATCTCAATAAAAAGCAACTGGATGATAAGATAGTTTTAGGGGGCACATGATACGACCTTTGGTGAAAATAACATCTTGGGGTTTGTCAAGCTCAGTAGAAATTACTAAAGGAGAGAAATAAAACCAAAGAGAATCATGCCTTCTCATCCTTCAGAGCAGTCAGTAAGACAGATGCACACTGCAAGCGCTTGGTGGCCAGTTTTCTTCTGTTTGCCAAGAGTTGTTTTTCAGCAACTATATCTTTGTAGGCTGCCTGCAAAAACAGCAGATGCTCTTCAATCTGAAAGACAATAAATTCATTATCGAGACACAGTATTACGCTCATTTTGCCTCAAGAGTTTAACTATCACTTATATGAATATAGTATGTGGTTACTTCATTTCCACATCCTATAAAATCTTCCTGGAGAGATGGATTATGTTAATGATAGAAACATAGTTATTAAATAAATGATTCCATGAAAGTCAAGTTTGCCTTTAAAAGGTCACTTTCCTCAATGGGCTTTCTTATAAGCTCAGCACTTGAAGAAACATCATTTTCTGATTTATTTTTCACACAGAAAATGTTATATCCAGTTTCCTTCTCCAAGAAAATGACTGAACTTTATCATCCCAGATACACTGACCAGCCTGGAGGAATGGGTAGGTTTTTTTGAAGGAAGGCTGGTAGGATGAAGCAGCTCTAACCTATGCCTGGGCTGTCAGTGGAAAAGATACCATCATGAATAGCTGACAAAATGATACTCTTAAATTAGTGCTTATCTTGATAACGCCTTTGCTCAAAAGCATTTGGTGAATTTCTATAAAAATGATTGCCCATGGATATGGCCCAAAGTTTTGGCCTTGTCAATAAAAGCCTCCCCGATCTGACCCCAACCTCCCTCCCCAAAGTCAACTCCTTTCCAATAACATTACACTGTTGCCAGACTGCTTTCTTCCATATTTCCTACACACACCTTAAATGTTCTTGCCTCTGGGATTTGACTGCCATCCTTCCCTTATACCTGAAATCGTTCCTTGAAAGGATCCCTTGGATCTACATCCAAGGCATTCTTTAAAATCCTTATCACATTCCAGATGCCCCAAAGCCTCTGTCCTCTCAAATCCACACTGATGTACTTGTTTATAACCATTGTTTGAGTACTAATCATAAATTGCCTGATATTATCTCTTGGGTTGTGGACTTATTATCCTTATATTTTATATTTATATTTTTGAAAGATGTTCATGTCTTCTCAAAATCTTTGAAGACAGTGTTTAACATGGAAACTCGAACACAGTATGTTCATGGAATCATATATACGAAATTGTGCTTATTGAATACAGTTTCTAATTTATAATTTATCCTCCTAAATATGTTATTCTAGTGAAAATATCTAAATACACACACACACACACACACACACACATTACTACCTGTGGCATGATTACTCTAAAGATTTATTTATTACTAGTTCACCCATAATGATTACTCAGTTCTTTTTACTCTAATATAAAATGCTGTTTTGTTTGCTCATTCCTTTTGATTTGATTATTCTGAGAAAACGTTCTTGCTACTTGTGACATAGTGAAGTGTATAAATATTTAAGTGTAGGGGCTTTACTGACTCATCTAAACATGTAAAATTCCTTTTTCTTTTTTTTTCTGCTTTGTGCTGTCATTTTATTTATTTTCTTCTAGTTCAAGTATAGTTAATATACAGTGTTATACTGGTTTCAAGTGTACAATATAGTGATTCTATAATTCCATACATTGCACAATGCTCATCAGGACAGGCACACTCCTTAAACCCCATTCCCTAATTCCCTATTTCCCACCACCCACCCACCTTCCCTCTGGTGATCATCAGTGTGTTTTCTAGAGTTAAGAATATGTTTTTTGGGCTTTTCTTTCTTTGTTTTGTTTCTTAAATTCCATATTAGTGAGATCATATGGTATTGGTCTTTCTTTGATTTCATTCATTATACTTTCTAGCTCTATCCATGTCATTGCAAATGGCAAGATTTCATTTTTTTTATGGCTGAGTAATATTCCATTGTTTATACATATACCACATCTTCTTTATCCATTTATCAATCAGTGGACACATGGGCTGCTTCCATATCTTGGCTATTGTAAATAATGCTGCTATAAACATAGGGGTTAATTAAGGACCCTCCATACTATTTTCCATAATGGCTGCACCAGTTTGCATTCTCACCAACAGTGCACAGGGGTTCTTTTCTCTCCACATCCTCCCCAACATTTGTTTCTTGTTTTTGATTGTGGCCATTCTGACAGGTGTGAGGTATTACTGTGGTTTTGATCTGCATTTTCCTGATGATGTTACAAGACAGGCACTATGCTCTCCAAGATAACATTTTTAATGAATCCCCATGTAATAGCTTCTGGCATTATTTATTTCCCCTAACATTCCCTATATTTTTTGGAATTGTTTTTTTATATTAGGGCCCAAGTGAACAAAAGATCTATTTTTAAAATAGGATACAGTACATAACTGAGGAGAAAATCTCAACGAAGGGCTTAAAACCAGTGGCGTTAACTATTACACTCACTTTTAAAATGCTAAGTGTATCTATTAATATTTTATAAACATTTAAATATACTTGAGTTCAATGAATTAAAATATTTGAAATGTCTGGTGAAGGCCAAGGTTGCAAGCTGGAAGGGAATGCAGACTACTTTTAAGTTAGGTTTTGACTGAAATTTAGAGTTTATTTTTTTCTGCCCTACCACTTGATAATAGTAAAAAAAAAAAAGGACAATATTATAAATTTTTGTTGGGTGAATGAATGAAATACAAAAAATATACCAAAAATCATGAACTGAGTAAATACTAAAATCGAAAGTACCAGCCATCAAGGAATAAGTGAAAGGGAGTTCCAGTCCAAGATGGTGACACAGGAGGCATCTGAACCCATCTGCTTCTGTGGACACACCAAACCTACAACTACGCACAGAGCTAGTCCCCATGAAAGAAATTCAGAAACTAGCTGAGCAATTCCTACACACCGGGTGAATGAAAAGTATTCAAATCCACACAGTAAAGGCTGGGACACTCCTACCACAACCTACACCCCTGGCACAATGACACAAACAGGAGAACTCACAACTCTAGCTTCCCTTGCAGGTGAAGATTTTGAACCCAACATCTCATGTCTCAACCTTTAAGACTTCCACCTAAGGGATGGGCCCCCAAAACAGCTCTGAAAGCCAAGAGGGCTTGCATCCATAAGACCTACTGAACTAGAACAAATACTTTCTAACTGGCTATCCCTCCAGGGCTTAGCATGGAGGGAGTAGATAGAAATGTGTATCTCTCAGTCTTTGCTTTAAGGAGGCCTATCTGAAAGAGGCTGTGGTCTAAGGGTCAGGCTTCCAGTTTAGTACACATTTAGGGGCTGACTGTGATCCTCCTGCACTGGTGGTTGTGGCCTAGAGGATACGGTACCTGAGCACCCAGCTCTAGTGGCCAGAAACCTTGTTTGTGGGTCGCCAGAACTACAGCAAACAAAGAAATAATTCTCAACTGGCTCAGTGTCGAGGGCTTGGACAGAAACACTCATCTCCCAATCTGTCCCTGAAGAGAGCTATTTACACAGGCGTCCAAAGAGCCTACATCTAGGTACTGATGGAGATGCTTCCCTTTGGGACACTCTGAATACTGGGAATCTCTAAGAAAAAACAAAGCTGCTTGGGCAATGGTGTGAGAGACACCAGGAGCTCAGGCTGGGCCGAGGAGGTTCATTTCCTACACAAGACCATTCTGACAGGATAGGGAGATATGGTTGTTTTGTCAAATGCACAGAAGCCAACACAGAGAGTTAAGGAAAATAAAGAAACAGAATTATTTATTCCAAATCACAGAAAAATTAAATAACTGACCCGAAAAATAAAACTACAAATACCCTTGATGAATAAAGATGCAAAAATTCTCAACAAAATAGAGCAAAGTGCATTAAAGAACACATTAAAAGAACTGCACACCATGACCACATAGGATTTATCCCTGAGATGCAAGGATGGTTCAAAATATGCAAATCAGTAAATGTATTATATCACAATAGAATGAATGATAAAAGTCACACGATCATCACAATAAATGCAGAAAAAGCATTTGACAGAATACAATATCAGTTCATGATAAAAACCATCAACAGATTGGGTATAGGAAGAACAAACCTTAAAATAATAAAGGGCAGTTACTACAACAAACCCATAGCTAACATAATATTCCATGGTGAAAACCTGAGAGCTTTTCCTTTAAGATCAGGAACAAGATAAGGATGCCCACCCTCAACATTCTTACTCAATATAGTATTAGAAGTCCTGATTAGAGCAATCAGGCAAGACAAAGAAATAAACAATACCCAAATCAGAAAGGAGTAAGTAAAAGTGTTAACTATTTGCAGATGACATGTTTTTGTATATAGAAAATCCCCAAAATTCAACCAAATAACTGTTAGAACTAATCAACAATGTCAGTAAAATTGCAGGATGCAAGATCAATATTCAGAAATCAGTAGCATTTCTGAACAATAATGAAAACAGTATGTGATACTGGCATAAAATAGACACAGAGATTAGTGGGACAGAATAGAGAGCCCCAGAGTAAATCCTGGCATACATGGCCAACTAATATTCAACAAGGGAGCCAAGAACAATCCAATGGGGAAGGACAATCTCTCCCACCAAATGGTGCCAAGATAACATGCAGAACAATGAAAGTGGAGTCCTATCTTACACCACTCACAAAATTAACTCAGAATAAATCAAAATACCATCAAACTGATACCATAAAACTCCTAGAAGAAAATGTAGGGAAGAAACTGCTTCTCATTGGTCTTGGTGATGATTTTTTTTTTTTTTTTTGGATAGAGTACCAAAAGCACAAATAATAAAAGCAAAAATCAACAACTGGGACTACATCAAACTTCAAATTTTCTGCAGGTCAAAATAATTAACAAAATGAAAGGAAAAACCTAAAAAAAAGAATAGTTTTGTAAAACGGTTGGATAAGATGCTAATATCCAAAATATATAAAGATCTTTTACAATTCAGTAACAAAACGCAAACTATCCAATTAAAAAATAAGCAGAAGATGGAGTACACCTGTGGCTCAGTCAGTTAAGCATCTCAACTCTGACTCTTGATTTAGGTTCAGGTCATGATCTTAGGGTCACGGGACTGAGCCCCACATCAGGTTCTGCTTGGTGAGGAGCCTGCTTGGGATTCTCTCTCTCCCTCTGCCCTGCCCCTCCCCCACTTGTTCTCTCTTTCTTTCTCTCAAAATAAATAAATATTTTAAAAAATGAGCAGAGGAACTAAAGAGACATTTTTCCAAAGAAGACATATAGATGGGCAACAGATGTGAGAAGATACTCAACATCACTGATCATCAAAGAAATGCAAATTAAACAAAACCACAAAGAGATATCACCTCACACCTGTTAGAATGGGTCAGAAAAAACAGTATAGACATTTTACAATATTAATTCTTCCTAACCATGAGCATAGACTATTTACAGACTATTTCTGTAGTGGTTGCTAAGTGAGTGGTCCTGTGCCATGCCCTGGAGAGCACTCCCAGTCCCGCCACTGCCCACCCCGGCCCTCTATCCCCATTCTGTTTTCACTGTAGGCTCCAGGACCTGACACTGCTCTGTGACTGGTTGGTGTCTGTGCCACACCAGTTACTAGATTAATCATTCCTGGAGAGAAGTATTTTATAGTGGAGTAGGTAAGTGCATGGGCTTTAGAGTTAGACACGCCTGGGTTAGAGCATGGGCACCACTCAGAGGGTCATGGTGTTGGACAAATTTATAAATCTTTCACTTAAGCCTTCTCCCCCTTGTAAACATCTCCTTCTGAAAGCTGACCTGAGGATTAAATGCGAAAGTCTGTATAAAGCCTCAGTGTGGTACTTGGAACATAGTATACACTCATTAAATGTTAGCTATTATTAACACATCTCTAAATATAACTGGAAATTTACAGACTGTTGCATGAAGTATGTGTTTGACATTTTAGCTGATGGCAATGAGCAGGACAGGATGGCTAAGTGTCACCATGAAAGGGTCCCAGCTGCTCACTCAGGAAGCCACAGGAAAAACGCTTGTCTTTACTTCCTTTTCACTGAATTGTTGCCTTATGTTACTGAAATAAACTTTTTAACCTGTTAGTATCTTTAACTGAAAAAAAAAAAGGTACATGATAGGCTGCAACTAAGTATTAGCGATAAAATGACATATCAGCACAAAATATATTCAGTAAAAATTTATTAATTTTCTTAAAAAATGTCTGATACTTTTTAGATAGCTGAGTTTGCAAGAAATGCCTATGGGGCCAGGCAGGTGACACAAATGCTTGAAGTGAGTTAGGGACTTATTACAGACAAGTGAGAGTGCCAACCCAAGGCTGCCAGATCTTCTGAATTTTCAAATGAAGGCAGAAATTCAAATTTTAAATGAAATCCCCAGATCTTAAAATGCTGGTAACTACGTTGAAATGGAGAGCTTAGGGAGAAAGACCATACAGGTAAACAGAAGATGCCAACGGGCTGGATCTCTCTGCTAGAGGTTCTCTCAGAATGTCTGTGAACGGGCTGGTGACCTCAGTCCTGGCTCTTGTAATAATATCCCTATTTTAACTTAAAACCCAGAAGTTTAAGAAATAACCCTGTCTTTACAAAACAAAAGAGTCATTGATATAAACAGGTTAAGGACAGTTTTTTAAGATCACAGTTTGATAGTGGGTGGGTCTTTGGTAGACAGAAGTCACAAAGCTCTCCTGGGAGAAATCTGGTGAAATGGTTAGTTAATATATTACTGATACAGTAATAATTATCATTATTGAGTGTTTTACTATATGGAAGGTACCCTTACATATAGTACTGGTATTATTTACTTAATCACAATTAATCTCTTCATTACCTTTATTATCCTCATTTTATTCTAAACTGATAAAACTCTACTGAGGTAATGACGATGGTGTTTCTTGGTGTTTCTGACTAGTTCACAAAGGTGTTGCAAGTTTAACAAGCAAACAAATGTCTTACCAGCTGCAAACCTCTTTGTTTCTCGGCCAGCCTTTGCCGTGCAATTTTGAGGACATTCTGAGCTTCAGCTACTTGCATTTGCTTAGGGCCCACCACCTTAAAAAAGAATGTCACAACATTTAAGTGTTAAAAAATGTCAAGTTAAAAATGTTGCTTATGTTTGAAAGACATTTATAAGTGTCAATTCTTATGATCAGCTTTCCTAGAAATTATGTGTACAAAAGGGATATAAAGAAGTTTAATATGGTGAAATATATGAAAACCAAATAAAACAATAGCATAGTTGCCATAAATAAAATAATAAAAATAAATATAATAAATAGATTTATTTAAAAGTAATTATTTATAAAATATAATAATAAAAACAATTTAAAAATAAAATTTGTATCTGTTAGCATAATATCTTTGATTCAAGTTGCACTAGGTATCCTTTCATAGAAGTTGATTTGAGCATTGTTAAGGGAACATTATTTCTGGGACTCTGAGGTATCCCTTCCAGGTTGTTTTAGGTACTGAGGAGGAAAGAACATACCTTCTGCACTTCATGGTAGTTATTCAAAGCTATAACCCACTGGCACATAGAGCAACAGGCAACAGACACGAGAGCAATCTTGTTTGGGTTGAAATCAGGTAAGATTAAAATTTTTTTCAGCTTCATGAAAACCTAGAGATAATACAATTTGTGTATTACAAGAAAAAGCAATGTTGTTGACCTGAAGTTGTCCTAAATACACAATCTACACTAAAATAAAATTTTATTGCACATAAGAAATACTCCACTCCTCTTAGATGGTAGGCTTATAGCACAGCTGTGTACACAGTGGCTCCAGTTGCAGAGGAGGGCAAAGCCTCGCTTACAAATATCTTGTTATTGCTACTGTTGGCACAGCAGCTTTGCCAGAGTTTTAAAAAAGGGACTCCATTTTACAACAAAGAGAAAGCAGGTAAACGTGGAATTTGGTGTGCAAGGAGGTCTGAAGTCTCTCCCATGCAACCTGAGGTGTGAGAAGATAGAACACTGTGCCCCACCTTCTGACCCCAAGGGGCATATCTGCAGGGCACAGTTCCCAGGCCCCAGTGAAGGGTCTGAGTTGTCAGTGGTGGCAGTGAGGCCTGAGCACGCTGAGGACACTATAGTTAACTTGTGTCACATGCCTTTTTTTCCAGTTGTTTACATACTATTTCTCCTCTATTTTGCGGAGCCATAATCAAAATAAAATCCTTCTGAGACCTGAGATTCCTTTTCTTCTCTTGCCTGGTAGGTCAGAACCATTTTGCTAAATAATTTAGATGGCAGGTGATCCATTATCAATTTATTATTGCTGTTTTCATTATTGCTTAAAATACTGTTATGCTTTTAATAACTTCTTTAGATGAAATGTTATTTTAGCTTGAAAGTTCTATTTAAACACAACCACAAGGAATCATTTTTACTAAGAATGCTTCAGAGAGTGAGTAGTTGTTACATTAATCCATGAGTAATACGGATGTCAGCACTAACATTCTGCTAAAGAATTCACCTTGTTCATATATGATCCTGTATTTCCTAATAACATAGATTATCACTGTAAGTAATTAATTAATTGTGTTTTTAGCTGTTTCGTGTCTGGCTTCCCTCTTATAATGTCAACTTCATAACATCGAGGAACGAGTTGGTCTTGTAAGCTATCGTCGTGTCTCATGATGACCCTTAGAAGGAAAATACTCCATAGATAGTTGTGAATGAATCAAGGACAGGGCACTGTGTGCATCTACAAATCTACCTGCCTAACATCTCAGCTCAGCTCCTGCCTAATACTCCTGTTCGGATATTCCTCTAGCCTCTACACTGGAATTACCCAGTTCTAAAACCACTTTCACATTTCTGGGTATTTGTTACCACAGCAACCACTGCCTGTGGCCCAAATCTCTGAGTTTCCTGTGAGCACTGTGACAAATCAGCACATCCTGGGTGACCAAAGACCATAACTTATGCTCTGGCCGTGCTGGAGACCAGAAATCTGAAATCAAGGTCCAGGTGGGACAGTACTCGCTCTGGGGGCCTGGTGGAGATTCTGTTCCTTGCCTTTTCCAGCTTCTGCTGCCAGAGGCATTACTTGGCTTATGGCCACATGGGTGGTGTCTGGACTAGTTACTGCTCTCTACTTTGCCTCTGTCCAGGCCCTCGGAACCTTCTGCCTACCCTGTCATACTTTTTTCCTCTTCCTACAGGACTCCTTTGTCCAGCATGGCCTCCCACTACATTGGGCACTGAGCCCCAACACTTACTCCGGACTCTGGCCCACTCTCATGGTCCTTGAAGTGCTACAGTAAATCTATTTCTTCTGAATTAAATCTGCTCCAGCAAAACCCTTCACTAGGTGTCTACACTACTTGATTTTCTTCTATTTTTTTCTCTGCTCTCATCTGTCCCCCATCTCCTCCAGCATGAATTAATATTTTCAAAGTGCTCAGAACAATGTCTGGCATATGTTGTTATATGAACATTTGTTACACAAATTAAAATAAATCTTTGGGATCCAGTTCAAGATGGTGATGTAGGAGGATCCGAAACTTCCCTTCTCCAAATCTACAACTATATAAGAACAACTATCTTTAAAAGGAACCAAGAAGCTACCTGAATACTCCTACACATTGGGCAATGAGATGAAACACCCTTGAAGTGGGTAGCAGAAGCAGAGACATAATCTTGCTGTACACCCACTCCTGGCATGGTGACCCACAATTGGGAGGGAACTCACAGCCCCAAGCTTCTCTCTGAAAAGTTTGAACCCCCACACCTGAAGACCTGCACCTGAGAGAAGATCCCCAAAACATCTGGTTTTGAAAGCCAACAGGGCTTGCATCCACAAGACTCCCGAGGCCACAGTGAACTGAGGAACAGTCCTGAAAGAGCTCATGCAGACTTATCCCCTAGGGCCCAGTGCACAGGTGGGTGACTGAAAGATTCCCAATCATCCAGGGAAAGAGGCCCATGTGCTTATCTCATAGCTTTGACATGAGGGTTGGTGTTCTAGTTTCACATACCAAACAAAACTAGCAAAAAAAGAACAAGTCAGGGGCACCTGGGTGGCTCAGTTGTTGAGGATTTGCCTTTGGCTCAGGTCATGATCAGGTCCTGGGCTTGAGTCCTATATCAGGCTCCCTGCAGGAAGCCTGCTTCTCACTTTGACTATGTCTCTGCCTCTCTCTTTGTGTCTCTCATGGATACATAAAATCTTAAAAAAAAAATGAGAGCAGAAATAATGAAATAGAGACTAAAAACACAATGGAAAAGATCAATGAATTGAGGAGTTGGTTTTTTAAAAAAGACAGAACTGAAAAACCTGTAGTTAATTCACCAAGAAAAAAAGAGAGGGCTCAAATAAATAAAAACAGAAACAAAAGAGATACTACAATATACCCCAGAGGTACAAACAGATTAGAAGAGACTGCTATGAACAATTATACACCAACAAATAGGATGAGTTAAAAGAAATGGATAAATTCCTAGAAACATGCAACTTACCAAGACTGAGTCATGAAATAGAAAATCTGGACAGACTAATTATTGGTAAAGAGATTGAACCAGTGATAAAAAAACCTCCCAACACACAAAAGTCTAGAACTAGCTGGCTTCAGTGACAAATCCTTTTTTTTTTTTTTAACATATATACATTCTTAAAGATTTTATTTATTAATCATGAGAGATACACAGAGAGAGGCAGAGGCACAGGCAGAGGGAGAAGCAGGCTCCACGGCAGGGAGCCTGATGCAGGATTTGATCCTGGAACTCAGGGATCACACCCTGAGCCAAAGGTGGACGCTCAACTGCTGAGCCACCCAGGTGTCCCTCAGTGGCGAATTCTATCAAATATATTAAAAAGAATTAATACCAATCCTTCTCAAACTTTTCCAAAAAACAGAAGAGGGGACACATCCAAAGTCATTTTATAAGGCCAGCATTACCTTGTTACCAAAATCAGACAAGGACATCACAAAAAAAGAAAATTACAGACCAATATCCCTGATGAACAATGATGCAAAATCCTCAACAAAATATTAGCAAACTGAATTTAATAGTACTTCAAAAAAATCATAAACCATGAAGTGGGATTTATTCCAAGGATCAAGGATGGTTCTGTAACAATTGATCAATCAATGTGATATAGTACATTAACAAAATTAAGGATAAAAATCACATTATCATCTCAATAGATGACTATTTCAATATCCAGTTATGATAAAAATACTCAACAAGCTGGGTATAGCTGGAATATACCTCAATATAATAAAGACTGTACATGACAAGCCCATAGTTAACATCATACTTAACAGTGAAATTCTGAAAGCTTTTCTTTTAAGGTCAGGAGAAGGACGCTTACTCTCACCACTTTTATTCAACACAGTATCCAAAGTCTTAGCCAGAGCAATTAGGCAAGAAAAAGATGAAAGGCATTCAAATTGGAAAAGAAAAACTGTCACTATTTGCAGATGATATTATATGTGGAATACTCTAAAGATATTATATGTGGAATACTCTAAAGACTTAGAAAAAATGAATTCAGTACAGTTGCAAGATACAAAATCAATATACAAAAATCAATTGCATTTCTATACACCAACAATGCACCATCAGAAACAGAAATTATGAAAATAATCCCACTTACAGTTGCATCAAAAAGAATAAAATACCTAGAAATAAACTTAACCAAGGAGGTGAAATACTTTTCAGTACACCAAAAACTGTAAGACACTGATGAAAGAAATGGAAGAAAACACAATAAGTGAAAAGATATTTTATGCTCATAGATTGGAAGAAGATTGTTAAAGTATCTGTAATACTCAAGGCTATCTATAGATTGAATGCAATCCCTATCAAAATTCCAATAGCAGTTTTCACAGAAATAGAACAAACAATCCTAAAATTCGTATGGAACCACAAAACAGCCCAAATAGTCCAATAATCTTGAAAAAGGAGAACAAGGCTAGAGGCAACATGCTTCCTGATTTCAAACTGTATTATAGAGCTATAGTAATCAAAAGAGTATGTACTGGCATATAACAGACGCATAGATTGATGGAACAGAACTGAGTGTCCAGAAATGAGTCCACACATAAAGTTGATCAATTTATAACAAAGGATCCAACCATATATAATGGGGAGGAATGCCAGAATGGCTCAGTCAGTTAAGCATCTAACTCTTCATTTAGCTCAGGTCCGATCTCAGAGTCATAAGATCAAGCCCTGGATTAGGTTCTGTGCTGGGCATGGAGTCTGCTTAAGATCTCTCTCTTCTTCTGCCCTTTCCCTACTCCCCCCAAAAATAAAAATAAGTAAGAATATACAATAGTTGGAAAGGATAATCTCTACAACAAACGGTGTTGGGAAAACTTGACAGCCACATGCAAAAGAATGAAGCTGGACCCCTATCTAACATCATACACAGAAATAACTTAAAATGGATTAAAGATGTGGATGTAGACCTGAAGCCATAAAACTCCTAGAAGAAAACATAGATGGTGAACTCACTGACATTGATTTTGGTAATGACTTTGGATTTGACATAAAAAAGAAAGCTAACAAAATAAAAAAATATATATATATATATCTATATATAACTACATCAAACTGAAAAGTTTCTGCCCTGTAATGGAAACCATTAGCAAAATGAAAAGGTAACCTATAGACTGGGAGAAAATATTTGCAAAACACATATGTGGTAAGGGGTTAATACCCAACATATAGGGATCCCTGGGTGGCGCAGCGGTTTGGCGCTTGCCTTTGGCCCAGGGCGCGATCCTGGAGACCCGGGATCGAATCCCACGTCAGGCTCCCGGTGCATGGAACCTGCTTCTCCCTCTGCCTGTGTCTCTGCCTCTATCTCTCTGTGACTATCATAAATAAATAAAAATTAAAAAAAAAACCTAAAAAAAAATACCCAACATATATAAAGAACTCCTACAGACTCCCCCAAAAACCACACCTCAAACAAGAGAAAGCAAAAACAAAAAAATAAAATAACCCCAAACCCAATCTGATTAAAATATGGGCAGAGGATCTGAATAGACATTTTTCCAAAGATCCCTGCATGGAGCCTGCTTCTCCCTCTGCCTGTCTCTGCCTTTCTCTCTCTCTCTCTCTATTATAAATAAATAAAAATAAATCTTTAAAAAAAAAGAAGGAAATCCTTCCAGTTGTGACAACATAGATGAGCCTTGCATGTGTTATGCTAAGTGAACTAAGTTAGACAGAGAAGGATTTTATCACTTATAAGTGGAATCTAAAACAAAAACTGAACTCAAATACAGACAACAGATTGATGGCTGTCAGAGGTGGGGACTTAGGGATGGCGAAGGGGGCCAAGAGGTGGAAACTTTCAGCTGTAAGATAAATAAGTCCGGGGGGTAGAATGTATGGCATGATGACTAGAGTTAAAAATATCATATTGTGCATTTGAAGATTATTATGGAGTAGGATCTTAAAAGTTATCACTATAAGAAAAAATATTTGCAACAATGTGTGGTGATAGATGATAACTAGGCTTACTGTGGGGTGATCACAATATATATGAATATTGATTCATTATACCATACACCTGAAGTTAATATGTTATATGTCAATTATATCTGAACTTTAAAAAATTCCAGACACTTTTATTCAAACCTTGTGGTTTCTTAGTGTAATGCAGTCCCTCCAGAGAGACTTTCACCCTCTGTTGGTCTCTTCTCTCATTAAAGAGATTCTGAGACATAGCATTCCCTGATTTGGGAGACACACTGCTTTTCCTCAGCATTCCCAGCAAACCTGTTACATATGGTTATGGAGCTTGCTCCCTCATCTTCTAACCTGAATCACAGACTTTCCATTCTAATGCACAATTCCAATGTTGGACTCCTGTAGACTATGAGTATGGGAGGCATCAGTTATGCATTAATTAGGGATCAACTCTGTACCTTCTCCGGTATGCTGTCCTTGTCAAGGTTAATCAGTCTTTTCAGGAAACCAGTTTCCGAAAGAAGCAATTTTGCTGACGTCCAGTTAGGTTTCTTCTGCAGAAGAATGCATACTGCATTCATGACTGTCAGCACGAGAAAGGGAGGCTGTGTATACACTCTGCAATAGGTAGGGGAAACCTGGTCAGCTTCACAACTGAAAGTGAATGCATCCTGTAAACTATCTTAGAAGACAAAATACACAGATTTTTAACAGACTTTTTCATAAGGTTAACTACTTAGCTATTTCAGTTTGGGCTATATGTAAACATTTGGGTATGTTTAACATACGGGTATCTCTACTTTGGGAAGATGACATGTGTAAGACTTAAATATGTAGAACATCTAAGTTAGAGGTTAATTCTTTTCATTAGAAAAGTACTCACTGCAGAGTCCTTTATAGCAGGAGCCCTCCTGTTTCGTCCCAGTGCTGATGTCCTAATGACTAATGACAACTAAGCCACTCCCCTTAAACATATCCTCTGACTTTTCTCTATCCTCATCTGAAATTCCTGCCATAAAATCATGATACAACAGAGTGGGAAAGAGGATTGGTGGGGGCTGGTCTCTTAGATTCTTAGTGTGGTTATTGGAATGCTGGAAGCCGCTTCTTATTTGCGTCCTCATCAGCTGACTTGCCACTGCAGGAGCACGAGAAGGTGACATTCTGGAGAGCCAGCGGTCAGAAGAACAGTCACAAGAAGTAAGTTTCAGTGAGATGCCAGGAGGGTGGTGATTATTATGCAGTAACATTTGGGACTTGGGAATTAAAGGCACAGGTCCATCCACAGCAATGAGTCTCCCCCAAATGAAACCATACAGACTTCCCAACAGAAGGCAGGCAACAAAGCCAAATATATGCATATAACACTAGCTACAAGGGTTACCAAGAAGGTCCTCCTGCCTTAAATTTCACCACTAGAGATTCACTCATTTAGGTTAATCTTTGTTTTCTTTTACAGTCTACTTCAAAAATGCAGATATTTTTCAGGACTATATATTTAAATAATTAATGGTTTATTTAGAACTAATTTATCAGACAGCTTTTCTGAGATTATCAGTGTGGGTTTTTTTTTTTTTTTTGTTTGTTTTGTTTTTTGAAATAAGGAGAAAGGTTGTAACAGGAACTAGGGAAAGAGTGACAAGGTCCACAGGGGAGAAAAGAGAGCTCCAAAAACAGGATTTTCCTCAATTTTGCCTATATTTGACACTTTTTAAACAAACATAATGGGAATATAGTAAAATTGAGATAAAAATACATTATCTATAAAATTTTAATGTAAATTAAAGGGAAAATAGATTCAATTGACTATCATCCCACCTACCTATCACTTTTAAGAAACAAATACCTGATTCAAAGCAAGACCAACCTACATTGGAAATCTGCTTTAAAAACCTCGTTACTACACAGGAGTCCTCTGACTTAGACTTTTATTGGTTTGCTCTAATCTATATTTTCTACCACTTTCCCCCTTCTTCTAGTGGCTAATGCAGCTAGGAAAGAGAGTGGGCTGTCCTGGGTACCTGCTGGATGTCTCTGCTGCACATCATAGATGTGGCATTGGAATCAGCAATATCACAAGGGGGAATCTTAACAAACAAACAAGCTATACAACAAGAAACCCCCATAACGTATGCAAGGAAAGGTTAGGGATTTCTAGCTAGGGAATGGGAGTGGGCCTGTTCAGTCGGAGAAACCTCTTAGCATAAAAATAACGAGCACCTGCCTAAAAAAAAAAAAAAAAAAAAAAAAATTTTAAAAAAAAATATATATATATTAATGGGGGGGGGGGGGGGGGGGGAAAAATAAAAAAAAAATTTTTTTTTTTTTTTTTTTTTTTTTTTTTTTTTTTTTTTTTTTTGTTTTTTTTTTTTTTTTTTTTTTTTTATGTTTTAGATGGTTGTTGTTTTGGTGTTTTATTATTAATATATTTTAAGTATAAATTTATTTTGTTTGTGAAAAATTGAATTGTGATTTAAAATAATTTATAAGATTAGATTTTAAAGGATAGATTTTGATAGGATGAATAAGTTTTTAGAAATGTTTATGAGTTTAAGGTAACTATGGTTAAAATAATGAGTTAAATAAAGAGTGATGTTGGGGATATAAATGCTATGTAGCTAAAGTGTTATAGAAAAAATATAATATATAAGCGAAGGCAAACTGGCGTTTGTAGTTAATTAATAACATGAATGCTTTTCTGGATTAAGTCTTCTGATTAATGTCTAATGATTTGAAAACATTTAAGGAAATAGAATGTATTTCATATATGGAATTATGAGAGAAGTTAATGCTGCCTGTATGAAAGGGCATTAACTAACTGTATGGCTTATATTTTATTGAAATGACTGGGAATTGGGATAATGAAATAAAGAAGAATACTGAGGATGAGATAGGGATGGAAATTCATGTTATGAGGTCAAAAAGAGTAAGAATAAAGAATTTGGTCTGCTTCTCCTTCTCTGACTTTCAACTGCGGGGAGGAGCTCGGGCACTGTGGTATGCGCTGCTTTCCCAGTAAAGTCCTGCTGGTTAAAGACAGCTTGTTTGTCATCGTCTCTTCTTGTTCCCAGAATTAATAATGTTACAAATATCATGGTAGATTTGCCTACTTCTGCATCTTTAATTGAAATATCACTTCCAATAAATAATGGAAAATGCAACACATCCTGCAGGTGACAGCAAAGTCTTCTCGTCTGTTGGGCCGCAGACCCCTATGGAGAGCATCTCACCAAGAGATTCAAACTACAAATATTGGGATCAGGCTCTGGACCTTGGAGTATCTCATTTCTTCTTGGAAGTTCCTACCCCAGGAGGGCGGCCAGGGCCGAGGGACCAGGCAGTGGTTCCCCAGGGGCACCTGGTGGCCACTGTGGCCCTGGACGCACGTCACTGTGGTGCCGCGGACCTGGCTTTCTGTAGCCCACAGCAGCACCACAGACACTGTCCTACTTTCGGACCTGTAGGTCAGGTGCTGCTAGAGTCACCATGGCTTCGTCTCTCGTCCTGGATATGCACTGTTGGGCCAATCCTAGGACATGGGTTTTAGGTCTCTGAGACTGGGATAAAGTTTGTCACCAGTAGCACAGTATGTAGTTTAGTCAGCAGTGGCTTTTCTCATGGCTGCAAAAAATATTGATGTGTCCTGCAGGTGATGGAGCCATAACATGGATGACATACACTATATGACACACATAATAACAAGTTTAAAGTAACCAAGATGGGTAAAAATGACTTGGTCTAAAAACATATGAATACAGACTTAGTAACATTTACTAGGCATTTGTGCTTTATTTTGGGCTTTTCCAGTTCCAAACAAATGAGGTGAATTACCTCAGCTCAGCGACATCGGCTTTATCCAGGGCGCTCAGAGCCACGATCGCCTTGTCGAGAGCTGGCAGCACACTTTTTACTTCATGGGCAGTTTCCTGCAACAAAGTTAGAGGCCCCCAAACATGTATGAATGCATATAGCTGCATGCTGTAAATTCTTCTATCTTGAACCTGGAAAATAGATTTGGCCCTTTCTACGATGCATGCTGTGTACACCACTAGGAATGTGTGCTGCAGTCCTGAGTGTGGGTGATGAGGAGCTGTGTGTGTGAGAACTCTTCTCCATCAGACTCAGGGTAGTCCTGGGAAAGGTGGGTTGCCCAGCTAAGGAAGCCTGAGCTTCAGAGGCCCTCGCTGGCTCTGGCCTTCTCCTGTGCCTGGAAGGAGCTCTGTCAGGGTTCACAGGGCTGTGTGTCTTCACTGGCTCTAAAAGTCAGACACTGTAACTGCAACCGGCTTTCCCTTGGGTCAGGTGTCAGTGGAGCAGCTGCGGATATGTTTGGGGTCTGGCTGAGAAGCTGAGTTGGACATAGGCACTACTCTATATAGTGAAGTTATTAGAAGCTATCTAAATTAGGAAGGACTTGGAGAAGTTCTTCAGTTGTCCCCTGTTCAGCTTTCCTGGGCATGTGACGTTAAGGGCTCAGCTAGGAGTCACATTGTAACATAAATTTATTCCACAGGCCAAGCACCAGAGCTACATGGGCAGTGGGGGAAGAAACAAGGTTTGTGGTATATGAACCCAGAATCTGATTTGTGGAAAGTCAGTTCATCAGATGTGTATGATTGGAAGTGCAAGGTGATATTCTCAATGATACCTACCCAAAATGGAACACAGGTGATAATGTAGTACACACTACTCTAAACTTAGCAGAAAGCTTCTGTTTTTTTCAGTGGGAGTTATGCAAAAACAACCCATCAGAATTCCTCAGTTTTCGGGTAATAGCTACTGAATTTAAAAAGATGTTTTGGAGTATCTCAATGAAATAAGTGAGAAATTAGAGGTTCCTTACATAGATGTGTGTGAAAGGTACTCTATTTTATAATTTTAAAATTTTATTTACAAATAAATAAGACAAAACTTAGTGAACACAGAAGTGATTAAATGTTAAAATCAATAGAGATTATTTTGATAGAGAAGCAAATGTGATGAAAATTTTCAGATCACACCAAAAGCAATAATTTATTAAGAGGAAAAAAATACATTTCAGATAGAGGTAATGATCTGGCTCTTGTCTGTTTAATAATCCAATTCACAAAGAAGAATGCATCATACAATTGCACTGGAAAATGTCAGTGTTCTGGCTGAGTTTGCAAGAGATATTGACATTAATGAAAATCTAAATATCAGAAAACAACTCTATAAGGAAGATATTGGTGGAAAACTAGTTAATGAATGCTCTCAATTCATACACCATCTAAAAATCATTAATTGCCCAAGAAACCTTGAAATGCCAGTTTTGCTTAAACCAATCAATAGCAACATTAAAAATATTCATGACATTATTGGTGATGGGTTATAAAGTTCAAAGAAACTATCCAACTATCAAAAAACCCACATTTTTATCAACTATGCTGAACACTGCACAGGAAATGATATTAATGAATAATTCTCACATAAAGAAGTAGGAGATAATTTTGCAAATCTCCAAATAATTGGTATTGATTATATTTTAGTTTTTACCTGAGCATAATCTTCTACAATTCTTACTTCTTCAGCCATAATTTCTTCATCCTGTTTAACAAGCACCTGGACTTTCTCCACTACTTGTGAATCTTTCTGCAGCTTTTCCATGAGTGCTTCCTTTTCCTAATGAGACACATAGTTCTTCTAAGAATTAATTTTAAGAGATATAGAACTTCTTTTTTAAAGAGAAATTCATTTAAAGAAAAATTCATAAAGCTCATTTCATTATTATTTTAAAGATTTATTTGTTTAATTGACATAGAGAGTGTGTGAGCATGAGCAGGAGGAGGGGCAAAGGAAAAGGCTGAATCAGACTCCACCCTAGCAGGGAGCTGATGTAGACCTCGATCCCAAGACCCTGAAATCAGGACCTGAGCTGAAGGCAGTCTCTTCCTTGACTGAGCTATCCAGGTGCCCCAGCTCATCTCATTATTTAAAATTTACCAAAATCAGCTTGAAATATATTTGTTGAACAGATTAAACTGGAAAGGATAACCATAGCCAGTATCATCTCATGAGACACATGTGAAGAGTTTTAGAGCACCCTGCAGACTGCGAGTTACTAGAGCATAGTTGATTGATTTAACTAATAACAGCAGAATTATTCAATGTGAGCTTTTCCAACTAGTTGTATGCCTATTATCACACTGAGTTATTACAATATAGTGCTGTTACTATTTCGCTATCATTGTTGTCTTGTTGTCATTGTCTTGTTCATTTTACAGATAAGAAAGTTGAGGCCAACAGAGCTACACAGCTGCATGCTAACAAAGCTGCAATCCATGCTTGCCAAGTATCACAGCCTTTGCTTCCCAATGCTGTTCTATATTAAATATAAAATATTTAAAAGAGATTTCAAACCAGATGTACCTTTTTTTTTTTAAAGATTTTACTTATTTATTCATGAGAGAGACAGAGAGAGAGGCAGGCAGAAGGAGAAGCAAGCTCCCTGAGGGGGAGTGGGACTCGATCCCAGGATTCCGGGATCATAACCTAAGTCAAAGGCTGACCCTCAACCGTTGAGCCACCCAGGTGTCCTAATGTACCTTTGTTTTTTGTTCTATTTGTGGGCCAAGGACCAAGAGCTCCTCTTGCATATCTGTAACTAGAGTGGTTGCTTCCAGGATCTTGGATAGACCCATATAAAAACGATTCCTGAGGGGAAAATAGCATTATATTAGCAAAGCGAGATTCATCACAATCATGTATTGAAAGACAACATGGTAAAGATGTTGATTCTTCCCCAAATTATCATATAGGTTTAATGTGATGCCTACCAAAATCGCTGTAAGATTTTTCTTTGTAGATACAGACAAGCTTCTTCTAAAATTTACATAAAATTTACATAGAAATGAACTAGGATGATTAGAACAATTTTACAAAAGAATACAGTGGGTGTCATCTCTCTACCTGATTGTGAGACTGATTAAGTAATGATGGTCATCAGGAAGAGGTCTTGGCAGAGGGTAAGATACCTCCATCAACAGAACAGGACTGAGAAGCCAGAAACAAACCCACAGAGGCACAGTCAACTAGCTTTTGACAAAGGTGCGAGAGTGATTTTCAACAAAGGGTGCAGAGTGGCTGGTTATACAACAGATTGTGGATGTAAGCCTCATGCCTTACACAAAACTAATTCTAAGTGGAGGGCAGAATGAAGTGTGAGAGGTGGGACTGTGGTACTTTTAGAAGAATGCATAGGAGAAAGTCTCCAGGACCCAGGACTAGGGGAGGAGGGAGAAGTTCGAAGACATGACAAGAGAAGCACAGCCAAGAAAGAAAACCAAATTTGACAAACTGGATGTCATCAAAATTAAAACAGAAAGACTCCATCCAAAGAAGGACAAGACAAATAACTGCTGGGACAAAATATCTGCAGTCCGTATATCAGACAGAGGGATTCCTATTTAAAACACCCAGAGAGCTCTCAAAACTCGGCAATGAGAAAAACTGAAGAATCCATTTAGCAAATGTGCCAGCGCTGTGCAGAGACACTGAAGGGGAAAGGAGGCGCAGGCGCAGAGAGGGCTACCCTGGTGGTGGAGGGCCGCAGGCAGAGACCACAGTGCCGTGTCTGCAAGGCTGTAGAGGAACACTATTCCTCATGCACACAACCACGGTGGACAACAATGTGGTATTTTCTTTGCGATTCAGCATATACTCACCGTGGCCTGTTTCTGGCCTTTCTCCTAGAACCGCTCCACCGCAGAAACCACCCTGGCTCCTTCTGTGGATGAGTGGTTGCACTCATGTGCATACCCATGCATACCCATCCATGCCTCAGAGTGCTTACAGAAACGGATAGTCTATTGATACGTGCAACGTCTGGATGGAAATCCACGGTGTGATGCTGAGCGAAGCCCATCTCGCCCCCCACGTACAGGGGAGGCTGGAGACAGAGACCAGACTGTAGCTGGGGGCTGCTGGGAGCTGCGTAGGGGCTGCCTAAGGGACTCAGCTGTGGTGAGGGACTAGTTCTGCATCTTGATTGCTGTTGCAGGTCCACACAAACACACACACGGGGTAAATGGGCACAGGACTGTGTCCACACCGGGTGCCCATACCAACGTCCTGGATTTGGTGCTGTACTACAATCATGGAAAATGTAACAAGTGAGGGGGGCAACTGAGCTTAATGTATGCGGGACCTCTCTGTACTATTTTGCAACTTCTGGTCAATCTATTTCAAAATGAAAAGATTGTGTTTTTAAAGAAACATAAGATAAAGTTGAAAATTTTCCACTTACCTATTTACTAGAATAAAAACTTGAAAACACACAGTTTGTAAGGAATAAAATAAACACTGTAAAATCAGAGGACTACAATTCTATAGCCCTGTTTAGCCCTAACTCTAGCAAAAAGAGGAAAAAGTCCCGTGGAAGATCCAGTTTCTACTTCTTGGGCTTTCCTAACCTATGAGGATGTCGTTGTCAATGACACCAAGACTGCTGGGCAATTCACTCTTTGACCTAACCCAGGACAGCTCCTCAAAACTTCTCATCTGGATTCCTACAATAGCTTTCAAATCTTTGGTTTTAGTTTTATATCTAATTTATCCCCCATTCTAATACCAGACTGATTTTCCTAAAACACAAGTCTGAATTAAACAGAGTTGTTATTTGTTGTGAGTGATGTATGTTGGCCACACCTTGGCAGTTAATCTCTAATATCACCCCCAAGAAGTAGGTGCTATTAAAAATAAAATGAAAAACTGAAAAGACAGTGGGGCTCCTGAAGCTTGGCTCCCAGGGGAGCCCATGCATAAGGCAGGCAGTTTGGGACTTACCTCCCTGAAGGGTCCCTCCCATATAAACAGAATGTTTCATTATGAGTTTTGGGTTGGAGAAGAGATGTAGATTGGCTGTAAGGGACCCAGACCACATAATGAACCCTCCCCACTTCTTCTCCCATGTCTACCCCTGGGACACAGGGCTGCTGGAATCTTCAAGTGGCAAACAGGAGCTGGGGCACTGGGACCTCTAGCCTGGGGCTTCCTTTACAACTGTGATGGGGGTGAGCAGTTATAATAGATGATCATGACCATGCATGGATGCGGTCCTGGTCTGGCCCACACGTTGGGGGTAGGAGATATTCTAGTATAGCACAAAGAGCCACCTAGACATGTGTCTGGGTTGAGGGTGTGGGTGAGGCACAGACAAGATGGGGAAGGGAGGAAGCACTGGGCTAGTGACTGGCCGCATGATCATAGTCATGTTGCTGCAAATGGAAGGCAGCAGTCCCTGTGGTGGGAAGGGGACACTTGGAAGCTTGGAAGTCAGAGGTGGAAAGAGGATCCACTCATCTCTTGACTCCTGTGTGGGGGGCATCTGGCCAGTTTATCCAGACTGCTGTCATCAGCCTCAAATTGAACCATCGACCCACAAAAAGCTCCATCCACAGACTTCCAGAACCACCTAGAAGTCCCTAACTCTAGGACCTGAAGAGTCTTTACTTAAAACAACAGAACAAGATTCACCTTCTAAAGAATCTAAGAGGATTCCCTGTAGCCTCACTGTATTCACAGACTCCAGCAACTGCTCTAAATTTAGCTGAGTTGAATCTGCCATGCACTCCCTGCCCACGACCTTGTTAACAATAACTTTACGAAATTAGCCCCTGCCCTCACATTAGCATCATGCCACTGAGGAGGCTGCTACTACTTCTTGCCTAAAAGTTAGGCCTACACTAATCTGTCACATGCAAACCAGTCTGACATTTCTAGCACAACTGGTGACGAGAATCTGTCATTGTCCTGGGTTTCCTGTTGGACATCTGAGGAGAGTATGTGTGACTGCCAATGCCTCTTGATGTGCCCAATCAGGAGCCCTGCTGTGGCCTACCCTCTAAGTTCTGGGTGGGGAGGGGGGTGGTCAGAGTCACAGCCACTGTCATCCAGCATGGCCTGAGACACAGAACAGATTGAGTTCAAGCCCCTATCAGTACGGCTAATTAGGGTGTCTCATGGGGTAGCCCCTGGAGGTAATGGAGTCTTGTCTGGATACCCTGTGCCTGTGGGCCTCCTGGAGCGAGAGCACAGGATGCTTGTGGGCAGAGGCTACCAGGTCATCTCCCACTCACTCCCCATCTTTCCAGGAGGCTGTTAGTGGTCTCCTGGACTCTGATCAGGTACGAGATGTCCTACCCAGTATTTTGTTGCCCACCTTCCCCGGTGCAGTGGGGGCTCTGGAGCTGCATAGGCTCCTCAGCAATACTCTCCCACCATCAATGATGCTGTCACTGGGCTCCCTTTATTTTGCTGGTGTCCCTGGGATAAAGGCAAAGCCGGTGGCACCTGCACTTGCTCTTGCTTTCAGGACATGATCAAGGGGAGGGCACACTGCCTTTTCCCAGGGGGCCTGTGCCAGCCAGATCTCCACTGCCAGGCAGCTTGTGGACGCCTTATGTCTCTCAAGGGCTTGTGCAGTTTTTGTCCTTTTCCCCCACTGGAAAGGCAGATTCTGACTCATTCTTTTGTATTTGTGTCTCTTTTTACAAATAAAAGCACCAATTAAAAATATAGATATATATTTCTGATTTGGTCTCAAAGTCTTACCTCTTTGTTTGCATTCCCTTCTCCCGTGACCTCAAAATGTGAGCAAAGGTATCCATGAACCGCAAGTAGCTACTGGGAGTGACATAATAATGCCTTCCAGTTTTTTGGAAGTATATTGTGTTCAAGTCTTTTATACTTCTGTGGATCTGGACACATGTTGGGGCAAGTTTTTCTTTTAAGTTCTACAAAATAATAATTTTTAAGAATTAAGAGACAACAATCTAAATAGACATAAAGAGAAAATTGAACATGGTGAATAACCTGAAGTTGTTTATCATTCTGAGATGTGGCGAGGTTGAGAAGGCCCCCAGCAAATGGGACCGAGAATACAGACATGCTAGTGGCTTAGATGGTGTTGGGATGAAAGAGGCAACAACTGGACCGGTGACTGGTGACATGCTGGACTCATCCTACCAGGCTTTCCCCTCTGTTCTGCTCCAGCTGTCCGAGGACTCAGAGGCCATAGTCTGTGGCCTGGTTCATGGTGCCTTCCTTTCCTAAAGTGGGTTAGCAATTGCAAGAGACTCTACTTCTCTTCCTTGACTGAAAGAAGGCTGCAAAAATGTAGGGACTCAAAGGACATACAGGTAAGTGGCTGGGAAAACTGAAGGAGAGAGTGCCCCTTACATAGTTTTGGAGAGAACTGTGTCTGAGACACGCCCTGGCTGCAGCACCCCCCCTGCCCATCATGGCTAGCCAATCACCTGGTCACCTTGAGCCCAGCTGCACATTCTTCCCAGGTCCACCTGACTCGCCCACAGCCTTTGCTTTCCTTGGGTGCTTGCCAGGTAACGTCGCAAGCCCTTTACCAGGTGCTGTACCAAGTTTCGGGCAGCTACTTTTATAGCTTCTTTTGTCAACACCCCATGGGTCTTTGGTTGGGCCATGCTAGGGAAGATTCTAACTTACTATGGCTCATGAGTTCTGAACTAATTTTGCATGTGGTTTGTTGGAGACAGAGAGACTTATAAGGAATACGCGAAGGGTACAGCATCCATAGCACAGCATCTGGTGTGCCAAGTGGAGCTTGTTCCCTTTGGGGATTCTGCTGTCTGCCATGGGGCAGGAGAGTTCAGAAGCCCAGGCAGTAAGGAATCTGGGCATCTCTGACACAGGGCAGATCAGGGGAAACTGATGAAGGGTCAAGGAAAACCCTTGACCTATGTCATAGTTTGCCTAGAGCTGCCTATTTTTGCCTACCTAGGACTCATTCAGAGATCTAATTCTGTCAGATGCTGTCAACAACTTGAAATCTTCCCTTGTGTCAGATTTTTAAAAGAGAATGTATTTACCTCTCTGTTCTGTAAATCCACCTTTTCTCTTAAGAAAGAATTGGCTACAACAAGGAGAGCTTCATCTGGCCACTTCTCATACCAGTCAATTGTGCAGATGGTGATCATAGAAGGATATGCTCTACAATGTTGGCGGAAGTGAGGTCCTGTGGGACTCATGGTCATAAAAATATGAAGATTTTTATATATCCTCTGAAAATTAATAAAGATATAAGTTGTTAAAATGTTATCCTCTGCTTTGGAAAAAATATTTTATTAAAAATTCCATTTGAAAATTGTTTCACTTCTTAAGAATATTTTATTTATTTATTTATTTTAATTTATTTATGATAGTCACAGAGAGAGAGAGAGAGAGAGAGGCAGAGACACAGGCAGAGGGAGAAGCAGGCTCCATGCACCAGGAGCCCGACGTGGGATTCGATCTGGGGTCTCCAGGATCGCGCCCTGGGCCAAAGGCAGGCGCCAAACCACTGCGCCACCCAGGGATCCCTTGTTTCACTTCTTTACTAGAACTGAGCAAGTGTGCCCCGAGCACCTTCCAAAGGAAACTACACATCCCCGGAGCTCAGGTGAGGAAAGTAGCCAGGTTCTGCTCTCTGGGACCTGGAACACCTCTTATATAAACCAGGTCTTAGGAGTGGGTGTGGTGCCAGAGTTCTGCTCAGTAGGGGATCCTACAGCAGACTGGGACAAGACTGGGACAACTACTTCACTTTTGGCTCTGGATTGGTGTGCATCTAAGATGCCTAGATACTCAATGTGGGAAATGGTCAGATGAATGAAAGCTGAAAGAGAAAAACAGACCAATGTCATGGGTGGGACATGAGGGAGGCATTAGTAAAATCCTGAAGGGTTAGAGCTCAGCAATATTAGAGCCTCAACCGTCCCCAGGTACTTGGCAGGTGCTGCCTCCTGTGAATCTCCCTGCATCTTACCCCATATGACTGTGCTGTGGTGTGGCTGCTGTTCCTGGCTTCTTGAAGGACTGGCAGGGGTGCAGCTCTTTCCTCATTCCCATACATCACTTTAAATGAAACCACATTACTGAGAGCAGTTTAGGTGAATCAATGTTCCTTTCAACTCAAACAGTTCAATTTGTACAAACTGATAAGATGATGTTTGAGTATCAAGCAACCTATTTTGCCAAAGTATGGTAAAAGCTGAAAGAGGAGGAAAGCTAAGATTCTTTTTCTTTCCTTTTGTCTTTAAAAAATGTATAAAAGTAAATTAAACTGCTCAATGCAGAATTTATACAACAGAGAAATGTTTAAGTTAAAAATGAAATTACCTCTCTTTGCCTAACCCATTCTTAAATTCCTACCTAAAGATGCTCAATGTTAACAGCTGAAAGTATGATGACTTCACTATTATTACTGTAAGATACTTCATGCCATTTTTGGAAGTATGATATAAAATAGACAAATAATGAAAACTGATTTCTAACTGGGATTTTTGGTTTATTTCTTATTTCTAGAGTGCACTGTTCTCCATACTCCAAGTTAGAAATTCTTAGTTCCTCCTTACCAATCAGTTCATATATATAAACCAGTTTAGTAACAAGGCACTAGAGGGCCACAAGTGATCAGGATAATTGCATTTAAAAATATGACCCAATCTAAGCATCCGTTCACATGACGATGTTGTCAGTGGTGGACTCCATTTCTGGAATTTTTAACATCTTGTGCCGGATCACTAAGCATCCACAGAGGATAAGGTGGCCTAGTTTGATTTTCCAACGACTCCATCACAGATAGGAACTGGCGCCAGACCTAAGCCGGCCTGCGGTGCTTCCCCTGTGGATTCCTGCTTTCAGCAATCACACCTCTCTCACCACTAGGTGGATGTTCAGTCATCGTGCCTTTAAGATGCAGAAAACTTAGCTCGTTGGTGTTGGTCTGGATCCTGCCTCCCTTCAAACCAGCCCTTTACTGACCCACTGCTGAGGTCCTTTAGAATATCATCTGCTCTATCTGGATTATTTCCGTCTGTTCCCGTCACCCTCTGGCCAATTCCAGGCTATTCAAAGGGATACAAGAATTCCTGTTTCTTGTCTTTGCAGACTTGATGCCAACTGTGGGTAGGCAGGGAACTCAGTGTAAGAAGTAAACCCGGGGTCTTATTTCTCTTATCTTTGCCTCTTGTTATTACCATGTTCTTTAGCCACCGATAGCAGGCAGACCCAGACCCTTGCTGACCCTGGATGTCCTTAGGGTGTGATTTGTCTGTGTGCGGGGGTCCAGTCATTAGTTTTAACTTTAAAAACTCATTTAAAGAACTAAAAAAATTTATCCACCTTGAAAATCAGGTACAGAATTATAAATGTAGTCTACTTTTAATTTAATATAATAATTTGAAAAAACCAATACCTTTTGGAAGAATGCAAGTAAAGACTGCCTATTATCAATATAACCAGACTGTTCAACAAAAGATCTCATCCTTAGCACAATGGAATCCAGCTCCTCATTTTCAAACAGGTCAAGTACTTTCCTCATATTGAGAATGTTGTTCAAATCTTCCAAAAACGCCTCCTTAGGTGAAACAAATGATGAATCAGGACTGAGTAAATTATTTACATATTCCACTAGAAACACACCAAATTGAAACCCAGGACAAAGAGCTGTGAAACTATCAGAGGGAATTTTTATTAATAAGTATGAGCATTTGGATTTTGAGGATAAGTCCAAGCTTTATTTTAAAAAAAGCATCCTTAGTATCATGACCTCCTTGGGATACTCTTCAGACCCTCCCGGGGGTCTGAAGGTAAACACTCCCTTCCTAGTGTTTCAGCCCAGGTGGGGAAGGAAAGCGAGTGGGACAGTCTCCAGGAGGGGCTGACAGAGCTCACACGAAGCTGGCTGATCTTCTGTCACATCCAGGACTGATGGAGGACTGACGAAGCTTCTTAAGCACACCGATTATTTCCTACTTGTCCAGGGTTCGCTTACCTGCTCTGGGGTGCTGCTGTCTCAGCATCTGTTTTGTTCCACCAGGCAGCCTGTGGAGACCCTACTCTGACACCAGCCCCTCATGCAAGCAGCCCACAGAGTGACAAGCAAGTGCTAGCTCCTGGGAGGACTTCCCCAACAGTCTGTGGTCAGCAGCAGTCCCTGCTGCTCAGGGCCTGTGTACCTTAGATGCCCCTTAGATAGACCCTCATGGGGCAAACCGAAACCCCACTCTTTAGGCTTGAGTGGACCTGAGAACCCCAAGTCGCTCTGCTCACAGGCCCTGATGAAGGCATGTGCCCTAGGTCTTGCCTCTCTCTGCCCATACCCTGCCTTGACCTCTCCAGGCGGCCCCTCAAGGCATGCTGTGTTACTTCTTCGAGGACCTGTAGTAAACTCCTCTACTTCACTTTCTTTTGTGGTCTCCTGTTGAACCGGGGATCACCATCCAGCACTCTGTAATCCTCTTTACAAATGTTAATTTAACATTGTCATAGCACCAGGTTTTGGATTCACATGGAAAACAATGATGTGAGCAGGAGAAACCTGGGAAGTATGGGGAAGACCTTGAAGTCAAATGACCTTGAAGTCCTAAATGACAAGGGAATAGATGATCACATCCATCTCAGCTTTGACCTGACAGCAGTTTTCTGAAAAATGATTTCTTAAACTAGAACGGTAGGCTCCTGGCAGGGGAGAAATGACATCTAGAATCCAGAGGTGTCTGGCAGAAACCTCAAGCTGATGAACAGACCAGGGTATTTAAATTTGGGAAAGGGAGGACACAGAATTAAAGAGGAAAGTCAGATACTACAGAGAACAGCAGATACAATACAACACTAGGACTTACTCTCAAAATAACAACATGCAAGAACACCACACGCCTTGGGAGAGAGGCCCAGTATGCAGAGAAAAAACAAGATGAAAGTTGACACAACGCTCGTAACTCTATGAGCGTGAAACATAGATGATGAACAGTGTGCCTTGGAATGTTGCCACAAAGAAGTAAATACAATCTGAGATGGCAGGCCGAATTATGTTCAGGCTGTGGAAGGGCACAATTTATGCCAAAAAACAGATTAAAAATGAAGCTGGGTGATTAGCAGTTTTTGCTTGTGAACAAAGCACATCTTGCAGGGAGACCTAAATTTGATGCTGACACTGGGGCAGCGGACAGAGGAAAAGGAGCCTCAAATCTGTGATGGCACGCTGCGGAGCACGCGAGGACATAGTGAATTCAGATGATGGTGTTGTTTTCAAAACACAGATGACAAAACTAGTGTAGCTACGTGGGCAAATTATAATTTGCCAATTAAAATGAAAACTATAAAGACAGAAAATACTTTTGTTGTAATGCTTATGTAAAACTGCAGCATAATGACAAATATATAAACTCTGGGCTGTGACTGGATAAGGATAGAATAATGTAAAAAATAGGGCAGGCTGGCAGGACTGTGTTTCATTTTCAAATATTAAATGGGGGGGGGCACTACTTATGTAGCAAACTTTAGCAAATAAGATAGACAAAATGTACTTACCTGCTTTGGGTTTAAGTTAGCAACTATCAGAGCAGTGGGGTTCCCTTCTAATCCTGCTTGAATGAAGCCCCTTTTAAAATCTTCTTTGAATTCTATGTAGGCAAAATTGTGGGATGTGGGCACTCGGTAGAGTTTGCATTCTGTTAAATAACAGGCCAGGGTGGCACAGGTCTCCTTCCCACAGCCGTCTATTCCAATCTGTGGAAAAACAATACAACATATGATTCCTATATACATCCTGGAATCTTTGCAGTGTATAAGCTGCCTATGTGTATGTGCTAGAAATTTACATGGCCAAAATGTTTATAAACTTTTTGGGAAATACATTAAATATAACTAAAGTATTCATCAAAGTTCTATAAGACTTTCATACACAGTCAATATTGTCACCTCTTCTCTATATTGTCTGTTGACATATGAGACAATTTCACTAGAAAGATAACACAATCTGGAAAAATAGCATTGGCAGGCTTATAAATCATCATTATATAATTGCCAATATTTGACTGGATATTCATTTATAAGAATTTAGATAGATCTTTTCCTATTTATTTCGAGCAATAAACATTTAAATGCTCTTTGGTAATCATGACCAAGTATTATCTTTTTTAGCAGCTTTTCTGAGGTGTAACGTACAGACTATACCACCTTTTACATGTACAATTCAATGATTTTTAGTAAATTTACAGTTATGCAACCATCACCACAATCCAGTCCTCAAACATTTCTATCACTGGAAATATCTCCAGGCTTGTAGTGAGTCTTCATTCCAACCCCAGGCCTGGGAACCCGCCTCCATAGACTTCCTATAATGAATCATAAATAGGACGTCTTCTGCATCTGCCTCCTCACTTAGCATGATGGTTTTGTGGTTCTTTCATGTGGTAGTATCCTACTGGATGGGCTACACCATATTTTGTTTATGCACAATGGACACTTGGGAATATTTCCACATCTGTCTGGGTTTGTTATCAGAAGATACCGGCCTCATGGGTAAAGTTGGGAGCTGTTCTCTCTATTTTCTGGAAGAGTCTGTAAAGGATTGATTTAGTTCTTCCTTAAATGTTTGATGGAATTCTCCAGTGAAGCTGTTTGGTTCTGGGCTTTCTCCAGGGGAAATTTTTAAATTCCCAATTCAATCTCTTTTTTTAGGTCTATTCAGATTACCTATTTCTTTAGCTCAGTCGTTTATGTCTTCCCAGCAAGTGTCCATTTCATCCAATGAGCCAGCACACAGTTGTCCATACTATTCTCTTACAATCCTTTATTTCTGTAATGTTGGTAGTTATGTCTTTTCTTTCATTCCTGATTTTGATAATTTTAATAATGAATTCATTCATTCTTTCTTTCTCCCTTCCTTCCTTCCTTCTTTGGTTTGTCAATTTTGTTGATCTTTTCAAAGAACCTTTGGTTTCATTGATATTTTCTATCACTTTTCTGTTCTCTACTTTCTTCTCATCTTTATTAGTTCCTTCTTTCTGCTTGCTTAGGGGTTTAGTTTTCTTTCCTCCTTGTAGTTTCCAAATGTGGGAGGTTAGATTATTTGAAATTTTTCTTCTTTTTAAAAACATAGGCATTTATAGCTTATATACATTTTCCTCTAAGTGCTGCTTTAGGTATGTTGTGTTTTCATTCATCTCAAAATATTTTCTAATATCTCTTGTGATTTCTTCTTTCACTCATTGGTTATTTGGGGATATGTGTAAAAATTCCACATATTTGTGAATATTTCAAATTTCTTTGTTATTGATTTCTGCTTTAATTCTATTGTAGTCAGAACATACTTTGAATGACTTCAGTCCTTTTAAATTTACTAAGTCAATCGGAGAAGGACAAACAGTGTATGTTCTCATTCATTTGGGGAATATGAATAATAGTGAAAGGGAATATAAGGGAAGGGAGAAGAAATGTGTGGGAAATATCAGAAAGGGAGACAGAACATAAAGACTTCTAACTCTGGGAAATGAACTAGGGGTGGTGGAGGGGGAGGAGGGCGGGGGGTGGGGGTGAATGGGTGACGGGCACTGAGGGGGACACTTGACGGGATGAGCACTGGGTGTTATTCTGTATGTTGGTAAATTGAACACCAATAAAAATTAATTTATTAAAAAAATAAATTTACTGAGGCTTGTTTTATAGTCTGGTACTATGGTCTATGCTGCAGAATGTTCCATGTGTGCTTCAGAAGAATGTGTATTTTGCTGTTGTTGGAAGCAGTCTTCTGTATATATCAATTAGGTTAAATTGTTTTTTGTTTTTTTTTCTTTTTAGGTTAAATTGTTGTACAGTACTGTTGACATATTTATATCCTCAATGATTTTATATCTAGTTGCTCTACTAATGATTGAGAGTGGGGATGTTGAAGACTCCAATTATTGCTGGTTAACTGCTTATTTCTCTCTCTTCAATTTTGTTTGTTTGGCTTCACATATTTTGGGGCTTAGTTGTTATGTGTGTGTGCCTGTAACTGTTATGTCTTCCTGATGATTGATGATTTTGTCATTATAACATCTTTCTTTTCCCTCAGAACACTTATTTTTTTTTCCCTGAAAGTCTATTTTGTCTAATATTAGTATAATTATACCAATTGTCTTATGGGAATTGTTGGTATGAATTATCTTTTTCCATGTTTTCATTTTCAACCACTTTGTGTCATTGAATCTAAAATGCAACTCCTGTTGATAGCATATGATTAGATTTAAAAAAGATTCTGTCCTACAATCTTTGCCTCTTTATTGGAACATTTAGTACATTTATATTTAATGTTATGATTGATGTGATTTGATTTACATCTACCATATTGCTTTTTTTTAAATGTCTCATGTCTTTTTCTCCTTTGTTTCTCCTTCACTACCTTCTTATTGGTGTTAATGCAACCTTTTCTAGAGTTCTATTTTAATTCCTTTGATGTTTTATATTATGTATTTTTTGATATTTTCTCTAGGAATTACACTGGATATTTTATCAATTTACTCCAGATTAATACTGACTTAATTCCAGTAAAATATAGAAAGTTTGCTCCAATATAGCTCCATTTGTTCCTTCCTCTTTTGTAGTTATTTTCCATACTAAATCTTTATGGTATAAAACTAACAATAGTTTCATAATTACTATTTTATGCATCTATCCTTGAAAGCAGCTAAAAGAAAAATATGCTGATACTGTCTGTGGTAGGTAGAGTAATATCTTTGCCACCCTCACCCTCACCCCCAAATGTGTTGTCATGATCCCTAGAGCTTGTGAATATATTACCTTACATGGCAAAAGAGATTTTGCCAATGTGATTAAAATTAAGGACCTTGAAATGGGGAGATGATTTTGGATAATCTGGTTGAGCCCAGTCTAAACACATGAGTCCTTAAAATCCAGGAAACTTTCCTGGCTGTGGCCAGAGAAAGAAAGGGAGATGTGTAACAGTTGGTGAAGGGTCAGAATGATAGCATGTTGCTGGCTTGGGAGATGGAAAAACTGGGTATTGAGCCAAGGAAGGAGGGCAGCCTCTAGAAACTTGTTTTCTTGCTCTGATGGTTCAGTAATAAAATCAAGCTGAACTGATATTTACTTTTACCAAGTCATGTATGATTTATCTTTTACTTCTTTACCTATTCAACTAATCTCATTTAAATTGGCCAATCTAGATTATGATTGTTTATTTTTTTAAAATCTGTTTTAAATGTTCTTCACTAAGTCATTATGCTCCCTCCAGCTGCTTCTCCCTGCTGAAGCCTCACAGGCTATGTCAGCTTCTGGTTATATTACCATTTTACATAAGTGAATCCCAGTGCTAGCTTGACCTGGGGCGAAGATCTATTAAGGATGTTTAACTGGGCAAAGTAGTCATGGGATCAGGGAGGAAACAGGGACTTGATATGCTTTACCTTGTATTTTTAATAAGGGCTCTGATAGGATGATAGGGTCATGAGAAAGCACTGTTAAGGAGGCAAGTTTCTAGTTGAGTGTTAGGTCTTTAAAAAATTGCTCTGATTGTATTCTCAGGAATTTTAGAATTGAGAACTTTTTGCAAACTCACTTGTTATTAAAAAAGAAAGTCACTTTACGGTAAAAGAAGCAAACTGAGAGTATGTGCCATTTGGGAGTTAAAAAATAATCTGTTAGGGGCACCTGGGTGGCTCAGCTGGTTAAGTGCCTGCCTTTGGATTGGGTCATAATCCCAGGGTCCTAGGACTGAGCCCCGAATTGGGCTCCCTGCTCAGTAGGGAGTCTGCTTCTCCCTGCCCCTCTTCCGCCTCATTCTCTCTCTCTCTCTAATAAATGAATAGAATCTTTAAAAAAATCTGTTAAAAATTGAAATAAGACAGACAAAATCACAGATCTTATGGAGCTTATGTTCTGAATGTGGAGACATAATAAGTAAATGAAATTGAAGTACATAAGATCAGATAATGCTAAGGTTTAGGAAGAAAAAGCAAGAATAAAGGGACAGTGACCGAGACTGAGGGGGCAGGAAGAGGCTGCTCTCTTATTTTATTTATTTATTTTAAAAAGATTTTATTTATTTATTCATGAGAGACACACACACACACAGAGGCAGAGACACAGGCAGAGGGAGAAGCAGGCTCCATGCAGGGAGCCTGATCTGAGACTCCATCCTGGAACTCCAGGATCATGCCCTGGGCTGAAGGCAGTGCTAAACCGCTGAGCCACCCAGGGATCCCCAGAGGCTGCTATTTTAGATAGGGAGGCAGAGAAGGCTGCAGGCTGAGGTGGTAGTGACTCAGGTAGGGTGATGGCAAACATGATGCATACAAGTGGGTAGACTTGAAATATATTTTGGAAATTGTATTGTCAAGATATATTGATGGTTGAATGTGGGGTGTGACAGAAAAGTGTCAAGAATGAGGGGTTCCTCGGTTTCTGGCTTGAGCAGATCTATGTTGGTGCCATTTATGAGATGCAAACAGTTAGTAAGGGAATAGTTTTGGTGGAGGAAATACTTCATTTTGTATTTTTACCTTAATTCTATCTTTCGATTTTTAATTCCTTTTAATTAGTCTTATACATATATGTTTATTTTTTATTAGTATTATTTTTTAAAGATTTTATTTTATTATTTATTCATGAGAGAAACAGAGAGAGAGAGAGAGAGAGAGAGAGAGAGAGAGAGAGAGAGAGAAGCGGAGACACAGGCAGAGGGAGAAGCAGGCTCCACGCAGGGAGCCTGACATGGGACTAGATCCCGGGACTCTAGGATCACACCCTGGGCTGAAGGCAGGCGCCAAACTGCTGAGCCACCCAGGGATCCCCTATACATATCTGTTTAAATAGAGGTCTAGTAGTTCTGAATGCAAAACAAGTCCTTTTGGGAAAAAAATGATGTGAATTAAATAACTAGTCATAAATAAAAGTATCAAAGTATTTATAATTTTTATTATATATCAATAATAGGCACAAACAATAGCTTAAATATTCATAAATAATATGATTCCTAGAATTGGCGCATGTGTTGTATTTGACCTAGCCTTCTGTAAGCTTTCCTCTATTCAAGTTATTTGGGGATTTTGCAAGAATTTAACTCCACTTGTTTTTATGAGAAGTAGAACTTTGTGCAAAGACTCATGTTTCTAAATATTCCAGGAAATGTACTATTCTCAAAGTCAAGCTCCCCCTGAAGTGCTGGTACATCAGTGCTGAGGATATGTTAGAGATGGTGCCAATTCTAGCACTTCTATTCATATCAAATGCTCTCTAAAAACAAGCATTTCTATGTGCTGATAAATTTCTTATGCTGACTCTAGAGAGGAATATCACCTTGTTGTGGGGACTCAGTGGCTGCAAGCTTTCACAAATAGAAAGTCTGCATAAGTAAAACTTTTGTAAGCAAAGTAAATTTTATCAGATTTCCTTAATTGTTATTTTGAAACTTAAAATGACTGGAACAATTTAAATTCCTACCAGTAACATGTGACTCCCTGGTTGTCGAAGGACCCTGGAAGCTCTTGCGATGTGTTCTATGGCTTCCTTGAAGAACACCATGGAATGAAAAATCTAGCAGAGGAAATGGGACAGATAAACGTTTAGAGGCAGAGAAAAGTCAAATGTTCACTATAGTTTTACATACAAGGATCTGGAAGTGAGAGTGACAATTTTGGTAACCCAATAACCTAGACCCAGTAAACTGGTTTACATTTATGCAAAATAAATTTGCATAATGAGGACTGTTCTTTTGCCAGTATTCCAGTGAGCAAGACTGGGAGAGTGAGAGGCTCAATAGAAGAAAAGGAAGAGAGCAGCAGCATTGGGGCTGTTCTACTGCTCTGTCTTGGAGTAGAACTCTGGGGTGGGGTTGGGGGTGGGGAGAAGAGACCCCAGGAAATAGGGTTATGGCATCTGTGATTTTGTTGGTGCCCCCGTTCTGACACCTGCCTGCCCTGGACATGCTCTGGACATGCAGAGGGAGAAAGAGAACCCCCAGCAGACTCTCGGCTGAGTGTGGAACCTGATGCAGGCCTCGGTCCCAGGACCCTGGGATCACGACCTGAGCCGAAATCGAGAGTTGGACGCTTAGCTAACTGAGCCACTTGGGTGCCCCTTTCTTTCTCTTACACACACACACACACACACACACACACACACAGTCTTGAAAATATCTGTTGTGAAATAAATATACATATCTATGTGTATGTATACATGACATATGTATACACACACATATACACACAGCACTCCTCAGATTTTACACATGTCTGTACCTCCAAAGATGCTGAACTTAACTTCATTTGGAATTCATTCAGTACACTGGCAAGTTTATTATAGTCATTAGTATTTTGATAGATCTTTTTCCTATGAGCCTTGTTTATATCCAAGAAATCCACAAATACAATTGAGTCATTCATCAGTTTTTCTTTGGTCCACTGGATCTATTGTAAAATAATCATTTAATAGTACCTGTTAATAGCAAAATTCTACTTGCTATCAAAATGAATGTAATAGATCTCTATAAGGGAATCTCTTGGCACAACAGAGCTAGGCAAGTCTTGGGGGCTCTTTACCTTTTGTCAGTGAAACCTATGGACTCTTTCTCAGAATGATATTTTAAAATGCATGTAGTCAAATACAAGGTTACAAAGGAGACCAAATATATTGATATAGAGCTCTATCTAAGGACACTCTGAAGATCTATAGGCCCTAAATTAAGAGTCTCTGTTGTGGAAATAACATCTTGAAGTTTCACTAACAATTAAAAACAAGGACTCTTCTCTTAATTAATTGTTAAATACCATCATACATCTGGTAGCATGGGGGAGATCTCTGTGTTATGGGAACAATTCTGTGTTAAGACTGTGGTGATAGTTATACAAATCCATACATGGGATAAAATTTCATAGAAAAAATGCAGCCCTCCACTCCTACAAATGAGTGATTTGAAAACTGGCAAATCTAAATAAAATCTGTATTCTAGTTAAAAACACCACCACCATAAATTGGCAAGCTTCCACACTTGCTTTCCTGGTCCACTTGGCCAGCTCTCATCTATCCCTCATACAAAGAAATCTGACCATTATTTCCCATTCCACTAAAACTAGGTAGAGAAAAATGACTTGTTTGGTTCCATCCCTGGGCCACTCATGCAGACAGGTCTGTCACAGCACTTCCAGAAATGTGCTGCACCTGTATTGTAAGCCCACACCTTCTATGTAGGTCTTAGCACCCTCTCACTTGGTATCTGGTACTGGAAATTCCTAGCAGGCACTCAGGAGATAAGGTTTGGGGGCAGAATAACATGATGGTTAAAGGGGTATCTAGAGTCAGCTATCCTGGGTTTGGATGAATCCACCACTTGACTAGCTATGTAACCTGGGGCAAGTTCTTAATCCCCTTCTGCCTCAGTTTCTTCATCTGTAAAGTGAGGATAACAACAGCACCAACATCACAAAGGCATTATAGAGATTAAAATGAGTAATGACATATAAAGCTCTGAAAAAAAAAAAAATAAAGCTCTGAAAACAGTGCCTGGCACAGTGTAAGTACAACTACTGTTTTTATTATTGCATTGTATTTTTTAAAAATTAAAATAAGCTTGCCAACCAACTGATTAAACATTGTCATATAAACCTAAATTCTCAGAGGACTACTTTATATCCTTATATCCTTAAGGAAGATTTGTCAATATGTCTTTAATTTGGGGATATTGTAGTTATTCTTGCTGTCTATCCACAGGGCAAGCTTTGTGTCCCTGAAGCATTTGCATGCCCACGTCTTACTGCCTCTACATCTATTGCTTGGTCTAGCAAAGTCTTAAACCTGAATTTCAGTTGGCCTTTATAGGATAGAGTTTACAAACTTCATGGACAGGAATGAGCTCTCTCTACTAAAATACAGAGATTCTAGTTTGGTTTTGTTTTTTTTTTTTTTTTTTTTTTTTTTTTTTAGCAAAGTTTCTCCTGCCCTCCCTCTCTCCCTTCATCCCAGATATCTTTATCAAGCACCAACTGAAAGTAAGAGAGGATGCTAAATTCTGGTGATTTAAGTAAAAATAAAAATCAACAAATAAAAATCAACAAAATCAACCAGACACATATGTGTAGATATATATATATACACACACACACACACACAATGGATACTCAGCCACCAGAAAGGATTAAATCTTGCCATTTGCAATGACATGAATGGAACTAGAGGGTATATTATGCTGAGCGAAATAAGTCAATCAGAGAAAGACAATTGTCATATGATCTCACTCATGTGGAATTTAAGAAACAAAACAGAGGATCATAGGGGAAGAGAGGAAAAAATATAACAAGATGAAATCAGAGAGGGAGACAAACCATTAGAGACTCTTAATCACAAGAAACAAACTGAGGATTGCAGGAGGGGAGGGGTGTGGAGAGATAGGGTAACTGGGTAATGGGCATGAAGGAGGGCATGTGATGGGATGAGCACTGGGTATTATATGCAACTGATGAATCACTAATCCCTACCTCTGAAACCAATAATACATTATATGTTAATGTTTTAAATAAAATTAAAAAACTATACAGGAATTAAAATAAAAAACTTAATAAAAAATAAATCAATGACTTTGTTCTTATGGAACCCATAGGTTAGAGAGAGGGAGAAGTAATTACATTGTAATAAGTTCTATGATAGGAATACAAAGAAGGGGCACTCAAATTGGAAAGGATGCAGTGTTGGCCGGAAAAATCCACCCCAAGAGGAAGTGTGAGCTGAATTTTGAAGGATGGCCAGAGGGTAGTGGGGGTAGGGACCCCAGAGGTGTACAGGCAGAGGCAGGTGATGCTGTGCTAGGATATGGGGGTAAGGTGCTGAGGTTTCCAGTGCAGATGTACGCTTGGAGGGTACCGCTGATCACAGGGATGGGAGCCATCAGGATAGGGCATCCAGGCAGCGCAGAGAGCACAGGGGGCAAAGACTGGGAATGGTTCTGCAAGTGGTTTTGCATGTTGAGCATGAAGCACCCCAAGCAACATGAGGCAGACTTAGCAGACAAACCAAGGTCTCACTTTAGGGTTCAGATTCTTTCTGCCAAACCACCGCTCTATGATAGCTTATATCTATCTAGCACTTACTATGTGTCAGAAACTGTCTAATCATCTGACACAAATTGTGCCATAGATTCTCAGCACAGCCTATGAGGTGCATCCAGCTGCTACCCTAACCTCAGTGACAGGGACCTGAGACACAGGGGGTCACCTGCCAGAGCTCCACAGCTGGGCATGGGAGGGGCTGGGCCTTGCAGGTAGGCAGAGCCCATGTGGTAGCCTCTATGTTCAACTGTTTTCTCAGGGAAGAAAGTGGAAACAATACATGGGTAGGCTGGGGAGTGTGGTCTCTGAGCGAAGGAATGCAGGGATGAGAGAAGGCTGAAGCATTACAGAAGGGTAGCTCCAAGGAGGGCAAGGAAGGCGGAGTGACACCAGGCCAAGTCTGAGAGACCCCACCCATGAGTGCTGGATGTGCAGGTGGGAGAAGTGTCATCCCTGTGAGCCTAACAGAAAGATTGGAGGGGAGGGGGCTGTGTGCTAATATGAATCATCACATCAAGGATCTGGGCTGAAGAGCAGAGAACTTGGATTGTATGGGAGTGTCTAGAAAATATTTTGTAAAAACTTTCTGCATTTGTGACTTGTCTTAAAGAGACCTATGTACATGTACATGAGTACACACATACACACAAATGCAGATGTGCATGTGTGTGTATACATTGTACTCTGAGATTATGTGCTTGCACATATCTCTAGGTATAAGATTCATATCCAAAAGTCTTTTTTATTTTTTTACTGTTGTGAATTCATGATATGTCCTGGGCTCCTATGAACAGGGTGAGAGAAAGCAGCACCACCAAAGAAGACGGAAAAGGAAGGAGGAGTCATGTTGGAAGGAATTCCCAAGGACCTCCCTAATGCTCTTGAGAGGAGCCTGCAAGGAGGCTTTGTGAAGGTGCTGAGCTTGCCCCTGTTAACCCTGGTGGTGTGGCTTAGCCTCCTGAAGTGCTGTCCTTCCTTCCAGACCTGGAGCCCACCAGCACCATGGACACCACAGTTCAAAAGGCTGGAGGTACTGAGAGTGTGCACTTCTTCCAGCCCTGGAGAAACGGGAGCAGTTTCAGAGCTTGCAAAGGACAAATGCACCAGGGAAGGCACCAAGACCTTATCATTTCCATCATATCAAGTCTGTACTTATTTAGACATTATCAAGTTGGAAATGGGATTGCTAATAATATTAATGTTATAAATACAATAGAAACAGCTGAAGACTTTTAGAAAACAACTTTTTTAATAATAAATTTATTTTTTTATTGGTGTTCAATTTGCCAACATACAGAATAACACCCAGTGCTCATCCTGTCAAGTGCTCCCCTCAGTGCCCACCACCCAGTCACCCCCATCCCCCACCCTCCTCCCCTTCCACCACCCCTAGTTCGTTTCCCAGAGTTAGGAGTCTTCCATGTTCTGCCTCCCTTTCTGATATTTCCCACACATTTCTTCTCCCTTCCCTTATATTCCCTTTCACTATTTTTTATATTCCCCAAATGAATGAGAACATACACTTGTTTGTCCTTCTCCGATTGACTTACTTCACTCAGCATAATACCCTCCAGTTCCATCCACGTTGAAGCAAATGGTGGGTATTTGTTGTTTCTAATGGCTGAGTAATATTCCATTGTATACATAAACCACATCTTCTTTATCCATTCATCTTTCGATGGACACCGAGGCTCCTTCCACAGTTTGGCTATTGTGGACATGGCTGCTAGAAACATCGGGGTGCAGATGTCTCGGCGTTTCATTGCATCTGTATCTTTGGGGTAAATCCCCAGCAGTGCAATTTCTGGGTTGTAGGGCAGGTCTATTTTAAACTCTTTGAGGAACCTCCACACGGTTTTCCAGAGTGGCTGCACCATTTCACATTCCCACCAACAGTGCAAGAGGGAGAAAACAACCCTTTTGCCTAAGATACCATTTAAAATAATTCTTAAGGGATCCCTGGGTGGTGCAGTGGTTTAGCGCCTGCCTTTGGCCCAGGGCGCGATCCTGGAGTCCTGGGATGGAGTCCCATGTCGGGCTCCCAGTGCATGGAGCCTGCTTCTCCCTCTGCCTGTGTCTTGCCTCTCTCTCTCTCTCTCTCTCTCTGTGACTATCATAAATAAATTAAAAATAAAATAAAATAAAATAATTCTTAAAATTTAAGTTTACCTGAAAATAATTCTCAAGTTCCTTTGAAAGAAATTGATAGAAAAGCCGTTTTTCTGTATATTCCATTAGGCGATCGTGAAACACTCGTGTGGCTTCATGAACGAAGAATAGAGCCAACATCTCTTTGGAGGTAATAACAGTTTTGTCAGCTTGCAGCAATCCTAGAAGAAGCTATTAGGGATTAAAAGTAAGAGGTTTTTTTTTTTTTTTTTTAACATTAGCAGGTACTATGTGAAGTAGAGGCTCAATTTTTACATGTTTGTGATTCCATAAAAATAGAAGTGATTATCCGAGGTAAAACATGTCCATTTCTCCAAGTCATAAACTGGAGTTTTGATGAGATGGGCAGGTTATAAATCAGGGAAAACAGGCATGGCATCCCCCCTGGAGTAGAGGGTCTGAGGACCCCTCCCAGGGCTCGCCTCGGTAGCATGGGAAGCCATGAGTCCTGACTATGGTGCTGACCTGAAGGCAGGGGTGCTGGTGCTTACAGAGACACTCCTCACTGCACACATGTTCTAAGATTCTGAATCTTGATGAAAAGAACGTGTAACCCATTTCAAACATTATATGCACTATTTTGAACCACAGTCCCATGGCAAGGAGAGGAAGATCAAATTCAAAAATTGTTTTTCTTAATATTTTAATTCTAAAAATTATTTGATCAAGGCTAATGACTAAGTCAGCACTGTTAGCAACGTTTCCTATGGTAGAAAGCAAGGCTTGTGGGAAATGCAGGCATATCTATGAAATGCATACATGCTTTCATTTTCTGAGAGCTGCAATAGTATTTTAGCAAAACCAAAATCTTTCGAATACCTTTGCCACTGCTTTCCCTACTGAGAATCTCAGCTAATATTCTAACAGTCTTAGTGGCTTCATCACTGAATTCTCTGCAAGGAATTATTTTAATGATTCTTTTCAAATGGTTCATGGAATAAGGTGCTAATAAATAGCAAAACAAATCAATGTGGATTTCCTTTCCCTCCTTCTAACAATTGGATGCTGACAGTGGAGAAATGGAGAGAGAGAGTCAATTTTGTAAAATTACATTCCCTCAAATTATAATTTAAAGATAGAGAATGAATTCTAAAACACACCTTAAACATATCTCGAAGATTAAACATGTAGTGGCATTTTGCTGGAGTTGGCAACATATTCTGACATACTTGGTAGTATACAGCGAGAGAACAAGATATTATTTGATCCTTACTTTTCTGAACAACAGATGTGAAGTTACTGAGGGAGAAATATATTCCCAAATGAGCCTTTAAAGAGAAATTTTATAGTTAGCCCAAAAGTTTAAGCATGGTTTCTTCCTAAATAATCCCTTCTAAAAAGGAGGTTGTGTACTATCAGGGAGGATTAACGGCATTTAAAATGCTAGTAATTAGAATCCACTTTCAACTGACAACAGACTAATAATACAAAGACACTGCGAGTGTCGCAAGCTGGGGAAAATTCCAATTGGTCCGAGTTTGATGAACGATCTAGAGGTATGTGTTGCATGTCCTCTAGGGACAATTTATGTCCCGCCTGTGTGTATACCAGGTGTGCTGGCAATTTTTCTACCTCCTTGCTCCTGAAGGGAGGTTACTAGATGAAAGATAAAGTGACAGAACTGGTTTCTCATTTTGGGTTGGTTTATGTACATGTACGTTCTCCTATGTTAGGATTTTTTTAAAGGTATAAGTTGTTGATCATGTGCAGAATTACCAAGTGCTGTTTGAAAAATAGATTTAAAAGATCAATCTTTAAATTTTACATTATAAAGAAGAAAAACACATGGTTAGTTTTGAAGAAATTGGTAATCTTGCATAAGCTTTCTTCTTTTCTTTCTTTCTTTCTCTCTTTCTTTCTTTCTTTCTTTCTTTCTTTCTTTCTTTCTTTCTTTCTTTCTTTCTTTCTTTCTTTCTTTCTTTCTTTCTTTCTTTCTTTCTTTCTTTCTTTCTTTCGCCCCAGTGTAGGGCTTGAACTCACAACCTTGAAATCAAGGTTGAACTGAGATCAAGAGTCAGATGCTTAACCTACTGAACTACCCAGGTGCCCTTCAAATTTATTTTTCTAATCAAACTAGATTTCAAGTTGAGCCATTTTTCTTTTCTTTTTCTTTTTTTTTGAGCCATTTTTCTAATAAGATATTTCAGATTCCTTTTCTCATTTTGTGTTCTATAAAGAAACACAAAAAACAAACCAATATAGCAAAAAACCAGGTGTGCTTGTTAATGATACGGATTCCTGAGCTCCACCCCAGATACGCTGGATCAGAATCTCTGAGAATGAAGTCTTAGGACCTACATTTTAAACATGCATTAAATGTGCACCACATGTATTTCTAATGCACACTGACTTAAGTTTCTGCTATTTAGAGATAAATTACCACTGAAAGCCAGAAAATGTAGAGGGAATAAAACTCATCCCTTACAGGAATTTTCTTTCAATTTTGGTGGTTTTAAGTTCTCATGTCTTCTCCTATACCATGGAATTAAAACTCATTTTACCTGAAAAATCGCATGCAGGGAGCCCTGTGAAGGATGAGGCAGCACCAGGATGGAGAAGTGCTTGAGGAGACGTGGGCTGATGTGCCTCCTGACTGCTGCAGGGACACAGGCCGCCACTAGGGAAAGATCTTGAATGTTCTGCTTGAAGAGTGAAAAGGATAAGTACATGCATCTGTAGAAAGTGAAATATCACCCACTTCCCAGCCCCGGTGCACAAAAAATTTAAATGTTTAGATGAAAAGATGGTTTACTGCAAAAAACAAAAACTGTGATAGTAATAGAAACTGGTCTTCTTAGATGTAACCGAAATCCTCAAAAGCAATTTTAAGACCTGTTACTCCTAGGAGGCTTTCTAAATGTCATCAAACAATAGCCTGTCTTTTAAAAAGCAATTACTGGAAACGAAGCAACATGTTGAGGCGTGTGAAGGACTCTGGCGATGAGGGAGGGTGCAGAAAAATGGGCATGAGTTTCCGGGACAGCCAGGATTTCTATGCACCCACAGACACACATAAAGACGCCATCAGCATGGTTAAAGTAGTTTCCAATTTGTTCTGCATGTTCATCTGACTAGAGTTTCTAAGTTTCTCAATTCACTCAAAGCCGTTATGAATGTTTGTTAAGTAACAACAGTTAATGTGAACAAAATCTTAGGATATACGGTACCTTCCAAGCATTCTTCTCAGTATCATAAAGCCCTCCCATATCTAGTAACTGCCTGATTAATTCCAGGGGTGGCTGTGTTCCATATGTATCTGATTCTGGCACATTCAGATCATCGATGAATACTACAATCTTGAGGAAGACAAAGGATTTTAAAACATATCTCTTAGAATTGTCTTTCTTTCAGTTGCACATATTAATTATACTACGGTGTAAGAACAAAGTTGTATGTAATGACATGCCTGCTTTTCTCTTAAAAAGTAGCAGACCAAATACTATTTTGAAGATATGATTTTAGAAAACAGTAAGTCTTCAAAACAGCAGGACATACTCAGGCTATTCTCTTGGTACCTTTCCCTGAGGCCATGGATCTAGTTTTTCTTCCTCTTATTTGCATGTTAAAAATAAAACAGGCCCAAAATGGGGGTCATTTATGCTAAGCCCCAGACTACCAAACCCAAACCTCTTGACAGTTCCGCTCTCCCAGAAATGGAATCTAAAACCAGGCTCTCAGCCCTAGTGAGGTCCTCTGCCTGATAGACACTGCCAACTCCCTAAAGGAAGTGACATTGCCACAAACAATATGCTTTTTGCCAGTGTAACTTCCTTGCTCCCACACCACACTGCCTGTGAAAGTCTTTCATTTTGTTCAGCTCCTGGAACCTCCTTTCTGCTAGTTGGATGCCTAGCAGATTCACAAATAATTGAATAAAGCCAACTAATCTTTAAAATTTATTCAGTTGAATTTTGGTTTTTTAGCATCTCAAGTCATGATCATGGGAAGAAAACGTGGTTAAACACTCAGTTACAAAACCATGCATCTGTTACAAAACCATTGGCATCTAATGCATTTTCCTGTCTTATCTGATCTTGTTTATTAGGTTCCAGGAGCTTCTTCTGGCTTTAGTAATTCTGAATCAGTATAATTGATCAGTATTATATTGATGTGAAAACCAAAGCTTCCATTTACAAAGTGCATTTTCTAGCAATGTGCAGGTGTGTATATGGAGACACAGTTTTTTTCTATTACTATGAATTAAAATAAGTCACATTATAGCTTGAGTAGCAGGAGCATATTAGTCAAAGTAGTGGGGGGTGTATTACCCTGCTGCTCTTTGGTGCTCCAAGAGTGTCTTTGGTTCTTCGTACTAACTTCTTGAGAATCATCTCCTTGGCTTGGGCAGCTGTGATACTGATGCTAAAATTTATTGTTGAGACTATAATTCCTTTATTATCATTTTTAAATGAACTTTCATCAATTATGACTTCTGGCTTTTTAATAGGCTTATCTGTTATACCAAATATGGAAAGAAACATAAATTTAGAATACTTTAAGAATATTTGTGATTTACTTTAAGGTGTTAGGAAATATGAAGATTATATAGTTTTACTATATTGTTTTCATTTTCAAGAAATCACTCTGCAGACAATTCAGAGAGAGAAGGAATACCAACTCTGAAATATTTCCATCAATTTCCTTCCTTTTCTGTGGTATGCAGGGTCTCTGCAACCACAGCCAAATGAAACAGTATGAAAGCCCAGAAAACTCTCTGTACATTTATGCACAATTGACACAGGTCACTTTTTACGATTTAAAAATATTTAGATTTGCAAGATGTTATGTATCTAATGAAAGTATGTATGAAAGGTTTAAAAGCAGCATGCAAGTGTGTCTACAGAAGGTATCAGACTAATTCCCTGAGAGGATCCTCCACAAGGGTCACTTGGGATGGTGCCACGGCAAATATGAAAGTAAAAACAAAACAACTCCTCTGGCAAGAATCTTGTGGCCAAGCTCCCTTCCCTTTCTGCAGCTTTCTTTGGATTGCCCCTGCTTTTCTTCTTCAGAAAATGAGTGGCTGCTCCCAAACCACTGGGCCAGAGGTCTCTGAGATGAGGCCTGGAAGCAACACGTGTGGCCAGATCTGAGAACTCACAGCATTTTAACTCCTCCACCGTGTTACTCATACAAGCACGAAAGAACAGAATAGGCCGATACTGCTTCCTGGTGCTTCTAGAATTAGTCCAAAGTTCCCACTTCCTGGGAAGATCTCCCAAACCACTCCAGCTATTGGGCAGGGCAAGGCAGTTCAGGATCTTGTATTTTAAAATATCAGTGGAAATGTGTTCATCCCGAAATGCTGTGACCTGCATGCGGCTGAGGCAGGAAGGGATGTCCAGGACTGTACACGTACCTAGACTCCCGGCTGCTGTCTTGTGAGTTTCAGAAAGCAAGATGCTGATATTCTGCTTCAGGCTAGTGGAAAACAATGTTTTAGAAATTCAGAGTTAGCTTGCTTCCCATAGTAGCCTTATGAACAAAACATAAGGAAAGCATCAGTGTGTGGTGGGCTCTATCTCACTCTCCTATAAGGAAACATTCTCTTTTCCTGTTTACACTTTTACAGATAAGATTGTGTCACTACTGTGACCATTAAAGCTGATACCCAAACTTAACAACGCAGATTTCCTCTAAAGAACAAACTGGACAGATCCCAGGGGTGACAGGCTGCCAGTGTCCCTGATGGGCAGGAAGCCGCTAACTCCCTCATCCCTGTATGGAAAGCACTTTGCCTGTGGATGGTTCCACACAAACCCCTTTCACCTTTATTCTGGCCGTGTCTTCAGGTATTTCTTTGTAACGTTATTGCTGTATTAAACTCCATTTCACTTTATATACTGCACATATAGTAAGATTTAGTTTCTGGTGTCCATTATTTATATTTATAGTAATTCAGGTAAGGAATGATTCCTATGGTATTCAATGTTTCTAAAATTATTTCTCTGACTTTTTAACAGCCTTATTTAAGCAAAGGAGGATTCTATTCCAAAATCATTCATGGAACATGCAGGTGACAGTGCTCCTGAAAACCAGTGGCACTGGAGAGACAAGTGAAATTCAAGATACCTTGGGAAGACAGGACTGCCTTGATGAGTGCCAGTGTGGGCAGGAGAGGGGCTGTGGCTTGGAAGGAATCCCCTGAGGGTCTGTGACTTGGAAGGAATCCCCTCTTCTGTATCTGAGACCCTGCCCTGGTGATGCTAAGCCCTGGGAGGGCCTCCCTCCTCTCCTCCTGGGAGTCTAACATTATAGGAGGGGTTGAACTGGGCTCCTCCACAGTTCCACCTGCTTACTCTGTTCAAACAACAGTTAAAATAAGCGTATTTTAATTAGAATTAACTTTAAAAATTTGCATTTTATTTGCACAATTTAGAACTCTTTTTCATTGTTCCCCTCCCCCATCTTAGGAAGAGACAGAGAATGACAAAGTTCTCTATAAAAAAATTTTTTTTCAAGTAGGCTCCACACCCCCACCATGGGTGGAGCACCACAGGGTGGGAACCCATGACCCCGAGATCAAGGCCTGAGCTGAGATCAAGTGTCCCATGTTTAACAGACTAAGCCACCCACTCACCCTTGTGAAGAATATTTTTATATTTGATAAGAAGAAAATGTATTTCTAGTGTAAGAAATTATATGCAACATTTTTTGTATGTTGTGGGTACATTTTTCCAGGAAAGAAAATAGTTTATAGCTGTACTTTGTGATGTAAGAAAAAGGAAATTTTAAATTTAATTATATATAAAAATTTCTCATTTAAAGGAATTAATCTAGGTGTTAATACTTTGGAAAAATACAGATTTTCTTCACTCCTCTTTGGAAGAATTCTGCATTTTTACATAACAGGTTTGCTTTTTAAAACAAGGCACATTTATATATTTAAGTAAACTTTTTTTTTACCAGACAAATCAACTTTAGAGTTTAAATACACAACCTTGAGTTTTTAATTTCATTATACAGTAGGACATCTCCTAAGATTGAGCCATATTTCACATCCAGTGCTCCAGGACACTCCAACTTCTCAAGGATTTCATTAATGGCAGCGGTTTTCCCAACAGCAGGGTCTCCTAGGGGGGGAAAAAAAACACATTAGGTTAGATTTATAGCCAAGGAAATGAATAGATGCTAACATATTAAGGTGAACCAATAACATTTTATTTGAAAATTGTATGTTAAAGAACATGGTCAAGATTCGGTAAACTAGGAGGTAAATATAAAATCTGCTCAAATTATTTACACCTCTTATAAAAGGACAGATTAAGAGTTAACTATTATTTTTAATTGAATAGTCACTTGCACCTATCACGAATCTTTCTTACAGGACAGCAGAGCTACCTCATGAAATTAATTTCCCTGAAATTTTTTGTCAATACAATCTGCGGGAGAAATTTGATGACGAACTACTACAATAATATAGGGGCATGGCTTTACAATTCACCAAATACTAAGAATAAGAATTTTCTAAACCAAACTGGAGGCAAGGTATGGACTGTCTGAGAATTCCACCCTCATTTTGCCTCCATATTTTCTGTATGGAACTGGGAGAGCAAACCACTGCCTGTGGTGATGGGCAGGTCAGCATAGGAGAAAGGCAAGAAGAAGTGACAGAAATGTTAAGGAAGAGGGGGACTGTATGAACTCATTTGGTAGCAAAAGGCTGAAAAATTTTAACACTGGGTTGAGGAATTACATCTGTCATTTTTTACTCATGCAGTTTCTTTTTTTTTTTTCTGTGTATATAATTATGTGAGTGAATGGATATTCCTAGCATCAGCCACCCCCCAACCCACCCCGCCCAGGCTGTCAGCCCATGGGTATGGAGCCCTAGCGAGGACTGAGCCCACAGGTTGCCTCTGAGATTTGTCCTCTATTGGCAAACATGGGGGAGATGGGCATTCATGCACTGTTAGTAAGACTGTACACTGATACAGTGTCTAAAGCTTCTCAGGGCTTATTTTGCCCCCAGTTATAAAGTAAATTGATTAGACTAAGTAATTACTAAGTCTGTTCCTAACTCTGTTTTAGTACCTGTGAGAAGCACAGGGCAGAAATTCTTTAATAGAAAGCTTATGAGGAAAGAAAGGGACACCGTGTCCCTGGTGGCGATGTGACTGATGTTCTCTCCATACTCTCTCATCTTCAAGAGATTTTCACTGGATCCTTCAGGGTCCGCTAGAATTGAAGTTCCTAAGGTAAAGTTCAAATGTTTCAAATGACTTATATATGAATGTTAATCTTTTAGGTACTAAACACTTTCTGGAAAAGTCTGTCCCTTGTGACACAATGTAAACTGACACTAGCACCCAGGGCCTCTGTTTCTTTCACCCACACTCCTCCCACCCTGTCTTCCAGCCCCCCCCCCCCCAACCGTAGGTGATGCCCAGGAGGAAAGCAGCTCTCCTGAAGAACCTCCTGTGGTCCTTTTTAAGAACTTCACATACAATGGAATATCACTCAGCCATCAGAAAGGACGAATACCCACCATTTGCTGTGACGTGGATGGAAACATTATATGGTTTCAGTCATACTGGGAATATAAAAAATAGTGAAAGAGATTATGGGGGAAAGGAGGGAAAATGAGTGGGTAAAATTAGAGACAGTGATAGAACATGAGAGACTCCTAACTCTTGGAAACGAACAAAGGGTAGTGGAAGGGGAGGTGGGCGGGGGGATGGGGTGACTGGGTGATGGGCACTGAGGGGGGCACTTGACAGGATGAGCACTGGGTGTTATACTATATGTTGGCAAATCAAATTCCAATAAAAAATATACAAAAAAAAAAGAACTTCACTTCTTGGGTAAGCCTTCTCCTCCCATCATCTGTCTCGTTTCTGTTCAAATTTTCTGTTGTACAAACATTTATGTACTAGTATCACCCATCTTTTTATTGGCTGAACTATGGGAAATGGTTATTTATTTAGAAAAACTAATTGAATATAGGCAATTTTATATGTAATAAAATACACACACACCCAAAACTAAACTAAATTTCTCTTGACCCCACAGTTTCCTACAAATACCACCCCAGTTCTTTCTCCCATTATGCAGCCAAACCTCTCAGAAGGGCTCAACACAACACGGACCTCACTTCCTTCATCTCATATTCGCTTTTTTAACATTAGAAATCAACTAGCCAATACATTCACATGCTGGTCAGCAAGTTTTAAAAATTTGGTACATTTTAGAAATCCTTCCATACCAGTAAAGACTTTTTTCTGATTAATGTTCTTCTATTTAATGAATGTATCCTAGATTTCTTTTTTGTATCCTAGATTTCTTACCAGCAATCAAGTATTAGATATTTATGGTGTTTTCCTGTCTTCTGATGAATTTATATAATATACACATGTTATTCTGCACATAGCTTCCCCACATGGAAAGTTGTTGGGTCACTATAAACTGGCATATGACTTATAATTTTGATGTATCTTGATAATTGCCTTCCAGTGTTTTCATTCCAAAGCACCTCACATCGCTCACTGTATTTCTGATAATCTTCCTGGATTCTTACATGAACAAAATGTGGGGTTTTGTCATTTTTTTGTTTCTTGTGCCAGACACTGGTCTGGCACCAGGACCTCTGATTTACCTTGCACAGGCTCAATGGAAGACGATATTGTGATGTTCTGATATTTAAATTCCTGTCATAGGTTTGGCTTTGAAAGCCTGTGAGGGTTTTGGTTTCTTCTAAGCCTGTTGCCTACAATTAGGAAAAGGTGGGGGCAGACGAAGTGGTACCTTAGATTTGGAGGAAATACCCCTGGTTTTCCAGAGGAATGGTAAACTAAGATATTGAGCTATATGCATGGACATTCAGTTATGTTTTTATACGTAGTAGTAAAAGCTAAGGAGAAAAATAACCAATATTAGCAAAACATGTGATAGACAATTTGGAGGTTTTAGATAAATGTAATCATCTACTAATGCATACTGTGACAAATATTATACAGTAGGATGCTCGTATAAATTAATTCAAAATTAGAAATTCCCAAACACTCCATAATTATGATATCTCTGGTTGTTTCCTACCAGAATGTCTTATAACTGAACTTTGAAATTCACTGATGAGAGAAACCTGACCTAAAAGAAATTCAATTCAATTTGCATTTATTGAATTTCTTATATTTGCAAGACCTCTAATCATTAAGTTCTTGCCTCAAACTTCAGCTAAGCTCTCATGGTACAACATTTTCTGTATCTTTGTTTTCTCTATGTATAAGCAGAAGATATCTGTGAAAGTATGATTATTCTTTTCTAATTTCTTTTATAATTGACTGTAGTTCTTACATATATGCTTTTCCTATTTTAGAAGAGATCCTCTCCCTTTTCTGCTTTCACTACCCACAACTAATTAAAATACTAAATATTTCCGGGATCCCTGGGTGGCGCAGTGGTTTAGCGCCTGCCTTTGGCCCAGGGCGCGATCCTGGAGACCCGGGATCAAATCCCACATTGGGCTCCCGGTGCATGGAGCCTGCTTCTCCCTCTGCCGGTGTCTCTGCCCCCCTCTCTCTCTCTGTCTCTCTCTGTGTGTGTGTGACTATCGTAAATAAAAAAAAATTTTTTTAAAATGTAAAAAAACCCTAAAGATTCCCATTAGTAAGACTTTCAATAAGCTATTGTTTTACAATGCACAACTGCCTCAATCAAATACATTCCAATTTCTCAGAAATAAATATTCTGTGGTTATGTTTTTAGTCATGCTTTGTAAACATAGATCTATATTGGTTCTGCACAAACTTGGAATAGGTCAGTCTTCAAAGCTGCTGATCTAACTACTTTTTAAAGCAATCTCAACATTTTAAAAAAGTTAGAGTATGATTCTTAGAATTATTCTTACCTTTTTGAATTAGTGTCTGAATACTAGGAAGTAATTCTGACCATGGTATGAATTCGCATTGCTGTAAATCCACAAAATAGCCAAAGATAGAACGCTTACCAGTTGGTAGACTGACACCTGCATTTGAAAATGAAAAGGAAATCCAAGTTAGAAAGGTTCATTTATGGAATGTTTCCTTAATGATATGATCTCAATGTGAAAAATCTGATTGTTGAATCAGAAATAATAACCATTCACCAAGGATATATCCAAAATTATAAAACAGGCTTATCTTTTTTTCCTTCTGATTTTTTTATTATTTATTCATGAGAGAGAGAGAGAGAGAGAGGCAGAGACACAGGCAGAGGGAGAAGCAGGCTCCATGCAGGAAGCCCGACGAGGGAGTCGATCCTGGGACTCCAGGATCACACCCTGGGCCAAAGGCAGGTGCTAAACTGCTGAACCACCCATGGATCTCCTTCTGAGTTTTAATTATATAAAAATGTCTTTTTATATCCAGAAAGCAAGGTGAATTGTGATCTGATATCCTTTGAAATCTTACCTAGAAGCTCTACTTATTATCATATGTTGGATTTTTTTAAAAGATTTTATTTATTTATTCATGAGACACACACACACACACACACAGAGAGAGAGAGAGAGAGAGAGAGGCAGAGACACAGGCTGAGGGAGGAGCAGGCTCCATGCAGGGAGCCCAACGTGGGACTCGATCCTGGGTCTCCAGGATCATGCCCGGGCTGAAGGCTGCACTAAACTGCTGAGCCACCGGGGCTGCCCCACATGTTGGATATTATGAAATGACAGTTTATGCTGGTTTTAGTCAAACCAGTATATTAGAGAACTTTGCTACTTACTTGTAAAACATATTTGTTTTTCCATCATAAAAGTAATACATTTTCTTAATAGATTCTGGAAAACACAGAATAATAATGCTAAACCATGTAGCCATGGTTTCACCAGATGAAGATAAAAGTGTGAATATTTGACTGTTTTTTGAATCATTTATAAAATTTTTATATACTGGAAAATCTATTTTTTGGGAGTATACAGTTCTAGGAGTTTGTTACCCCCTGAATGTATTCTTGTCATCACCATAATAGATGATGAGATAACAGAAGAATTCTAAAACCCTAAAAAACTCCCTTTTGTCTTCAGTCCTAACCCCTGGTAACCATGATCTGTTTTTTTTTTTGCCACTGTGTTATAGGAGTTTCGTATGTATTTTGGATACTAACCCCTTATCACACATTCAGTTTGCAAATGTCTCCTCTTGCTGCACAGGCTGCCTTTTCACTTGGTTGTTTCCTGCATGGTGCAGAAGCTTTCCATCTGTGCAGTTCCACCTGCTTACTTCTGCGTGTGTTGCCTTTGCTATTGGGCAATAATTCCAAAAAAATCATTCCTAAGACCAATGCCAAGGAACTTTTCCCCTATGTTTTCTTCTAGACATTCTATAGTTTCAGGTCTTACATTTATATCTTTAATCCATTTTGAGCTTATTTTTGTCAGTAATGCAAGATACAGGTCCAACTTCATCATTCAGTTTGCATGTGAATATGCAGTTTTCCCAATTCTGTTTACCAAAAAGACATCTTCTTGGTGTCTTTGTCAAAAATCGGTTGGCTAGGGGGTGCCTGGGTGGTTCAGTCGGTTGGGCATCTGACTCTTGGTTTCAGCTCAGGTCACTATCTCCTGATTGTGAGATCGAGTTTCGTATCAGGCTCTGCACTGACTGTAGAATCTGCTTCAGATTCTCTCTCCCTCTCCCTCTCCCCACTCACGAGTACACTGTCTCTCTGTGAAGTGAATAAGAAAAGATGGTTGGGTATACAGGACTGGGTTAATTCTAGACTCTCTGTTTCTGTTCTCTTGGTCTGTGTGTCAGTTTTCAATGCCAGCACCATACAGTTTTGATTTTTATGGCGTTGAAATATGGTTTGAGATAAGAACATATGATATCTCCAGCTTTGTTCTTCTTCCACGGGACTTTTTTTCCTGATTTATTTTTTATTGAAGTTCAATTTGCAAACATACCATATAACATCCAGTGCTCATCCCATCCGGTGCCCCTCTCAGTACCCGTCACCCGGTCACCTCATCCCCCTACCCACCTCCCCTTCCACTACCCTTTGTTCGTTTCCCAGAGTTAGGAGTCTTTCATGTTTGGTCACCCTAGCTGATTTTTCCCACTCATTTTCTCTCCTTTCCCCTATAATCCCTTTCACTATTTTTTTATATTCTCCGTATGAGTGAAACCATAGGATGATTGTCCTTCTCCGATTGACTTCACTCAGCATAATATCCTCTAGTTCCATCCACATTGAAACAAATGGTGAGTATTCGTCCTTTCTGATGGCTGAGTAATATTCTATTGTATATGTAGACCACATCTTCTTTATCCATTCATCTTTCGATGGACATCAAGGCTCCTTCCACAGTTTGGCTATTGTGGACATGGCTGCTAGAAACATTGGGGTGCAGGTGTCCCGGCATTTCCCTGCATCTGTATCTTTGGGGTAAATATGCAATAGTGCAATTGCTGGGTCGTAGGGCAGCTCTATTTTTAACTCTTTGAGGAACCTCCACATAGTTTTCCAGAGTGGCTGCGCCAGTTCACATTCCCACCAACAGTGCAAGAGGTTTCCCCTTTCTCCACATCCTCTCCAACATTTGTTGTTTCCTGTCTTGTTAATTTTCACTGGTGTGAGATGGTATATGTCATTGTGGTTTTGATTTGTATTTCCCTGATGGCAAGTGATGTGAAGTATTTTCTCATGTACTTGTTGGGCATGTGTATGTCTTCTTTGGTGAAATTTCTGTTCAGGTCTTTTGTCCATTTCATGATTGGATTGTTTGTTTCTTTGCTATTGAGTTTAATAAGTACTTTATAGATCTTGGAAACTAGCCCTTTATCTGATATGTCATTTGCAAATATCTTCTCCCATTCTGTAGGTTGTCTTTTAGTTTTGTTGACTGTATCCTTTGCTGTGCAGAAGCTTTTTATCTTAAGTCCCAATAGTTCATTTTTGCATTTTTTCCCCCTGCCTTCATAGATATATCTTGCAAGAAGTTGCTGTGGCCAAGTTCAAAAAGGGTGTTGCCTGTGTTCTCCTCTAGCATTTCGATGGATTCTTGTCTCACATTTAGAACTTTCATCCATTTTGAGTTTATCTTTGTGTATAGTGTAAGAGAATAGTCCAGTTTCATTCTTCTGCACGTGGCTGTCCAATTTTCCCAGCACCATTTATTGAAGAGACTGTCCTTTATCCAGTGGATAGTCTTTACTCATTTGTCAAATATTAGTTGACCATAGAGTTGAGGGCCCATTTCTGGATTCTCTATTCTGTTCCATTGATCTATGTGTCTGTTTTTGTGCCAATACCACACTGTCTTGATGATCACAGCTTTGAGGTACAACTTGAAATCTGGCATTGTGACCCCAGCACTAGTTTTCTTTTTCAATATTCCCCTGGCTATTTGGGGTCTTTTCTGATTCCACACAAATCTTAAGATTATTTGTTCCAACTCTCTGAAGAAAGTCCATGGTATTCTGATAGGGATTGCACTGAACATGTACATTGCCCTGGGTGGCACAGATATTTTCACAATATTAATTCCTCCAATCCATGAGCATGGAATATTTTTCAATCTCTTCCTCAATTTCAGAAGTGTTCTGTAGTTTTTAGGGTATAGGTCCTTTACCTCTTTGGTTAGGATAATTCCTAGGTATCTTATGCTTTTGGGTGCAATTGCAAATGGGATTGACTCTTTCTTCAGTCTCATTGTTAGTGTATAGAAATGCCACTGATTTCTGTGCGTTGATATTGTAACCTGCCACATTGCTGAATTGCTATATGAGTTCTAACAATCTTGGGGTGGAGTCTTTTGGGTTTTCTATGTACAGTATCATGTCATCTGTGAGGAGGGAGTGTTTGACTTCTTCTTTGCCAATTTGAATGCCTTTATTTCTTTTTGTTGTCTGATTGCTGAGGCTAGGACTTCTAGTACTATGTTAAATAGCAGTGGTGAGAGTGAACATCCTTGTTGTGTTCCTGATCTTAGGGGAAAGGTTCTCATTTTTTCTCCATTGAGAATGATATTTGCTGTGGGCTTTTCATAGATGGCTTTTAGGATACTGAAGAATGTTCCCTCTATCCCTATACTCTGTAGAGTTTTGATCAGGAATGGATGCTGTATTTTGTCAAATGCTTTCTACACATCTATTGAGAGGATCCTATGGTTCTTATTTTTTCTCTGGTTGATGTGATTTATCATGTTGATTGTTTTATGAGTGTTGAACCATCCTGCATCCCAGGGATAAATCCCACATGGGCATGGTGAATAATCTTCTTAATGTACTGTTGGATCCTACTGGCTAGTATCTTGTCGAGAATTTTTGCATTTGTGTTCATCAGGGATATTGGTCTATAATTCTTTTTGGTGGGGTCTTTGCCTGGTTTTGGAATTAAGTTAATGCTGGCCTCATAAAATGAGTTTGGAAGTATTCCATCCCTTTCTATCCTTTGGAACAGCTTTAGTAGAATAGGTATTATTTCTTCTTTAAATGTTTGATAGAAATCCCCTGGGAAGCCATCTGGCCCTGGACTTTTATGTCTTGGGTGTTTGATGACTGCTTCAATTTCCTTGCTGGTTATTGGCCTGTTCATGTTTTTTATTTCTTCCTGTTCCAGTTTTGGTAATTTGTGGTTTTCCAGAAATGCATCCATTTTTTCTAGATTGCCTAATTTACTGGCATATAGCTGCTCATAATACGTTTTTAAAATCATTTGTATTTCTTTGGTATTGGTTGTGATTGCTCCTCTTCATGATTTTATTAATTTGAGTCTTTTTTCTTTTTAATAAGGCTTGCTAATGGTTTATCTATCTTATTAATTCTTTCAAAGAACCACCTCCTGGTTTTATCTGTTCCACAGTTCTTCTGGTCTCTAGTTCATTGAGTCCTGCTCAAATATTTATTATCTCTCTTCTTCTGCTTGGTGTAGGTTTTACTTGTTCTTTCTTCAGTTCTTTTAGGTGTGAGGTTAGTTTGTGTATTTGAGTTTTTTCCAATATTTTGAGGGAGGCTTGTATTGCCATGTATTTCCCTCTTAGGACTG